ACTAAAAAAATTCATATTATACAATCACTATTTTTAAAAAAATAATGAAAACTTCTACTTTACAATAATGTAAAGTCTTCCCTGTAATAAATTTCCAAAACGTTAAATTTATAGATTCGGTTCTCTGCATATCAAAGTTGACCACTTGAATAATCGACTTTTAACGATTAAGTCTCTTTTGGATTTTAAAAAAACGTACTTTCTGTTTGGCAGCAATTAAAATAAACACAATTTTGAATTTTTTTAAGGTACATTAGACGTTTTTGTTTGGATTCCTGAAAGGAGCCAATGTGCAAGTTTTCTCCAACAGTAAATAATTTGTTTCTTATTCAAATCACAAAAATAGAGCAATGACCTTAAATTATTCAATAAATGTAACAATTATTATTTGCGCCAGTACACAAAAAGAAATTTACAACCACGAATTTAAAAAAAATTGCTGAAAACCTCTACTTTACAATACCGTAAATTCTTGTCTGGTAAGAATTTTCAAAGCGTGTAAATTTATAGATTCGACTCTGTACGTCTCAAAGGTGACTACTTCGACAATCGATTTTTTGACGTTTCCTCTAATTTTTGAATAAGAAACGTACTTTTTGTGTGGCAAGAAAATTAAACACAACTTCAAAAACGTTACAATATCAAATTATTCGAATCGTGTTTGCACGATCGAACCAACTTGCACACGACTTTTCGATAGAACTACGCCATTTTGTTAAGTGGCGGAAAAAAAAGAGAGAACTCTGCCGGTCTTTCTTTTTGATTTTTCTAGAAAACACAACGAACGTTTAAAAAAAACCCGCTTTTCAGTATTTACCTCTCGATCGGGCAGGGTAGAAAATATTTTTTTTTTTTTTTTTTTTTGTTAAAGTGGAAAAGCTTGGAACTAAAATATTAACAAGAGTGGTTAAAAATAGTTTGGATATCACAATTCCCTTCCCGAAACTACTTCTAAAGTATATAGGCAGATCATGCGTTAAAATCGATACTGACACTTTAATTGAAAGGACCAACCGTTCTGTCGGCCTTATAAATAAACGTAGGTCTAGCTAATGTGAAATCAATTCAAAGGTGGAAATTTCGGAGAAAACTAAAGACCTGTGAAAAGACAGGCAAACAAAATTTATGACGTTAGACATATAGAAAAGTACCATTTTTACAATGTCTTAGGGAAAGGATGAATACTAACCATCAGCAAGAAAAAAAATAGATCAAATTTTTAAGTCTTGACCCAAAAGAATTCAAATTAATGAAAAGAGATTGATTGCAAACGTTTGTTCTTATTTTATTTTATTACTTTTTTTTAATCATTAACATTTATCAGTCATTATATGGATTATTAACTACACAATTCCAAGTGAAAATAATAAATAAATTATTTGAATAAATAAATTTTAAAATATTTGTGTAAGGATCAGATAAATAATCATCAGATGAAAAAAAAAACACCAAAAAAGGCTATTTTATAGGCTAGGCTCTTTTCTTACTGAAATAATTGTAATATATTTTATTCCATTTTATGCACTAAAGATTTACATAGAGCATTTAATAGGCATAGCGAAAAGCAGATACATGTCAGACAGACCAAAACAGCAAGAATAAACAGACCAGAATATACACAATAAGAGGCTTACTGTCATGAACTAGTCATTTTTTAAATATTTTGTTTTCTTCTATTTTGATGAGTTTAATAATGGAGATTGTAAATTTGTCTTGATCCCATAGAAAAACTTGGTATAAATTATCATTAAAAAAGTAACAGTTACACTCTGTTGTTATAATTAAAAGTTTATTGAGCTTCACATTAAAAATTTTCCAAGAACTTATTATTATTAACTTAACAAAAAGGCAATACTAGTGAATTATTTGATATAATATGTACATGATTTTCCTAATAATGACAACCATTTAATAATTCTCTTGATAATGACACGGTTTTCTTAGCTAAAACAATCAAGTTTCTATTTAAAAATTAAGTCATTTGGATGGAAATGATTCATTAATCATTTTGGACAAAACTTGTGAAATCCCTGAAATTCCAATTCATGATTGTTTTCAAAAATCATCCTCTGCAAAATTGTACTACATAAAGAGCAATTATAATGTGTAATAATAAAAATATTTGTAGGCATATAAAAAACACTAAGTGGGTATCATTAACTTAGGATGAATTACACTTACACAATTACAAGTTGTGCCTGAATTTTCTGACACCCTGTACTATATAAATCGTATTTATATAGTAATAACAAATTTTTCCTGTTCAACCATTTCTTATGTAAAATGGAATCTGAACAAAAATCAAATTAAGCACTAACAGCATCATTATTTAAGCTATCATTAAAATAACAAAATAATTTTCTATGACTGTAGAAATATCATCTAATCTTATTAACACAATATGTTAATTTAATATAGACTGAATAACTAAATACCACCTGAAAATTAAGTTGAAATTAATATGTGACTTTTTGAACCAAACTTTATTACTGCTGAATAATTCTATAGCTTGATTATCATCTCAAAAAATAACAACTGTCACAAATCCCAAAATCCAGCAAAATAAAAAATATGAAATATGTTAAATTGGGTCAATCTTTAGTTTGAGACTTGTTTTTATTGCATAAAGTAAAAAATAAAATAAAACCGAAAAAAGATAATTTTTTGGCGTGTGCATGTCTTTTAAGTAGTAATCAATAAATAGATTACTTAGTTTATTTTAATGAAGTTTTAACATTTGGGTGCTGATTTACAATATTGTTAAAGTTCCATTATAGAAATTTGAAAATTCCATTCTCCTTTAAATTTCTGTTGCTTCTCAAGAGAAGAAATAGATGAAAAGGGTAAACAATCTTAGATCCACACTAAACTCATATGTTTATAGAACAATAGAACAGAGTGCTACAAATAACTATAAAAAAATATTCTCAGGTTTTCAACTTAAACCCACTAATTTTGAATTACTCATTAAAATTATCTACTCCCAATTTTGATTTGTTCCATCCTGTTAGGATATTTGTTTGCTTTCAATAAAAATTCTTGTGATTTTTAATATTTTAAATTTATATATTTTTTATTTGAGTTTATTCATAATTGTGTCTTGCATGCTGCACATAAGTACTTGGTGTGAACTTACTTATGTCCAAGTACACATCACTGGTAAGAGATTTTCAAAGAGTAATAATTAGTCGATTAATAAAGCAACGATTAGCGCAGTAGTTGTATGCACGGAAGCATGTGTAACTAAATTTCTTGCCTCTACTCTAGTTATTTATAAATTATCTGTTCGCATTCTATGTCTATTGGTTTAAAGCCGCATGAATTTTGATTTTGTCAATTAAGATAGAAATTAAGATAGAAAAACAGCATAATATCTTAACAAAGTTTAATTTTTAAGCTTTAAAGCTACATTTTAGTGATGCTTAATGTTATATGAATTTTTTTAAATTTAACATCAATATTACAAAGTGATAATATAATTTTAAAAACTGCCACTGTAACTATCAATACACTAAAATGGTCCTGATGCCATTTATAATAATATATTCATAAAACGTTTGCATACTAGAAGAACACAGCATACAAGACAATAAAATATTGGTTATATAATAGAATATATTCATGGTAAAATTTGAAATTAAATTAAATAAAATTCATGTTTCTTTCAAACATGATTTTTATTAAAACTATTCTTGGGGAAAAAATTAAAATTAAAAATGTACAATCATATATTCTACTGTCTTTTCAATTTTAATCAATCAAAATGCAGAGAAAAGTATCAGGTTTAAACCTTTTAGCAATTCACTAATTTCGTGGTCCACTTGACCAATTAATATATTACAATTAATTAAGGTTTTTAGTTGAGATAAAAAAAATCAATGGCACGAGCGGGATTTGAACACACGATCTTCAGCTAGATACGCCGCTGCTCTACCACTTGAGCTATCGTGACCTCGATCCACTCGGACACTAACTTCCCATCTCAACCCCTCACACCTCAAGTGGTAGAGCAGCGGCGTATCTAGCCGAAGATTGTGGGTTCGAATCCCACTCGTGCCATTGACTTTTTTATCTCAACTAAAAATCCTTTTAGCAATCTTTTGTCAAATATTTAGGTTTTGACTTAAATAACACTTTTGATAGAATAAGAATTACAACTTAAAAGACATTTACTTTGAATGTTGTTTCATTTATCTATAGTTTTTAAAAAAATACAGGCTAAATAACTTCAAGTATTACTGCATTACTGTAGGTCAATATAGTTCAGTTAATTTAATTAAAAAGATGATTATAAATAAATTTACATTCATTAAACAGTAAGTAAAAAGAAAGTAAATTCTGACCTACTGTAAGCTTTAATTTTCTCTTCAAATGCAGCTTTTTCTGGGTAGCTTAAAAATATTTCGTATAGTTTAATTGAAAAAGCATAATGAACCTCTCTTTATTTGCTTTATAGAACCACACTAAAGAGTATTGTTCTTATAATTATTTTATATTATATTATGATATATTTCAAATAAAAGGGATTTTCTTTAGCTTTTATTATTTGGGAGGTTAGTTTCTAAATCTATTGTAACATATTTGCTTGCTTGTATACTTGTCTTATTTGTTATTTTCTATCACTAAACTAAATAAGTTTTTATAAATCGAATGAACAGAAAAAAATAGGTTATAAAATTTAGTAGATTTATTTTTATTTGAACCTTCATTCAAAATCAAAGTTTTCTTATTTTCTTCTTTTCTAAATAAAAATGGAATGAAAAGAAACAACCATGATTTTTAGGCTGTAATGAAAACCTCTTTCACCAGTCTCTAGTAGTTTGAACACTAAAATATTTAAATTAAATTTAAGCTTTTTACAATTTAATTTTAAACTATAATTGAATTTTTTTCATTAATTTATAAAATTATTTAAGCACAAATAGATCATAACATAAGTGTAATGAGATGATGCATAACTGAAATATCGTAATTTCATTATTGATAGTTTTCTTTTTTATGCGTGTTAGGGCTCAGCAGACTCTAATTATTCTCAGCCATCCTCAGACTTGTCGCTGGACGAAGAAAAAGAGACGCTTCGCCGCGAAAAGGAGCGTCAGGCAATTAGTCAGCTTGAAAAAGCAAGGGTAAATTATATTACATAACTATATTCAAACTTACCTTTTAAAACTACAAATTACGAGTTGTATATGTCATAACAAATTGTTTATTTATACAGTCAAAGCCTGTTGCATTTGCTGTAAGGACAAATGTCTGTTACGATGGATCAGTGGATGACGATTCACCTGTGCATGGCAGTGCTGTATCCTTTGACATCAGGGAATATCTCCATATCAAGGTATACATATATAGGTCTTATTTTATAACTTGTTTTTTCACAAAATTTATATATTGCAGGAGAAATATGACCATAATTGGTGGATTGGAAGGCTTGTGAAAGAAGGCTGTGATGTGGGTTTCATTCCTTCACCTGTCAAGTTGGAAAACCTCCGACTTCAGCAAACACAGGCGAGAAACTCAAAGCTATACTCCTCCAAGACATCATCTTCGAGTAACCTAGGTGCGCTAGCTAACGACGTGCTCTCTACCTCAAAGAGTGCCAACTCCCGGGGTTCAACCCCTCCCACTCCTGGTACGCCCATGCAACAACACAATCATTTTGTTTTGTTTGGTTTGTTTCTTTTTTTGTTTATGCTATGTTTATGTGATATCGTTGTCTTTATTTTGCCCCCACGCCATATTTTTTTTTGCGTTTTGTTTATTTGACTTCTATTTTGTGTAACTATCACAAGGATTATTTGCATTTCAATATCACACACTCAAAAATATCATCACACATGCTGTTAAGTAATTTTAAATTAAATCTATAAAGCTTTTTACAACCCTTGTTTTGATGTTAACTATTGATTCTAAATAGAATTTTTAAAAACTCAAGAAATTCATTTGATAAACTAGTTTTATCATTCAATCAATAATGATGTTCAACAAGAAATTAGACATTTTTGATCACATTAACCAAATTAGTTTTAGCAAATTATTATTTTGTAATTATAAATAAATTATTAACAAATGTTTCATCATTAAAAATAAAATATTGAAGTTTAATTTTAACTGTTCCATAGTTCAGTTGTGTGTTTGTGTGTGTTGTGTGATGTGTAAATATTGATTTATGAGAATGGTATGAGTTTTATGTTATTTGGCATTTTTTGTTGTCCTAATTTGATGTTTTTTGTTTTGTTTTCTTGTATTAGTGTCTATTGTGTGTTTTGTTCTCATTTTGCACAACTGATCCTTCCCCTACCAGCTTCCTTTACCCAGAGGCCTAATTGCAGATAAGTGTTTATAAATATTAATAATTTAGAGTAGCACTAGATGTAGTGTAATTGTATACAATTATTCTGAGATAGGATACTGATATGCGTCGATTAAAACATGATATGAATGTTTAGTAATTAGATGGTTTCATTCGGTTTTTTGCATGTATGCCAGTCGATACTTTACTGTGATATATAAACTTTGTGTTATTTGAATACAACAATTTGATAAGTTGAGTTATTTTTGTTTTATTATTATTATCATTTCTCAACTTCTTAATTTTAGAATGTCAACCTAATAACATTTACTTTCTAAACTAAAACAAAAAATAGATAAAGACAGGTGTGATATGATTATAATTACGTATCTATTTATAATGATTTCATTTTGTTAAACAATATTTTCCATTATTAGACATTACTTGCTAACATTTCAATTTATTATAACAATGAATTTATCCATTTAAATAAGTAATTCATTTTAAGTTTTAGTGGTCAATTGACTAAGTTAATTCTTGCAATTAATTAATCTTTCTATGTAATGTCTTGATCAAGGTAAAAAAGTCAGTGTCATGAGCTGGATTCAAACCCACAACCTTCGGCTAAATATGCTGCTACTCTACCACTTGAGGTATCATCATTTCGATGAAGTCACGATAGTTCAAGTGGTAGAGTAGCAGTGTATTTAGCCGAAGGTCGTGGGTTCGAATCCCGCTCGTGACACTGACTTTTTATCTCAACCAAGACCTTACATAGAAAGAATAATTAATTTAAATGAGTAATTTTTATTTTCTGTTTTTAACAGTATCAATTTTGAATAATAAACATTCCTTTATTTGAAAAAAGATTGGTACCAAAAATTATATTAACAAGTTTATTTATTTTCAATCAACTCTTCTTCATCCACTAATCCATAACTCAGTTTAAAAAAATTTTGCTGCATTTCCTGAAATCCTTTAATTGTGTTGTGCAAATCACTTTTTTATTTGAGAATAAACAAAGTATACTTTTTGCCTGGCTCATTTTAATTAAGAGCATATTAATACTGAATGAACCAAAACTCCAAAATATGTATATACATTTGCACAATTGATTGTTTGATTTTTGTTTTAACTGAACAATAGTTTTTGCAATGAAATTGCCTTGTACGTTTTCAGCACACATAACACGAAGGGGTCTCATTCACAGATGTGCCCTCTTTATTTGTACATTTGTTTAAATGAAATTTTTCACCACAGGTGAAGACTCGGATTCTCTTGGAAATGCACGATTGCAAGGGAAAACGACGCTCACAACCCCTCCAGCCAAGGAAAAGAGGAAACCCTTTTTCAAAAAGCAAGAAACGACCACACCATATGATGTGGTACCTTCAATGCGACCGGTAGTTCTAGTTGGCCCTTCCCTTAAAGGTTACGAAGTGACCGATATGATGCAAAAAGCATTGTTTGATTACTTAAAACACCGATTTGAGGGAAGGTAAATTCGCTATTTTTCTACTTTTTTCTTTCTTTTTTTAAATAAATATTTTCATTAAAAATATTGCTCTTCAGGATAATAATAACAAGAGTAATGGCTGATATATCTCTTGCCAAGCGATCTCTCCTCAACAACCCTTCCAAGAGAGCAATCATGGAAAGATCAAATTCCAGGTCCACATGCCTTGCTGAAGTCCAAGCTGAAATTGAAAGAATATTCGAGCTGGCTCGAACCCTTCAAGTGAGTGATTATATTTAATTGAACCATATTGTACCCAGATATATAATTTAAAAATTAATGCATTTTTTACAAAATTTGCAGTTGGTAGTTTTGGACTGTGACACAATAAACCACCCTTCACAGCTTGCAAAAACTTCTTTAGCTCCAACTGTTGTTTACCTCAAAATATCATCTCCTAAGGTATTTAATAATAAATTTAAAAGCAAGTTCATGGCAAGATTGTTTGATTGATAATGAAATAACTGTATTCATAAAATACGAGTTCAACATTTTTTTTTTTTTATTTCTCTATACTGTATATGACATTAATTATTAAAAATCTAATAAAAACTCAAAAGTTTTTATTAGATTTTTTGTGTGTGAAGGAAAGGCACAAAATTTGTTATAGGATAAAATGTATATATTTATCAGTCCCTTTCTGTTATTAAAATATAGTTTTATATTAAGATATTTTTATTTTAACTACAGGTAGGTATTTTATGCTTAATTACTTACTCAGGTACTGCAGAGATTAATTAAATCTCGAGGGAAGTCACAGGCAAGACATCTAAACGTGCAGATGGTTGCTGCTGAAAAGTTGGCACAATGTCCGCCGGAGATGTTTGACGTTATTCTGGACGAAAATCAACTCGAGGACGCTTGTGAACACATCGCTGAATACTTAGAAACCTACTGGCGTGCAACTCATCCTCCAATACCTGCAACATCGACCCCAGCTCTTCCCGGCATCCCGCGACCTCTCCACCAAACTCCACAGATCTCTCCAACGACAGACCATGCTGCTTGTAGAACCGCAATGTCACCTACAGGTAATAACTGCAGCATGAATGAACTGCAGAGATTTTCAATTTTATTTCGATACTTTATTATAATGTTAGGAAATTATTATTTTTAATATTTTTATAGAGGCTTAGTAAATTTGCTAATACATTACTTCCTTTAATCCTAATCTTATTGCAAATTAATTTTAAACAAATAAAACATTTAAAAGTTACTGTTGTTTCAGGAGTTCATGAAGATTATGGATACTCACATGATTCAAGAGGTAACTTCTTTGATATATCTAATATTTTATTTTAACAAAATTCTTCACTTTAATTTTGTTGATTCTATAAAGCACTAGATGAGCAACAATTGGGGGTTGCAAAGACACAGTAGTGGGTGGCTGGCTATTAGGTTTTTAATTTGCAGTCTCACTTTCCGAGATGCATATTGCAGTGAAATTGTCTTTCAAATTTCTACAAAAGAAAAACATTAGACAATTACTGTAAGTAATGATAAAAGTAAAATTTGAAAACTTAACATGAAACTTAACATTGTTTTGGTAACTGAAAAGTGTGGATTGTTAACATTGTTTTAAAATAACAACACTAATTTGCATTTTAATTGTTTGGGAATGATAGAATTTTAAAGTGTTAACATGTAATGTAATATTATGCTTTGTTTATTTTGTATCTGTTCTAGTTCACATTGAGCACTCTAAGACTAACATAGAGCATACGGAATCAACTCTACGCCCCACTGAAGTTCTCGATTGTTTCAGGTTTGTACAGAGGGAGATCAAGGATGGAAAGGGAGAGAGACTATGAAGAGTACAATTTAGAATCACCGAGAGAAGTTTATCCGCCTGACAGGTACACATTATCGCAGGGGCCTTCTAGGGATGGTTACACGAGAGCTCCATCGGAAGACAAATATCATCACCATCACGAACATCACCTTGATCATCATGTCCACGACCACACTATCCCCGTCCATCACGATCATCACCATGACCATTCAATCCCCATCCATCATGTCGACCACGGGATGCCCTTGCATCATGATCACCACCATGATCATTCAATACCTATACATCATGATCATTCGATCCCCATTCACCATGACCACCACCATCACTCAATGCACCATCATCATCCCCCACCACACAGGCCAGACCATCTTCACGATCCTGAAGAGTACCATTCACCGCATCAAACATCATCAAGAAGAGCCTTAAATGCCATTTAATGTCGACTCCCCCATCTAGCGTATCAGAATTGTAATTGGTGTTAATTTTTAATCCAACAGCTTTTTTTAAGCACTTTTTTATATATAATTGTTTAAGTATGAACAACAAGATTTAATCAGCCAATATATTTATTTTCATAATTTGTTGAAAAGAGTAATCATTACCAAATATTGCCAATTTTGTGATTTTAGTAGCATGTAAATATTTGAGGTAAATGGCCTTAAGTAGTTTAAGAGAGGACATTTCCTTTTTGTTTGATCTATGTTATATTTTCGGCAATAATTTAGCTATAATTTCTTCTTTTTTTTATTGGTGTAAAGAAACTCGGTGGGCATGCACTGAAGAGAAATCATTATTATCAAATTTTGTAGAGTAGGAGGTAAAATAATGCCCATCATCTTCCTTCTCAACCACCCTATTCATGACTTGTGGTCCATCTCCTCTTTAATACCATAAAATGTAATGAACAAGGCCTGTGTAATTGATGACCATGTAATTATTTGTACAATTTGTAAAAACTAAATAAAATTAGAAACAAAATATTTAGATGCTGTGTAAGAAAATGTAATTTGTTTGATATTCTCTCTTATAAGAATTTAAAAGTCTAACTTCTCAAAAATTGCAATTTCATTTATTTATAAAGCGAAACCTTCTTTTACGTTACATAGTTAACTTATTTTATTCAAATATAACACTTAACGGTCATTATGACACTTTTTTATTGGCATTATTTTGCTGTAGTATAATTTGGACACCTTAATCACTTAATTCTTCATAAATGACGCAATTATTTAATGAATGTTGAATATTATTTAACTGTGTAAATATTTTTTAAGAGAAGCTTGAGTTATTTTTATGTATTTAATTAGTTTTGTAACAAGCAACAAAATGACAAGATATTCATTGTTAAAAATTCGTTGAAAGAAATAATGTTATAAGAGTTGTCTTAACAAGAATCAGCTTAAATTGAGGAATAAATTCCTTTTTTAACATAATTTTTTCAAATCATATAGTACATTACTTTTTCATCTAGGTTTAGAATGTTTTGATAATGTTCTGCAGCATAAACAAACCATAATTATTTCATTTGAAGTAGGCAAAACCAGTTTGCAAGTCCTACATGACCAAAAGAAGTGTGCACACGCCATGCACACACACATACACACACAGAAACAGACACATGCACATATACACCAAACACAAACACAACACAATCAATAACATATGTACACCACACTTGTAATAAATAAATTATACACACACACACACATTACTTTATTATATGTAAGCCAAGACTTGTATAATATAGACATAAAGACTGTAATGTATAGTTAAATCGATAACCTTTAACTCTCTACTTTAAAAGTTTTTAAATCTTTAAGAAATTATTTTCTATTGCCAAAGGAATTAAAAATAATGCAAAATGAGGTGATGAGATAGCAAAAGGAAACCTATTGAATCATTGTAGTCATCCTCCTAACAATGGTTAATTCTTTTAGTGTACAAAAACCTAGAACAATTCTTGCCTTAAACAAGATAATAAAATTGCTACTCCAACATGTGTACAGCAAATTTAACTAATTAAGAACAAAAATGAGAATCTCTTGTCATGCATCTAATTTAATGGATCTAGAATAATAGCATTGCTACCATTGGCATCCTAATTAATTAATTTATGATAAAAATGAGAATCTCTTTTAATGCATCCAACCATGTGGGTATTAACAAAATTTAAACTGTTTGGAAATATTTGATTTATATAATAACTTTTCTTTTAATTAATAACAAAATTTTGTCCAATATTGCAAAACAAGCTCTAATTAGTGGTTTTTGCCAATAATGAAAAATAAGTAGTACAGCATTGAAAATGCAATAATTAATTGGAAATAGAGTTTAAATAAATTGTAGAAAGTAAAGTTTAATCTTGCAATTCCAAAAATTATATACCCCAGAGGGAAATTAAATTATATATCTTTACTTTATTTGGTTTTTAAAACTACGTAGGCATTGCACTCCTGTTATTTTACTCATGTTAAATATTTTTCTTCCTGCTCTTGAACTGTCTTTTATGGGATTTAATTGTTTTGCTCATCAGTAATCACAGGAGTGAAATGTTCTCAAACTGTTCAAACAAATATTCGACCAATTGTTATTCCACTCTAACGGATCACTATTGTAATACATCGTTAAGAGTCAATAACAGTTAGGTTTAGGGTAATAAAAAATAAATTATACTATTAAATATATTCTTTATAACAATGCTCAATGCTAAATTAATTTAATTTACCAAAGTCTGTTGATTCATGAAATGTTTATTTGTTTATATGTTATTTTTAAAAAAATCAAGCTGGATGATAAAAGGGAAAAGAAAGAAAAAAAGAGTTCTAATATTAGTAAAGGGTTTTTATTTTTTATATGAACCCAATTATAACTCTTAACATATTAAAATGTACTGTGATGCAATCAGTTTTGTCCAAATTGAAAATGGGAAGCAGCAAATTTTGTTATATGCCAAATTTTATTGCACTAAGCTTTCAGCTGCTTCTAGATTTATATTTATAGTAATATTTATAAAAAATAAGTTACATGGAAAGTGCTTTGAGGGAAAAGATAAACCATAAAAAAAATCTTTGATACCAATGATATTACAATTATATTCAGTCGTATTTAATTTATGGCAAGCCTATGTTGTCAGCTTACCATAAATGCAAATACATAAAAGAAAAACATTTTTCATTTTGGCAAAGTGTAAAAAAAAAATATAAAAATAATATTTAAAAATGACCTGTGATCGGGATTTACTGACGGAAGTGCAGACAATTGCTAAACTCATTAATTTTAATAGAATAATGTAAAAAATATGCAAATTTATAAACTTTAGAAAAGGGATATAAATATGTAATTAAAGTATCCATACCCTATTGCCTATTGGTCTCTTGTAATATATTAATAAGCTTCATACAAATTTTCATTTCAAATGCTACGCAATTCCCACTATCTACTATAAGCACACAACTTTTAAATTTATTAAATAATATGATAATTGTAAATATGAATTAAATTTGTATATCAAACACTTATTTATTTATGTTTTGTGCACCCTTCAACTCAACAAACAAAAAACATCTTTGTGAAAAAAAATTTAAATTGTCTCATATCCAATACAAAATTATTTTTGGTTTCTTAAACTAGGGACGAGTTTTTCACTCAGTGTGTTGATTGATATTTAACTTTGTGTTAATGATAAACTCAATTTTTTCAATGAAATTTATTAAGGCTCTCTTATAATATGTTTTAGGGAAGAAAATGTCTAAAGTCCATTTGTTTTAAAATCAAAATAGACTGCCTAATTTGACAAATTTTTAACCTGTTAAAAGTCTACCAATTTCTATGCCAAACCATATCAATCCATTGTTTATTAAAACATATTTCCTTATTCTACATTACAAAACGTTGATCATAAGATATTGATGTTTATTTGTATATTTTACCAATGAAGCTCACATACAAGATAGCAATATATTTCATCTTGATTGAACAGAACCTTTTTTAAATTGAATAACACAACAAAATTATAGCTACAAGTCACATTATTACGAATATTTTTTTTTATTTACCATGAAACATATCACATAGTTAAACTTTTAATACAAAAATGTGCAAATGCATTTTAATGAGGAAAAGAACTTTATACAATGAGTTCATTCATTTTCTCCCACATGACCCTAAATGCATACATTTAATTGATGGTGCCTGTAATTTTTAGAGAGACTGATTTTTTTTCTTTTGTATAGTTGCATTGGTTGTTCCCTTGGAATGGAAAATTATTACATTTTTCAAATTATTACATTATTTCAGCAAAATTACTTACTAGATACTCTTATTTACTATTGCAATTTAACATGTTGATTTGATCATTACATTTGAGTCTAATTATCTAAGTTTTATAAAACAACCATAATAATATTTATTAATACTAGGTACAAAGACTAGGCTAAATAAATGATGACGTAGAAAATATATCTCTGAAAGCTCCCTTAAAGTGGTTATTGTCTTATTCAGTTAACCAGTGCCCAATTTACTACCCACTCTGAGAAAATTGTATTCTATATTAAACATTTGGCATTTTACAGACAAAACCAGTAAAAATAGGCAAATCAAGAAGCTACATAGTCAAAGTTGTCCATTACCTTCATCCACAACATTCAACAGGTAGTCAGCCTTTCTGTCCAAAATTATTTTTACTAAAATCATTTGATGAGAAATGTAATAGAGCAAAAGCACAACTTTTATAAAAGACATTTGTAAAAGTGCTTTTGTCATAGTTAGCCTTCTATCATCCTATATTTGATAAATGCAAAGAACAAAGGATTTGAAGGAATTTTCGAACATCTTTAAATAATCAATTTAACTTTTAGTGACTTACCTATACAAATATTTACATTGTCTGTCCCAAAACTGTAAATTTAAAAAAAAATTGCCAACATTTTGCCTTATTTTATAGTTGTCTGAGTAATTTTTTTGAGAATTAATGTAATGGTCTAACTTATTATTTTACTTTTAAATTTTTACCATTGTATGTTTGAGGTTACATCATCAGAGGTTGAATATCAATGAAGTCTTTAGTTCCAACTGATTTTGATCAGCGGAAACTAAAGGCTTCATTGATATTCAACCTTTGGTAATATTGTATACCATATATAATATATAATAATTATATAACAAAAATATGGTGATTAAGTAAGTAAAAATAATATATATAAAAAATAAAATCAAATAAAAATATTAATTAATTACTTGAACAAATATAAATAATTAACACATTTTTTAACAAAAATATTATACAATAAGAAAAATTCAGTTAAGGGAATTTATTGGCTGTGTTCACTATTCTACGAAAAGGAGTACTTGAAGTAGTTGAATGGTACTCATTTAAAATTTTAATAAAAAGCAATATAAAGTGAAACTATGCAAATATGCACATGCACATGCATGTGAGTGTAAGAAATGCAAGTTAAATAATTTATATGGAAAACATTTTTATTGTGTAGGCATAATAATTCAAGATTTAACTTACCACCAAACTTGATTGTAGAATGCAGAAAGAGGATAGTTAAAAATAGGATGATGAAGAAAGTTATTGGCTGAACATGTAATTCTGTCAACAGTATTACTTGACAGTTAGTAGAATGTTAGGAACTATGAATGTCTCTAGTATGCAAGTAACTCAGTAAAAAAATATTATCAATTCAGCAGTCGATTATTTTGAAAAGAGTAAGTAAATCAGAGTGTAGTCTATGTGCCTCTAAGGAAAGTTAATTAAAGTACTGTTCAAAATGTCTATAGTCAGTTATAGTTACTGTCCTGGCACCTCAGGGACACTTTTCATAAGAAAATTGATGACTACTACTGTTTTTATTTTATTCAATATGTTTCATCCTTCTACAGTTTTCGTAGTTCTTGTCAAATTGTTGTAACAATTTGTGAAGCCAATGGTATGGAAGATACTCCTATTTTATCGGCAAGAATTCTGAAAAATTTAAACTGTACAGATTGCAGTTTTTTCACCCTATCAAATACAGTTGGATGATGGGGGGATTGAAAAAATGGTCAGGGTAGGTGGTGGCAATCAAACTCACAACCGCACGATCTATGCGCAAGAGATGCTATCAGATTAAAGTTTATAAATAAATTTAACAGTGTAGGGTCTTACAAACGATATGTAATTAAGTAAATTTCACTGATCGAGCATTAAGATTGAGATCGGTAGAATAATGAGACAAGAAGCCCAGCATTTTTAAACTGGAGGATTTAATATGATCAATGTGGGCAGTAAAATTTAATTTATGGTCAAAATTAACACCATGATCTTTAGTAGTCATTTTAGAAGGAAGAGTATTATTATTAATGAAGTGAGTTAATATATAATTAGCTTTAGTCTAGTAGAAACTCTTAGAATAGCATTTTTAAATATTAAGAAACATGTGGTTCTCTACAGACCTGTGATATTGAGCATTGAAGTCAGATTGGAGAATTAAGCAGTCATCTTTAGGTATAAAAAAATCTAAGTTGTCAGCAAACAGAAGAGGATTCGAATACGTATTTTAGAATAAAACTCAAGAAGATTGTTGATAAAATATTAAATAAGAATGGAGATGGATGAACACCTTGGGGAAAATCAGAAGAAACCTTTATTATTTGAGACTGGTAGCTGCCTAATGCAACAAAGAGAGCTGAGAATTAAAGAGCATCTTGTGGTCAACATCAGTTGAATAATAAATCTTTTTAAAATGTAAAAATTAAATTAAAAATAAAAATAAAATTACTGTTTTGAAGAATTTGCATTGATCTATATATACATGGATTTCTTTACTTCTCTGTGTATAATAATAGTATATTGAGTTACCTAACAAAATAAGAAAGAAAATGCAATAAATGAAATCTAATATACCCTGAGGAATATAGAGTACTTTGGCATAGAATGAATAAATGTGTGAATGTAATTCATTAGCACGGATGGAAGGGCATATCTCCAATTGTCCCGAGGAATATCAGGTACTCTTAAGTAGTGTGAATGTCACTATATATCATGTTTTTATTTTGTTTCTGTGTATTTATGTTTGTTATTTGTCTTATTTTATCAAGGCTCTCAGGTACAGAAAGGCTAGCAATAGGACAAAAAAAGAGAGCGTTGGTTACCATTGTACAATAAGACATCTTAACTCAGCTGGAGAAACAGAAAAATAAATTAGCAGGATTAAAAAGCAAAAAATAAGAAAACAAATGTAAAGCTAAAGAAGAGGGGGCTGGCGATGACCACTATAGTTATTATAATTCATAATGGTGAAATAAGTCTGCTATATTATATGGAAATTTTTAATTTTAGTTATTATAGAGTAAGCTTTGTCTATCAAGTCGTTCAGAAGTAATAATAAAAAAAATAAAATGTCTTTTTTGGTATAAAAACAAAGAGTTAAAGGAGGAAAATTAATTGTTATTAGAAATTTTGTCGAGTTCTTGAAATTATTGATTTTGTGTGGTTGCATTATGTTGTATTAGTCTGACTCCAGGACTAGGGCACACATTCTTGGTTTATTTTCTTAGGTCTACGTTAATTTAACTTGAAAAACAAATTTTTTAAAAAGTAAAAGGCAGAATTTCACAATTTCAAGAAACTCCTTGAATTCCAAATGGCAATCGTTGGCATCACTGTTGGATAACAAGAAAGAGGACTTGATAAGTTGATACAGCGTTGTAGGTTCAACAGTTGTTAGCACATCTCGTTATCTTTCTTTATCGTTTTCCTCAGACTATTTACTTCAGTTATGGACCTTGACGTGATCGAATCTCTTCAAGACCTCAAGTAAGTAATACCGTCGAGCTGGAAAAAGTCTTTTCTCACGGTGGCTGGTGTTTTCCAGTTATCCACTCGATGAAGAAGGACTTAGAGCTGCGGTTGCCGAAGGTCCTCTGTCACCACAGTACACAGAATGCGTGGAATGGATGACCAAAGAGCTGAAATTCCTCTACTGCCTCGACGAGCACGTCAACGCCATCACCTCCAGCGAAGACGTTCCGTCGTTTTTAATGGAAATAACAAGTTTTTTAAAAGAGTTGGGTAAGTTCAGACAATTTCTTCTTCTATTGTCCTCATAACACCAACTTGTACCAGATACTTTTGAACCTGAAGCCTTCCACAGTTCATTGGCCTCTCTGCCAGCCATACATAAGTTTTCTTGGGTTACTTTCTGGTAGCGAGTCTCTCATCCTCTGATCCAATCGACCATATAGTTTTATTAATTAATCCACACATTCCAATCCTCCGATTTGGGGAATCTAGTGTCAAGCTAGGTCATCATCCTCTCAGATCGCCATAGAACACTCAGTCAATTCGATTTCCAGCATTATCACTACAATTTGTCTACATCTATATGTATAAATTAAAAAGATTTAGGAATCCAGGGCCATAATTTCAGTCCTCAGAAAGTCATTATCTTTATTCTGCCGTCCTCTGGCACTTTTTACCACATTTGGCAGCAACCACTGATGGTAGGTAGTATTTGCCTTGAAACTGTTCCAAGAGCAGAGCTGTGGAAGCTGGTAGACACCCGAATGAGGAGCCAGGCAGCACAGCGGGAAAAAAGTTAAATCCTCTCCCAAGGATTAGCATATTCACACTTTTTTCTTCCCTGCAGTACTTGATTGTGACAAGAGAAAGAATGTGATAAGGCATATAAAAAAGGAGAGAAATTGAGAAAGAAAAAAGGGAGGGAGAATGAGAGGAGGTAGTAGAGAGAAAGAGAGAAAGAAAAATAGAAAGAAGGTGAAAGAGAACAATATACTATGATAGAGGGTGTAAAAAAGAGAGGATGTGATAAATAAAGAAAAAAGGAAAGCAAGTGAAAAAAGGGAGAGGACATGATAGGGGTTAGTAGAGAGCAAAAAGTGAAAGAGAGAGAGAGGAGTAGTTTCTTTTTACAAGGGTTCACAACAGCAGAGGTCATATGTGATGCCTCGGTGTGTCAATGTTTTTGTAGAAAATTATTTGGAAGTATGTTGAAGATTTGAATGCAGCGCTGCTGGATTTGAACCCAGGACCTTTATCTTACACCCTAAACCATTGCGGCCATCATCATATTCAGCATTCATAGTCTTACGAACTTTTTTTTAGTATACCAAATTGTTTTAAATTTTTCTAGAGCTAGATTTAGACTAAGGCAATGTATTCTTGGCAGAGGGGACCTGACAGTGGTCTGATTCTAAGTCTATCCCTAACCAGCCTAAACTGTGGTGGTCATCATCGCATTCAGTATTCATAATCATAGTCTTACAAACTTTTTTTGGTATACCAAATTGTTTTAAATTTTTCTACAGCTAGATTTAGACTATGGCAATGTATTCTTGGCAAAGGGACCTAACTGGTCTGATTCCAAGTCCGAATATTTGTGGGTTTTCTCCTACATTAAAATATCACTCAGAAATATTTGATAGTATTATAATTCAACTTTTTCCCCCTCCACCACCACCACCATACTTCCTTATTCAACAGAATGCTACCATTTTGTTATTATTTATTTATCCTATTTATTATCATTTGTTCTAGGTTGTGAATACAAAAGTTTGACAGAAGGAAAAATTCAAGACAGACTTCAGTCTCAAGAAGATCGCTTAAAGCTTTTAGACTATCTTATAACGGAACTTTTAGGAGCAAGGATAATTAGCAATAGGAACCCAGCTTCTAATAATCTGAAATTGGTTATTGTAAGTTTTTATTTATTTTAGTTTTTATTTTTTTTAACAGTTTATCATTGTTTGAACTGAACACAGAATGAAACACCGACTGCGGCCTGCATGAAGAAAATGCTAATCGCATTGAAAATCCCCCGACCACCTGATAACGTGACGTCTAACATGTTATTTGCAAAAATTAAAACAAAGGTGAGTGATTTTTCAGAGGGAATTTTCTTTTCCTGATTTCTTGAGTTTGTCTAGGTAGAAGAATCTAGTCAAAAGTGTATCAGTGACCCTTTGTTCACTGGTCAGTTGTCAGAAAAACAGTGGAAGTCTTTGGAAAAAATTCAGCAAGAATTACAGCAGGAGTATGCTATCAGAAGGCAGATGTTGTTGAAAAGGCTCGATGTCACCATTCAGTCATTTCAGGTCATTGACATTTTTAAATAGCCAATTTACATTATTTGTATCACAATAAAAGCTACAATTTAAATGTAAAATCATGGATATATGATTAACTAAAATTCATTTTAGTGGTCTGAGAGAATGAAAGGAAGGGAAAATGAGATAGCAACTCACTTTTCCGAGAAGCGGAACCTCATGACAACAAAGCCAAACATAAAACTTTCAGATCTGTTAGCTGCCAGGCATCATCTAGCTATTTTAGAAAAGACTTCAAATTCAAACGTTCGAAAAAATACACAATCTTCTGTAAACAAACTCATAATTGGAGCAGTAAGTTTTTTTTTTAATTAATTTGTTTTATAGAACAAATTAATAATTACAACAACTACTTACTATATTTTTATTTTCTAGGTGCCAGATAGAGGAGGGCGGCCTGCAGACCAACAACCACCTCCACCAGAAATGCCTAGTTGGGCTCCGAGAGCATCTGGGCCACCAGGTAACAATTTTTGTCGAAAAAATCTAATTTAAATTTATATAATATGGATATATCTTCCAAATGCTTGTTAACTCATTTATCTTAAAGCCCCTGGTACTTATGCAAAAGCTGATACAATTTTATCATCTCATGAGTAATAAAGATAATGATGTTCTAAGCAAGTTTTCTTTTTTTTGTCTGCTTACAATATATCATTATGAAATTTGTCATTTAGCTCGCAAAAGGTATAGAGTAAAGATAATTAACTCTTTTGTTTAAAGGAGGGGGAGGTGGAGGAGGAGGACGTGGAGGTGGTGGTGGTGGCCGAGGAGGTGGCAATGACAGAGGCCCACGGGTTCAAGGAGGTTGGAATTCTGGAGACAATTATCGAGGCGGCGGTGGTGGCGGCCACAGAGGAGGGGGATATCAAGGTAATAATTATCAAGGAAGTGGAGGTTACCACGGAGGCAGAGGTGGTGGTGGCAGGGGAGGAAGTGACAGACATGGTCGTGATAGAAGATACTGACATCAGGGGCTGCTGATACAGCAACATTACGGCTATTACCTCATGTTCGGTTTATACTACTTTTGTTAAAATCGATAATTTTTGTTGTCTACTTTGGTTTATAAATGTTTTGTTGTAAATTGTCTAGGCAAATATTTTTATTGATATCCAAATCAAGTTTTGTAATTTTCATTAAATCAACTTTTTTTTATAAAAAAAAATTAACTTATGCTCAAAATATTGAAATATACTTGTCTTCAAGCCTTTCCTTTTTGTAGTTTTTTTTCCCACATACTTGGCCTGTATTACAGTGTACTTAACAGTACTTAAATCAGACCCTGGATGAAACATGAGTCTGAATCCACTTTTAAATAAGAAGTAAATTTAAAAATAAATTTATTATAAATTAAATTAGGAATCAATGAAATTTGGATAACTGCATAAAAAAAAAACTAAACTGAAGTAATTTGTTAGTCAGTCTAATTATTTAATACAGCTCATATCCTGGACATTCACTTTATGATCATAAACAAAAACGTGTGTGTACTCTGGCCAGATTTAGATAGTTGTTACATGTAAGATAACTAATCTTTTGCCTGATGTTGATCCTGTAGTTTGGTTGTTTTCAATGGTTGTCCAACTCAAATGAACTTGTCTTACAAATTATTTTAATTATACTATTAATCTAAGGCCTTAGACAAAATGAAAAAGCAAGTGTCACCAGCGAGATTCGAACCCACGAACTTCACCTAAATATGTTGCTGCTCTAACCACTTGAGCTATGTGACTTCGTTCCACTAGACACCAACTCATCTCATCTTACAACCTTTCAAAATTTCCCGCTTTTTGCCATATTTTCAAATATTGTGTAATCAGGATTGGATTCTTGGCGACTAGTAGTTATTATTGACCATATTAATTAATTATACTTTTAATCTAAGATCTTGGTTGAGATCAAAACTATAATTTAACATTTTTATTGAGAAGCTTGTCAGGTAAAGATTACCAATTGAGATTGTCTGGTTTATTCGTTTAATGAATTTTTAAATAAAACAAAACGGGGGACAAAAAAAAAATACTAGGAATTGTCAAACTTTCCCTATTTACACTAATCTCAAGTCTATTTATCCTAATTTGTCATAAAAATTAATTACCTTGCAGGAGATGTCCTTGCCCAAAATTTTTGCAGGTAAAAAGTCAATGTTTCTACATTTTTAATAACCAGTTGGTTTCCAGCTGAGATTTTCAAGTGTTCAGTTTACAAACAATGCATTTTTCTTGATGTCAAACATGATTTCCAGCCACAATGAATCAGTGTAAGAAACAAAAGTTAAATATTCTATAAAAAATTGGATTTTTAAAAATAAAATTGCATTTAATCCCGATATAACAGAATTCAATGATATTGGCAGTGGGAAATGAGCTCCAGGAGAATGTAAAAAAATTGGCTATATTAGACCAAGGTATCACCAATATATCGTGTGAGTTTTTGTAAAAATCTTGCCTTTTAGTTTATTGTTAAACTAAGTACAGTTCCAAAGGTAATTTTTCATGCTGAATCTGCTAGTGCTATTAGAATTTAAGTAAGTTAAGTAGTTAAGCAAGCAGACCTGGTGATCATTTTTTGTTTTCAAATATGCCCCATTTTTTCATATATTTGGAGTCTTTTCCATTATAAAAATGATGATACAAGAAAATTCAATGATCTGTTCTGGAGTTTTTCTTAAGAACTCGATAATTACAATTTATTGTGTAACTGGTGGGGGGAAAGGAGAAAATTGACAATTTAATTAATTGAATAAAATATTTTTTTTTAATTTGTGGATTTTTTAAAACTTAATTTTAAACAAAACAATCAGTTACACAATAAATTGAAATATTCAAGGTCTGAAGGAAAAGAAATAAAACGATCAGTTACAAAATAAATTGAAATTTTCGAGGTCTGAAGGAAAAGAAATATCCAAAACAATGAATTTTCTAAAAAAATTTATCACACATTTCAAAGTCCTTTCCATTCTAAACATAAAATTTTCCTTCAGAATTTCACCATTTCAAATCATGTAACTGGCTAAAAAAGAAGAAAATTGAATTGAATGCAATATGAAAATTTAATTTTCATTGATCTTTTGTAACATCATGTCACGATACATAGAAATTGGCAAGGTCTGAGGGAAAAAATATCTCCACGTCAAATCATGAATTTTTGAGTTTCTAGTTTGTTTTTAGATGTAAAAGAACTTTAAAAAAAAAATAGGTCATTATATTTAAAAAACAAAAGTAAACAGTCAGTTTAATGTGTCTACTTATTAAAATTTAATAGCACGAGCAGATTGTAAAAATACCTCTGGAACTATATTGAATTTTGCAATAAAATAGAAAGCATAAAATAAAAGGCCACCATAATTCCAAAATTTAAATTACATTAAAAGTTTGTAGTTTGACCTTCCTTGAACTGTCTTATTCAGTTCTCTGATGTTTTCTTGCCTCACTTCACAATTTATATTTCATTTTATATATTTTGAAAACCCACAAATAAATGTACGTAACTTTTAAATTGCATATTGTAATTTTCATACACACGACGGCAACTCGTGTTATAAATGGAATTGCCATCATCTATGAAAAGACATAGTAAAGGTTAGAGAAATAAGTACTACAAAGTAAAGGGGAGGGTATGATTTATTTATTATCAGAGAATTACAATCTTATTTACACATAAAGGAATAAAACAGATATACAATAAAATTCTACAAAAATAACAGGCAAAAAATTTAAATATTCTATTATGTTTTTAAAGGAAAAAATACCATAAATTTTTTAATATTTTTTACAATGAACATTCATATTGACACATTTAGGAATGTCTGCCGTGAACATGGATATCAGGTAGTGTAAGTACAATTCAGCTGTTTGAAAGAGGGGGAAAAAAAAAAAATTACCCACATGTTAAATGAAAGGCAAGTAACTAGTTATTGCTTTTTTAAAATTGGCCAATCCAATTCTTTACTTAGTTTGAATTTAGTTTAAAAAAAACAGACCAGTTTTAATCGGGCAGAACTCCCTTTAAGAATCTAATACGAAAATGTCCAAATAATTACATACAAATCAATAAATAGTCATATTGGCTGCAAGTGAATTTAAATTGCTAGGTCAATTTTGTCTACACATAAGGAGGAGAATATGTAAATAGGACAAAAAAAACCAAAGCTGAAGAAAACTTTGTATTAATCACCAATTTAGATGAGGAAAAGTCAGAATCCACAAAGTCTATTGTATTACAAAAAAAACTAAAGGAATTTACAGATGATAAACAGGCACATTACTGTGGGAAGGAAATTTTCTAAAGGAATGCTACTGGATTTAAAACACTAAATCAAACCTAAAAGATCAATAGACAGTATGCATTCAAACTTTTTTAATATTTAAAAATCTCTTCAACCTTGGTTTGAATAACTTAATACAGTCATTTTTACCATTCTCTATTAATTAAGTAAGAATATAATTCATACAACTCTTCATTTTCAAAATATCAGTATACATTTTACAATAAGAATTAAAAAAAAAATCAATTTCTTCAATGTCTGAAAATAATATGGTTTAAATGGTACAAGAAGAACCGAAGGAAAATCATCTTCGGAAAGGAAATCTTGAATTTCATTACACTCGATTATATATGTACATCAAAACACTGAAGTTAAAGTTAAACTTCAAGTAAAGGAAAAACTAACAATGGAAAGTAATAATTTCCAATCTAACACTGAGATTAGATCTTTCTCAGAATTTGTCCCAGGATCTACTTACCATAAACGTTGTTTTTCCTTTGTCGAAAATAAAAATAATAACTATTTCGACAAATCGAAAGGACGAAAGAGAAAGAATGAAAAACAAATTCCTTTGGTATTCTTCTCGAAGCCGTTTTTATGTTCTATTTCTTAAGAACGCACACCGTTATTCGCTGCAAACACAACATTTCCCTCAAAAGAATTTTCTAAAGATTCGTTTAAAAAATAATAAGAAAAGTGACAAAAGACAAATGTTTGTACTTAAAAATTAAAGAACTTGAGCTTACATTGTAAACTAAAATAAATATTGAAACATTACATTTTATCAAATGCATATGACCTCATCTTGGCCAGTGTCCCCGTCCTATAAGCAATACACATATATCATATTAAAGTTTAGCGAAAACGGTAATTAATTTTTTTCACCTCTGCAGCCACTTTTTCGAGCGTTCCCTTCAGCTCTTGGTTATGAAGTTTAATACTATGTTCGTCTGCTGACAAGGAGGAGTTTGAGTCATCAAATGAAACCACAACAGAACTATTTGAATTATTATCCCCTTCCTAAAACAAAGCAAGGAAAAACCAAAACAATATAAGATAATCGTTTATTTGAGAATTGGCTAAGAAAATAAAAAGGCTGTCACTTTAATGCATGCTTACTACATAAGGTTTAGTTAAAGAGATCTTATAATTAAAGAGACTGACCAATAAAGAAGGAAGCATCTAGTTCTTTTAACCATTTGAAAACATTCAGCATGAATATTGATTCTAATTATGTTCTACCATTTATTAAGTAACTAATTTAAAAAACTCATAACAGATAAAGCTAAAATGATAGATCTACCAATAACTTGTACAAATTAACACTGAACAGTTAGCATTGAATAAATTGTATCAATTATTTTACTTGTAAAACAATAAAACTATTTTACTATTGCTTCCCACCAATTAGTTAAATGTATTTTATATTAGTTTTATTTTTTATTAAAGGGATAGCTATAGATATATTTTTAATCGAGCACAGCCTTTTTTTGTGAAAGATTAAAATTTTGGAAATAAAAGTTTTTTTAAAAGGTTACCACATCGTTTAACTCATTCATTTTCGGCTTCTTATTAGCCGAATCCGGATTTGAGTCTGACGGCCTTTTTTTAGGCCGGTTTTCAGTTCCTTGGTTTTGATTGATTCCATTTTTGTGAAGAGGAGATGTGCTATTCCTTGATGCCGCCATCTAAACAAGTAAAAATTAGTGGAATGACATCATATACAAAATGAAATAAACAAAATTAATTGTTGATCCTTTTTAATAAAACTATTCATTTATTAATTATAATAAAAATAAATACAACACTGTTTAAAAGTTATTTATTTTTATTTAAGTTAACAACAATTGAAGTAGTCTTGATGGAAGCGTTTTAAAACAAAGGCGCATTAAATAAATGAATACGAATAAAAATCAATCAAATAAAAAAGAAAATTCATAAAACTAAAAAGAACGGTTATACTGACAAACTTTATTCTCAAAGCTGCGACATCATTTACTTTCGGGCTGTTCACAACCTTTTCAACGCACATCTTATGTTTTGGATTTTACTAAATGATGGCAATAGGATATTTTTTATCACAGTATTCCTTGTTATTGGATGGGTTGTGATTGAATTTTGAGAGTATTTTTTGGAATCTATCATTTTCAAAAGGGCTGGTATAAAAGAAAAAATCATTGAAAGCCCAAAGAAGTGGACAGGTTAGCTTTGGTTCATGTTCTGATTTAACGGTTTTGGCTTGACTGGGAACAGGGTTCATTCTTGGTACTATTTGACCGACTTGGGCTTCACGCTCATGCTCAGAGACGTCACCGTCATCTGAATCGGTATCATCATGATCATCCAAGTTACCAACCTTTTTCTCTTTCTTCAGGATATTGGCTGGTAGATAAGCGGATAACTGCTTCCTGGCAAGTAAAAATAATCATTTACTAATCATGTCATAATATAAACACATTTTTCCCCCCAAATTGTATACCTTCTCACATGACGAGCTTCTATTTTCATTGTGTCTTTAATCATTTTACTTGCAGTCGCTTGCCGATGGACTAAAATCAAAACAAAGGCAAAAAGAAAGGAGGAATTTGCATTTTGTAGAAAATTCATTTTTGATTATCAAACATGCTATGTATTAACTATATAGTAAAGAAGAAATATCCAAGTGCACATAAAAACCAATAATGAAAAAGCAGTATTAGGTATTAAAAAAATGCAATTTTTTATCAAGTAAAAAAATTTACATTTTATTGTTAATTTATTTAGAAATACTTTTTACTCAAATAATATAGCTATAAGTTAGAATAAATTCAAGAAAACTAGGGCGCCTGCTCTTACTGATTCAAACTAAAGGCTCATCACTATATAAGCACATTATGAAAGTTTTTTATCTCAACCAATACCTTTCATAAACATTAATTAATTGAAAAAAGTTATTTGGTCAATCAGACCACGAACTGTAAAGGATTATGCAAGTTGTTGAACTTGGACTTGTCAGACATATCAAATGGATTAAAACAATTTTTCAACCTTTACTTTTAAAAAATATCATTGATCTGCACTGAATTTCACCCATTCAACGTTTTTTTCTATTTATAAAAGAAAGTGTTTATTTCAATTGAACCTATTTTTAAAGTTACCTGACAACCTTTGAACATAATAATTTCATTTCAAGTGGCATACCTGATGTTGTAAAGGAGTGTATATCGTATGTGAGGTCGACATTCAGATTTTCAAGCTTCTTAAAAACAAGGCCGATAAACCACATAGACGTTGGGCTGGTTGTCTCTCCTGGTGGGTTCGGTGGTCCTGGGAAGCACTCGGGATTGACATGAGCTAACATTATGTGTTGGTTGCGCTCAAGATTTCCCACTAGGTGCCTAACTTTGGATTCGATCAACCCACACCATTCCAACTGCTCTTCAGCGTTACCAGAGCTGGCCATTAAAACAATAAAATGTCTAAAAGAGAAAAAATTATAACAAGTGAAAAATAATAAATATTTAGTTCATATTTAGTCGTTATAAATACTTGTATTTTGTAAAGAAGTTAGGAGCTTCAAATAATTTATCCCATGTGGCTCTTCCTATCATAATGTCGTCTGTAATCGAAAGACCTTCATTGAATGCTTCTTGAAGGATTGTCCTTGTTGAAGTCGAAACATTGAAAGTTGAGTTCTGTTGTGGATAGACGGGGGTAATAATCGGCATTAAATGATAACGATCGGATACAGTTACCTAAAATAAAAACCAAATAAAAAATAGCATATACAGAATTATACAAGAAAATCAAATGCTGGCAAATATTTACCCGAGGGTCCCACACAGGAAAGCCAAGATTTACCGTATCAGGTTGTTTTAGTAATACAGGTTGGGGCCACTTCCATTGTGAAAAAACAAGGAAAAACTTATGTACAAGGGTAGCTGCAACTGCATTCGGATAAAGTTGACAAGTCCTTGCTACTAGCATTGCCCAAGAAACACCCCCTAGGTATCCCATTACATTACTATAAATCCCATGCCCTGAAAAAAAATTATTAATTAAACATTTTCATGTTTCAAGAAGCTTTGAAGACAATTGTAAGACTGCATGCATTACGTTGAGGTCAGATTGATAAACAATTATTGCACTATTTAAGTGAAAAATACTTACGTTTTGCCCATAATTTGATTGTGCGAAGTGTGAGGCGAAAGTTTTCGATGTCAGGTACCAACCTAAGGATTTCATCAGTTACTCGGCAACCATTTAAACTTCTAACACACTTCTGATCGAGATTTTTAAGCAACATGTCATCCTTTAAGTCCTGAAAAAAATAATGAATAAGTTATAAATTAAATTAATACGACATTCTATAAACAGATTGTCAACTTACCATTGCATCTGGAATTTCTTTGAGTGCAAGCCTTGCAAATAGCATGTCAATTTCAATACCATCGAAATTCATTTTAACTACTGGTACAAAAGCATCTTCTACTGCCTGATGGAATACACACAAAAAATTAAAATGCTTCAAAATATGCAATTGTTTTATTTTTACTCACCCTCAAGTCTGTCACTTCTGGATTTTGTTTGAGCTTTTCAAAAAATGAAGTGAAGTAGTCAGAGCGATCGATATGCCTTGGAGCCACACAGAGTGCGTCGATGTCAGCACCCTTGTGATGTACGCCGAGCCTGTATGAGCCGAATGTGTAGATTTTGCCGCCAACTTGTGAAGCCACGCTTTCAGGCATATTCCTACTGATACTCAGTTCGCGTATCCACTCTTTCACTAACAGGTTCAGCTTGCTGAGGATCTCCATCCTATATGTATGGACAACGGATATCTCCAAAGGTAAATAAACAGCTCACAAAAACATAAATTAAATTTTTTTAAGTTTGTTTAATAACTGCTTTTGGAAACTACCTTCAAACTAGAAAACATTTTTAAAAACCAAAAAGGCAGTTATTATACACAGAAATTAATGTAACATCCCTTTATTATTATTTAAAAAAAAAAAAAAAAAAAAAAAAAAAAAAACCGAACTTGAACTTTGTCAAGTTATGGACGTGTAGCTTGATCATCTTTGATCACCCTGTTTGCTTTTTGCTAGGTTTGTCTGTCAAATGTATCTCAACATTTCATTACACTCAGAAGTCTTTCTGAAGAAATTTTAATGATAAATAAATCTGACATAAGAAAAGAAAAAAAAAGAAAAACTAACATCAGTATGCTTATCAGGATGACAGGAGACAATCAACCTACATGAATATAATAGTCAAATTTCTAAATTTTTTCTTCTCTTCACATTGCATGCTTTTAACAACTTAACAAGATATATTTAATGCCTCAATTTATAGGATGATTTTATGAATAAACTATCTTAAAACCTGAATTGTGCTTTTTTGGGGAGTACATTATACAGAAAAAATAGTAATACTGAAAGAAGTCTAATTAGCAACAAATTTAATAAAAACAAACAACATACGGATGGTTTATTATAGTATGAAGTACAAAATCGGATAGAAACATGGAAGATTAGTTGTCAACAGTATTTTCAAAGTCTAACCTGTGATTGAGCTCCTCATCAGACTCCATTACATTGTAGGGCTTAAGCGCTTGAACAAGCTCATTTGTTCTCTGGACATCTATTTGTTTCGGACCAGCCAGAGTTATTGCCGATGTCAAGCCAAGAGTGCGCTGCTGAGTAGCCGTCTGCTGTTGCATTTGTTGGCTCTGCTGCTGCTGCTGCGGGGGCAGCTGCTGCACTGTACCTTGGGACGACCACATTTCTTCCCTGTCAAAAGTTAATAAAGAGTTCTAAACATACACACCATTGTTTCAAAGGGTTTAAGAGCGAAATACGATTAAAACTATAAATAATGGGGATAATAACATAACATGCAAGACAAAAATTTAAAATTAATTTCTGTTACACACACCATTATTGCATTAATCATGTTAAATTTAACACCTTAAATATATTTTATGAACTACTACATAAAGGAATTTGTTTAAAAAATAGTTTATTGTAAGTAAATGTTGATTGATATTAGAGAGATACTTGTCACTAACACAAAAATTAACTGTTGCACTGACACATCCTAATTTAAACATGAAATTAACTGAAACAATCGATAATAGGTAGTTCTCTTATCGTCATATAGCTATCAAGAAATTGAAAGCAGAAAAAGTAATTTTAACCTTTTAGGATGAGAACTAATACTGTTAATCTATATAAATTAATTATTAACCTTTTGACATGATACAGAAAAATATAAAATCTCATGAACTAAAAATTAATCAAATGTCGATAGTGACAATAAAGCTGAACTACTTTAGTTACAAGTTGTCCAATCCTGTTGGACAATAAAAAATTATTATTTTTAAATTGCCATCCTTTTTATTTTGCAACACATGTTTTTTCTCATTGCATTAGACTAAATATTTCAATATCAAAACTGCAACAATTAACTTTCATGCTAGTTTACTTCTAAATTTTAAAATAATGTGGATGGCAAGTTGAGTGAAAAGAATAATATGATCGACAATATGATCTAATAAAAAAAAACCTTTGGCATTGTGTATATGTTAGGAAGCATATGTTACAAAACTCTCTTACCAGAAAGATCTATATGGAGATTTCAACAGCATTTGGTGAACAAAAAATATTTCTTTAACGTTTCAATAACTGAGATAGAATAAATGTTCTTTAGGCAATTCACATGTGAGTAGAGACAAAACAAATGCTTTTAATATACAAATTAGTTTGTCAAAATCATTTCAAAAAGCGCGCTGTAACAAAAGCCATACGTAGTTCCGGTTAGATTTTTGTTTTGTTTTTCCAGACAAATATCACTCTTCCTTGCACTGTGTTAAAATTGATATTAAAACATTAAGTCTATTTAATCTTTTATCAACAGGCATATGACAAACCCCTGGCCTGTTTTAACTTCAGCTGCAATCAGAAGAATGAATACAAATCATGTATTTTTATATTTTTTGTTTGTTTTTCAAAGAACATTTCCTCGTAATTAATGCGCAGAGTGCAAAAAATTGACTGGGTCAGATAGACAAGATTTGGAGCTTCGATTGGAAGACTGATCAGTTTGTAATCGAATGACTAATATATTGTTATAAACATTTGTGTTTTGGAAGTTTTTAAGCTTGTGAAATTAAAACTATATTATTAATTTTATTTCAAAATTAAACAACTACATTATTTCCCAATTTTCAAATTGCTAATTTTGCAGTACCTACTCCCCTCCCATGATTTATTTGAAAATCAATGTTATGGCCTATTTTTTAATAACTTAATGGATATAAAAGCTTTAAATGGTTAAAACATTACAATGCTGCTGTATATATATTGTAATGAGTTATTTAAACATTTTTTTTATCTTTTTTAAATTTAATTTTCAATCTCCATCTTGTCATCACAATATAATTTAGAAGTGTATAAAACAAAGAATTTTTATTTTCAAATTCTAAGTTTAAAACCTGAAAACATTATAAAATATCAGACAGGATTCAATTTTTTACTTAATATACATAGTAAATTCTTTGCTGTTTGAAGAGTAATACTGTCTTCAAACAACACAAAAAGTACAAAAGTTTACAATGAAAAAATTTAATAATTTGTAAAAAATTGTGGCAAAAGGGGAGTAATTCTGATAGAATAAATATCCAAAACCAAACCCAAAACTACCATTAAGAACTATACCTTAAGGTAATAAATTTCACACTATAGAAATATATGCTGTTTGAGCTTAACTTTTTATTTTCTAATTAACTGTGCACACTAAACTAGTTGTGTCATTAAGAAACTATTTATTACCTTAAAATTGTAGCCACAATGTTTTAGCATGTTCAATTGATGAGAAGCATTACAGAGCCTAGGTAGTGTTGCGTAGAGCCTCTCTTTAGATCCATCTCACCATCTTAGAAAAGACAATTAATTCAAAACTCAAAGAAAGCTATTAAACTACTAGTCTACTAATAAATCTAATTTAAAACTTATAGTGATAAAAAAGAAGAAAAAGGTGCTTTCGTTTAAGTTTTTAATGAAAATAATCTTTTCCTGGAGACAGTGACAAAATATTGAGTGCAGTCAGATTATTTGAGAACTCTGGTCAAAAAAGAGACGTTGGTACCTAGTTCAACCCCCTTGTCTGTAATTTGTTAGTTACCTATCATCTTGGTCTGCCAATCCTCGATGATTTTGTCACAGATTTGCTCAGACCAAATCAGTGAGGATGGCATTCCCTTGATGAGAGGTAACTATCAAACTTCTCATCCTGAAGACCACAGGAGGATACAGTACAACTCTCTATAACAACACATAGTTTTGTTGTTTACAAATCCGTTACCTCGATACACTATTTGTTCTGGTTTGTGTTGATCTTCGCGCTTGATAGCTGCTAGCCAACCAAGTATATTGAGATCTTCGATAATGCATAGCTTGAGACTGTATCTAAGTCGAGACTGCAACTGAATATAAGTCAAACTGTCCGTCAGGAGAGCGATCAAGATACTGTGTACACCTTCAAGTCCGGTGGAAAAGTGACTCGGTAAAGTAGGGGGAAAGCAAAGGAAAGTGAGCAGGTATTGTATCATACAATAGCGGTAGGCGGTAATCCCTTTCTAGAAAGGGCCTCCGGATAATCCAGGTAGAAATGAAGTTCCTCTGGGTTTTTTTTGACAAAGCAGAATTGTTATTATTAAAAATAACAATAGGTTACTAGATGACAATTCAAACTGGTAAAAGGGGAAAACCTCGATATTATGTAACATGCTCTATGTGTTATATTAAATGATCATTTTCAATTAGAAATAGAATGAGCATGTAAAGAAAGATAGACATGTGCAAAAAACTAAAGAGCCTATTTAAGCTTTTAAAATTAAATTTTGGCCCGAAATTTTTGCAGAATGTGTAAATTGACTTTAACATAAGACATAGAAGGAGGGATTGATATAATTATGTGTTATTTAATTTCCAAGGAGGACGAAAATCAGGAACAGAGAGGGCTCTCCTTAAAAGGAAGACATACAAAACAAAACGCGGGTTAAAGTAAAATCTTTACGGAAAAAACAATCCGATATAATGTCGAGCGCGGCCGGGTCAAAATTCTTCAAATCCCACAATTAAATTGAAAATCGAGTAAAAGGTAGAAGTCTGATTTGTTTACGACGGGACCGAAAGCGTTGTAAGTTTGTAAAAACGACGAGAGAGGAAGTGCTGTTATATAAATATGTACTTACTTTTTGCCGTTTAAAATTATATTGTGTAGTCTTGAAATTCGTACAAACTAACAAATTTAGGACAGACAGAAAACAACAGAAATACGTCTATAACAAATCCCCCATCCTACTACTAGTTAATATGGCGTCTCACTGTTTAATTTCCCCATTGCAAACAGGGACTGCGCTAGGTTAGCATGGGCAACCGGTATTTTTCGACGTTTTTGTGCTTTTGGCAAAACTTCGAACTTATTGTTCGAGAGATTTTGAAACGGTTTTTAAATTATTTGCCGGATCTGGACGTAAAAATCCAACTATCCTTCGTTGGATGTTTTCCAGGATTTTGGCCGATTATCTTTTCGATATCCATTTGGCACTGAATTACGTCGCAACGGGAAAGTTATGTTTTCCTTCTGAGTTTTCGCCAATATTTGTCAAACAAAAATAAACTTCTAACTGCTTTTTACCGTTATTTTAAAACAATAATCAACGGCTGAGCTTTATCGATTTAAAAGAAAAATGAATTAACAAAAAGTAAGCTTTCTTAAAATTTTAGTTACTAGTAGTTCACATGTTGAATATGATGGAGAATGATTGTATTTTAAAACACTTCCAACATAACAATATTTATCCATTAACAAGTTAAAATTTTACAACATAATTTCCATTCGTTCGATTTTATATTGGTTTATCAACTTGGTTCATTCAGTTAAAAGTAAGTTTTGAAAAGATTGCAGACTTTCTCACCAAGAATGAGTATTTTTTTCATTTCGGTAGTATGCAATCTCAATTTTCCGTTTCCATGCGGTTCTTTTGAACAATTAACAATAGCATGTAATTGTGATATTCTCAGGTTGTGAACTAGTAGAAATTCGGTTTAAAATACCGTTTGTTAATGTTACTAAACAAAATTGCAGAGATTATTATTATTTATTGTATTAAAAACCAAGAAACACAGATCGCTACCTCAACTTTACATCTCACCATCCTCTTCAGACAATAATAAACACGGCCAAAGGGCTACTTCAGAGAATTATTACCCTAAGCCATGAATCATTTCACCACAAGAACATAAAGATATACAAACAGATCCTCCATAACAATCTCTACCCTATACACATAATTAACAGAATAATCAACAACTACAACTTAACACTAACACCATTCACTATTATTAATAATAGTAATTCAGATATCGTGAGATGCGGTCGGGTGTGATGTAGGTTTCAGAAAAACATTTTCTTTATCATGACAACGTTTCGATCTTTTATTGAGATCATCTTCAGGGCCTGGGATTTACAAACAATGTTTACATTTAACAAATACATTTAGGATGTGGATAAGTGAATTTATAATGTTTGAATATAAAATATATTTTGCATTGTATAAATTAACTTATCCACATCCTAAATGTATTTGTTAAATGTAAACATTGTTTGTAAATCCCAGGCCCTGAAGATGATCTCAATAAAAGATCGAAACGTTGGCACGATAAAGAAAATGTTTTTCTGAAACCTACATCACACCCGACCGCATCTCACAATATCTGAATTACTATCGATTAACGGTCACTAATCTCTACACATTATTAATAATACTACATTAAGTCTATCAACTACAAACAAACCAGCATACATTTCCATGCCATTCATTCAAGGCCTATCACATAAATTAAACACCTTTCTCTCGTCCGATAACTTCAAAATAGCTTTCAAAAATTATAAAACAATTCAAACACTTTTTTCCAAAATTAAAGATCCCACACCAATAACAAATAAATCTGACGTAATCTACAAAATCAACTGTTCAAACTGTCCGGCAATTTACATCGGTGGACAAGAGAGAAACAACATATCTATGATTTCAAAAAACCCAAGCAAAATCCTACAGCACTCGCTACCCACCATTTTGAACACCAACACAATTTCGACTTCGAAAATCCAAAAATATTACATATAGAACAAAACAAACATAAACGTAATTTCTTAGAAAAGGTTTGTATCAACAGAGATAAACCCAGCATCAATTACAGAACAGATACATGTAAACTCAGTCGCAGCTACGCCAATATCATTAATCAAATTCAATATAGATAACATACATATATCATCCCATTACATTCCACATATCAAATATTTTTCATATAATCTAATTGTCCAACAATTTAGCTTTCCTTTTCCTATTTATCCCTTTCTATATAATCCTGAAAGGATAATCTGGCCGAACCATTACCAATACATTTTTTCCCTTCGTCGGCTCTTTTCACCTCAAAGAAGCCGACGCCTTATACAAAAACGTCTTTTCTATACCGACTTACTTCCCCACCCCTTCCAAATCCAACATATATAAACATAAAACAGCAATATCTCACTGGTACTCTCAACAGGGCACGCAAGAATGGCACAATTACACAGAAGACAAACACTTTGAGTGAGTAGAAATACTTTGATGGAACATTTAAAAATATATACGTATATTTTGCATTGTTTAAATACGCTTTTTCATATCCTAAATGTATTTGTTATATGTAAACAATGTTTGTAAATCCCAGGCCCTGAAGATGATCTTAATAATTAATCTACTAGCACAATATATATTTGAAACTGAAAATACGTCGCTACTAGAAAGTTTTGTTGGCCTTTTTAGTCTATTGGCTAATGGTTTTCAAAAGTATTTTTGTTGGATTGACTTAGTCGACATTATGTCGCTTTTAAAACTTTGCTTTTTACATGCACAATTTAGAATTAACAAGAATTAGAAGAACAAATTGGAAAAGTTCGCTCATGTTTTATTAGTCCGTGTTCTGTTCGATATTTGGTTTAAGTTTATGGTATTAAAAGCCAAGGGAAAGTTGTTTTCCTTCTGAGCTTTGGCCAATAATTTTAAAATTAAACTTTTAACCGTTCTGTACCGTTGTTTTCAAACAATAATCAACGGCTAAGCTTTATCGATCTAAAAGAAAAACGGATTAATAAAAACAAAATAAGATATATGAGCTGTCTTAAAAATTTAGCTAGTAGTTCGCATGAATTTGATGAATTGATTAGTGATTGTCATTTTGAAACTTCCCGAATATGACATTAAAGTTTACGGCATTATTTCAATTTATTAAATTTTTATTGGATTATAATCGTGGATCGTTTTTAAGAGCAAATTTTGAGAAAGATTGTAGACTTTCTCACCAAGGATAAAGTATTTTTATATTTTACTTGTACGAAATATCAGTGTTGATTTAAACAATCATTTACAAATTCACTGTATACGTAACAGGCTTTATATCGTATATTTTTGAAGTTCTTTAAGTTATAAGCTGTAGCATATAATGTTTTTTAATATCCTCTTAGTTAATGCTTTCAAATATACATTTAAGTTTCAAGAAAATTGTTTATACGTACGTAATAATTTTTAAACAATTATACATACACAAAATGCAAGGATATGGTGAATTTTGCAAGAAAAAAAACCACTAAGTTTGTACAAATCTACGAAGGACACATTCTCTTCATCAAAAACTTGAAACTATTTCTAATCATTTATCGGTTAACAAATATAAACATCGACTTACAGTATTCATATCTACAGCTCCAACTTTAAATTATTTATTTGCTAGCTTAGGAGTCCATTCTACTTTCTTTTCTTTTTTTTACAGAAATTATAATGTTAAGGCTGATACATCAAAATAATTTGTAAAGTTTCAATCATTTTTCCTTGAGAGCTTCCTGTGTTCCAAAATTGCTAATTTGATGGCGATGTAAAATTCCATCTATCCTTGGATGGTTTCTCAGATTTTCCCCGAGTATCTTTTCAATACACACTTAGTGCTGAATTAATTGAACACGGCAGAGTTGTGTTATCCTTTGCGACTTTGTTAATGTTTTTAAAATGTAATATTTAACATTTTGCTGTCACACTATTCAACTTTGACATTTTTATGGCAGACGAACCCAAAAGAAAGTTAGAAAGGCTCGCTACCTTTCTTAAAAATTAAAATTGCATGATTTGATGGGTGTAATTGTTTTCCTGCAAGAATTACGCATATTACATTCTAGTTTATCGCAATCAGCTTAGATTTAAACAATTAGTTATAAAACTGACGACTGTTTTAGTAGCAACAGATAATTGTAAAGTTCTTGCGATTGATTGATAATTGTGAACTGTTATGACCTATTACATATAATTGGTTTCAATACCATGTTTCTTAATGATACTTATTTTAATGGTATTTACATTTAAAAACAATTTTTACAACAAATTCATTTATAAATTTTGCAATTCTTCAAATTTTTTTATTTTGCCGAAAGTTTCTTCTCTTTCGAAAATTATTTACATATTTGATAGGACGACAATATGCTTGGTTGAATGTTTTCTTAGTGTTTCTCCGAGTATCATTTCTACATCCATTTGGCACCGAATTGCGTTGCCGTGTGAAATTGTTATACTTTTGTGGAAATCGTTATATATTGCAGTGTTTTCTCTTGTCCCACCGCTGAAGATGGCGAGACGCCGAAACGCGACTGTCAGCCCAAAACAACGCGAATTGGCAGGCAAAAATGAAAGTAAACAACAGATTGTTTATAGAATGAAATTTTGAACGTTTTGTTTACGCAATATTTAATGGATTATAAAGCTTTTTGATTTATTTTAGTTCAACCTTTGACAAATATATTTAATACAATTAATTAATCTTTTTAAGCAATGTTTTGGTTGAAATGAAAAAGGTAGTGTCAAGAAGGGATTCGAACTTACCCAAGCCGAAGGTCGAGGGTTCGAATCCCGCTCGTGACACTAGCTTTTTCATTTCAATCAAAACCTTACATAAAAAGATTAATTAATTGAAAGAAGTAATTTGGTCAACCAGACCCACGAAATATAATGGATATTTAACACAGTTAAATTACATTTAAAAAATTTTCCATTTTATAATTTCCACTTTTCCATTTATTATTTAACTTTTACCACTTTATTTTCGATTTTGCAGCCTAAAAACCTCAATAAATGGTCTAATAGTACCAATACAAATATTAAAATGCAAGAGAAGTCATTTGTTTTTGATGATAATACTGATTACAATATACACAGCAATGAAAATATACAGCAAGCCTCGGCATCATAAAATTAGAGAACTACAATTTAAAAGATGGACCAAGATCAGGCCAGATCACAAAAAATTAAACAAAAATGAAAATTAATGTCGAAAATGAACTATAATGATCAATTTTCAAATTGGCAATAAAGAGTGTGCAGCTGCTTAACTATTTTAAATAGAATGAAAATCCTGAAAATGGCTCAGCTACATTAAGAATTTTAAAACTATAAAGATGGGGTAGACCCAGATCTGTTGGCTTTATGGATTACAGAAAACAATCATCCAAAACTGGCTAGCCAGAAACTAAGTCTAAAATAAATAGTATTGTATCATACAAAGTTTAAGATAATTTTTTATTATTGTCAAAATATTGTATTAAACTAACAAAAGTTTTACTTTGTTAACATTTAGTATGATTAATAAGAAATCCTGACGTTGTTGGTTGCTCAAACAAAAAGAAAAGTGTAAGGCCACCCTCTGCCAAGTGGTTGTAAATGTTCAATGTACCCTACTCTCTTAGGTCTAAGCAAAATTAATTATTTAGAAAAGGCACTCTGAACATAGAAAAATCTTGGTGCTTCAACCAATTAAATAAACCATTACTGCTATTACTGTTTAAATAAATTAACTGTAATAACAGTTGATAATCCTAGTTTCTTCATTATTTCAACTGAAATAAAAGATGGTAAAATAAAAAAATTACTTACTCAAACTATCATGAGTCTTTTTTGGTCTAGAATTTGGGGCAATGTTATGAAGGATTTGGTTTAAGGCTTTTGTAATTGTTTTTACATACAAAAAAGTTCAAAAGGTCATAAAATTACATGTTTAATATTATTTTTCACTAAATCTTCTAGTATGACTTTCTACGTTCTCTACCCCTTATACAATATCAATACCAAAAACAATGTGTCCCTGTTATATTGCACAAAAAAAATTAAGTATAAATATAGTGAAATGGGGATTCTTTAAAATTGAGAGATGCGTAAACATTTCATGAAAATAAAATATAAAACGGTCAGGAATTATTTTGGCAAGTAAGAGTAAGAGGATTCATACAACTTCATAAAATTCAAGTCTACACGACAACCAGATTTCGAGATTTTTGAGAAACCCAAAATTCACCTCCATTCTTGGCAACAGTAGCACTAAAACAGTTAAAATGAAATACAATTTAACATATTAAATTATTAAATAAAATCCAAACCAAGATAAACTATTACAGAACACTTACTAGAAAACTACTGTTTCTTTGAGATTCGGTGGAGCTGTCCATCTGAGAACAACTTCTTTCTTATCATCAGGGCTAGCATGAGTGGCAGCATTCTATTAACACAATAGATAAAAAATGAAATTTTTATTTATTTGGTCGTGTTATTACTTTTTGTTTGTTTAATGCAATATCATTAAAATAACTGAAAACTGTTAATATTTCTACTTCAGTAGCAAGAGCAAAAGTCGCAAACTTCACATTAAATATCACGGATGCAATAAAAAAATTCTACACTAATAAAATATTTATTGAATAATTGATATAAATATTTATTTTTTTTGTTATATTATATAAATAAAACTTATGTAATCTTACTTGAGAGCCAGATCCACAGTCAGTTAATTTCACCAGGTTTGAGCTGCCTTTGGTAGAGAACTTTCCAACTGGTGTCGATCCAAGACGGGCTTGTAATAAGAATCCTTTGAAGGTTTCGGTTGTCTTTCCTGGACAGAATAAATTTATATAATAAAACCATTTCATTACACATCTATGATCAACACACCCGTAATAGTTACGTCGACTGACTCTCCAGCATGAATTTTCGTTCTGGACAATCTGATGACATAAGGAGACCTGCTTTTCTGTGGTGGTACTTTGTGCTGTGGGGTCATGTCCTCACAAGTTTCCTTGGGTGCCCCAGATTTATATGAGGAGGCGAAACCAAATAAAATGAAGGCAATTGTAAAGATCAGATAAAATGATTTCATTCTGTAATGAAATTACGAAATTAAAATTGAAAAATCATTTGAAATTATAAAATTTACTCATCAGTTAAAAAAGAATAAAAACAAATTTAGATACATGAATGTATTGTTATCATGTAAATGTACAGTTTAATAATGTTACTTTAGCTGAGAGATGGTGTAAAAATCAGAATACTAAATAAAATGTAAGACAATTTTTACACATTAATAGGAGTTGAGCCTCATCATGATCAGATAAATCTGTAGATTTCTCTCCATTTCATCCTCCAGCCTAACATATTACATATTTCATTGGAATATTTCTTATCGATGTCTGCAGGGTTTGAACATGATGTAGCTTCGTATCTGATCACTCAGCCAGCCGGTCCTAACTGGTTTTCTCTTTCAGATGCATTTCACCATCTTCAGTGGAGGGCCTGTGTTCTTTCAACACAGTTCTAACTTTACAGTTGGGCCAATGGTGAAATGTATTTGACAGATAAAAATGATGATAAAAATAATAATAAATTGTTCTAAATGACTACAGATTCATCTCCTTGCAGACCCCATAAAAAAGTTATTGACATTTATTCATGGTGTAGATTCATTGATGATTCTATAGTCACTTGGAATGTTTGATCTGTCAGGTGTATTTTGGCATTTCGCCGTCGCCCAAACTATAAATAAAATTAGAACTGTGTTGAAAGAGCACAAGCCCTCCACTCCTGATGGCGAAATTCATTTGAAAGACAAAACCAGTTAGGACTGGCAGACCAGGAAAATTGAACTTGTGCTGTTTTCCCTTGGTTGAGAACCTTGCCTAATGTCTTGAAGTTTTTAATTCTAACTAAATACTTTGGGATTTTGATGTTATTTGTATATTGCAATACAGAATTATATCTATTCCATTTTCAACATTTTCCACTTTTAATAATCTTTTCCATTCATGGTTCTAACGTAAAACATTGGATTTGCCAAACACTCTCGCAGAGCTACTCAGATTCCTTGTTTCCAATAGGTTTTCCTCAAAATTTAAATTTGCATTTAATATTTTTAAGTTTTCCAGTCCAATTAATATGTCGAACTGTTCGTGTAATCTGAACATGTTGAATTTTAGGTTTAAATTCCTTTGTTTAAACTCTCTCCAAATGGAACAAGAGTGCTGAATTTTTCTAGGGCTGCCATGTACTGTAGAGACCTTAAACGGGTTGAGTTGAATTTTCTTTGGAAATATCTTTTCAGCAATGATTAATGAAAGATTTGGTACTCCCAGTATCAGGAGGAGGGGTACGGGCCTACCTAGGCTTTTAACCCCTCAGGTCCTGGTCGCCCGCCCTGTGTAATATATATCAGGAGGAAGCAGTATTAGGCAGATGAAGAAATATCAGTCTACTCATATCCCCACTTAATTAAATATTGAGAGTAAGCAAAATGTGTGTTGTACTACTTTTATTGACGCAACTTATGTGTATATGCATGAACACTACATACACCTATCAATCCATCTTAGCCAAGCTTATAATACAATATAATACAAATGTAAAAAAAAATGTAATATTTAAAGCTGAAGGTTGTGGGTTCGAATCCCGCTCATGACACTACTACTTTTTTCATTTCAAACAAGACCATACATACAAAGAATAATTAATTGAAATAATTAATATGATTAATTAGACCACTAAACATAAACGGATAATATTTTAAAAGTAGTTTGTGTATTTGATCCCCCCAAAGAATAAATAAAATAAAAATAAAAACAACCTGAAAATTAAGAAGTCATTTTTAAACATTTATTTAAAGTGTGGTTATATTGAAAAATGAGTGTCACAAGCCATCTCAACCATACTTTGCATAAAAATAATTAATCAATTACATGATACATAATAAAAAAATAAAAAGAGGAGCAACAAAAACCTATATAAACACATTAAAAAATTTATACAATTATTTTCTGTATTACATCTTTATAATTTTGCTAAGTTGAGTGTGCAATAGGATAGAGGGGTGCTGGTAAAAGTAGGACAAATTAATGTAATAAAAACAGGTCTCAAATTAGTGGGTAAAAGACGTTTTCTCTTCTCGATGATTTAAATATCACATTATAACACGATAAACGCGAATTTAGTTGTTGAAATCTCTCGTTGGGAGTTACTTTCAAATTTTGTTTTGAACAATTAAACAAAATTTCAATTTATTATCTCGTTTTCTTAAGGAAATGATTAGAGCTCCATTAGTAATGAATATGACAATCAAAATATGTAATGAGAGAAAGAAACACATTTGTGTTCAACTACCCATACAATTTTAATCATAGATCTATAATTAATTATATAAAAGTGATTTGTTGAAATTATACGATATAATTGTTTTAATTAGAATTTTTTCTTATGATCCGCAGCTCCCGTCAATCTTCCAAGGTGAGCCGCGACGTCCCCATAAGGAAAAAGCGAAGAAAGCAGTAACAATAGTTTTTTCTTTGTAGGGCATTATGTATTCCAATGATCTGGCGAATTAACAAGGTGAAGGATAAATTCGAGGTCTACAGAGCATGCTTGATGATGCCGGATGGCAAAAAAAAAATGTACGCAATTAAGTTAATAAGTTGGAACACTGGAAAATAATAATCTTCGATTCTTGAGCAGGTCCTTGAAGCCCGTCCTTGCCTAATAATTGGCTCGTATCGTTTTATTAAATTCCCTTTCCAACCCTATGTTCATCACCGGAGGAAAAACCAAATAAATGCAAAGAATAGTAACTATTAAAGTAAAAAGTGGCCAATTGAACTTTTGAACAGCGTTTGATGCGGTGTAGCAATAAATATAGTTGTGCCGCTTATATTCAATAAAGGTAAACGAATTGGGTTTAATGGAACAGATCAGCAAAGTTCGACTCTGCACCCAACAAAAACGACATTAAACCAGAAATACAGGCTTGTAGTTAATAAATTAAACTGTACGTTACACGGTAATATTATAACTTAATCTGGTAAATGGGGCCCATTATATATTATAACAAATTTGATTGTAGTATAGTAATTTCCAAAGAATATATTCTTAATCCGTAATATCTGATCTTAATCCACAATAAATTATTTGCATATTCTTTTTCGTAACATTTATGACCGTGGTGATCAGATATTTATCCGAATCATACCTCCGTGGTACAGTGATTCAAATTTCAATCCGCATATTTTTGTATATTTGAAGAATATTATCGCAAATTTGACATCTTTTTTATTGCCTAGAAAAAGAAACAGAAAAAGAAAGTAGGCATGAGAGGAAAAAGACAAAATATAGACAATTTAATAGCCTAAAATTTTATTCAGCATTCAGTTAACTTTCCAGGAACAAAGACGTAAACAAACATCACAATAGAATTCTTTTGAAATCGGCATTTTATTTGAGACCCCTCATTTTCAAAGCATTTTTTGCCTTTCCTGAAAAATTAAAACGAGTCCTACACGCAACATCGGGCGGTTTGTAAAGCACACAAAGCCCTTCAAGGCTTTGTTCGGTTTCTGTAATTTTATGCTTTTTATGTAAAAATTTCTGTATTAAAATTATAACAATTTAAAACAATATTTCATCGGATTTTGAATAGACCTGAGCAGGCTTCAGTTACTATTTACGTTAACATTAACGAGTCAATTATTGAATTTCATCAAACGTTTATCTGATTTTCTGTAGAATATGGTTGTGTTTAAAATAAAAATAAACTAATTATTTTTTAAATTTCACTGTATTGTTTTAAAGAAGACTCCAGTATGTTTGTCATTTCCCAGAATATTGTAGTCTGGACAAAAGTATTTGGAAAAAATAAGTTTAATTTGAATGCTTCTTAAACCAATACACAATTTTGTCCGCACAAGTTCAAAATTAAGCCCACATTAAGATATATAATACTCAGTTCTATACAAAAAATAAATAATGTTAAAATCTTAACGCTAAAGGAAATTAGAAACGTAAAAATAGAAACGTGTATAGAAATAGCTCCTATTAATAAACTTGTGAAAATAACTTCAATACATTTTGACTTCACTTTTCATTATCATTCATTTTATCGTCTTTTGCTTTAAGAAATGTACAATAGAGCACGTGTAAAAATTAGAATTCGTCTTTGTAGGTGGTTTTGTAATATATATAATTTTTAAAGGTAAAATTTAAAGATATTGAATTGCCACTACAAACTTGAACATGCATGAAAGTCTACTTACTTGTCTTTCTTCTTGTCCAATTGGCTTCAAAAGGTGAATTGTCCTCTTAGGCTCTTACGCTCATATCCCAGCCCCACTACCATTATCGTTCTTCCTCTCTCCAAGTGAACGGTGTGTTTCCCAATGTTCACGAGGCCAAGGCTCAAGAGTCAACAATCTTCCAGAGAAATTTCCTAGCAGTAGAACATTTAATTTTTCGACAAAAAGGAACAAAAGTTGCAATGAGAATTTAAGAAATTTGAAAAACCTACGTTAGGTAATGTACAATCCGGCCCTCTTGAAAAAATGAGCCAATATGGAGTAACATTACAAAATAGGCGAGGCAAACAGAATAGCTAATTTTTAAAAAAAATATTATATATACAAATTACAACTAACTCCACAAAAAGTTACAAAAACCCATATGATAGTGTATGCAGGCCTCTTGTTACCAATGGTTGAAAATTGGTCACTGACGAGGAAAAGGTTGAGGGCATAGGAAATCATTTTGACGGAATATAAAAGAAAAAAATATATTTTATATTGATATTTTTATAAGAAAGCAGTTGATATGCATAGGGTGGGGGTCCGTTCAATTTTGAAATGAAATAGTGCAATACTAAACCTGTCCTTATGAAAAATATTAAAACCGGTGAAATCGAGTTAAAAAAGTTTTAGTTTTAAAACTGTAGTTTTGGTTACAAGTGCATCTCCCTGCAGACACCAAGATGGGAGGATAGGCCAAATTAATCGGAATATATATATTGTATTATAGCTTTGTTTTTCGTTTGTTTTTATTTGCTTAGCTTTTCACGCTGGTATGATAGAACGCTTCGGACCCCTCCTCGTTCCTCCATGATAAAACAGCTCAAGTTTTATCCTGCATATTTGCATTGCATAAATATGCTTGTTTGAAATAATTGTGTTTGCTTAATAAAAAAGACCTAGAGCATTTAATAATTTCAGTTAGCTTTCCAGGAACAAAGACGCAAACTGGCACACTAGAATTCTCTTGAAATAATTTGCATCTCATTTGAGATCCCACTTCTTGGGCATTTATTTGTCTTTCACGAAAAATTCCTTCTTTTTTTTCAATTTCTTCGAAAATAGAAGGTTGGATTTTTTCTTCATCGCAAAACAGATATTAGTAAAATCCCCGGTGGTGCGGGAATTAAAGAGAAATTTAAAAAATTCTTTATAAAACTACCAGATTGACTGAAATAGCGAAAATTAATGAAATTTTTAAAATATCGTTCCTTCACCTTTACCGACGTTAAAGTCTTTTTCGAGGTACAAATATACTTGAGCAATAATCGCTGTACTTACAGAAACTAACTTTGAAATTAATCTCATTATGAATTTTAATTGAGATCATTAACTTAAACCTAATTATTTATTTTGTACACTATTTTACATTATAGATGTTTTTGTGTGACATAATTTTCTTTCCTATTTCCTTTCAAAATGAATGTGTAGTAGATTAAAAAGAAAAGAAAAAAGTCTAGATTTAAAAAAATTAATCTAATATTAATCTAATATCTGTCGAGTGATGCCTCTCACATTCATGCTGCATATTTTAACATTTTTAGTGTAAATAATATAGTATTTTTGGTGGTTTTTTATTGCATATAATTTTGCATATTTGAGGTTGCATTAGTGGATAATAAATGGCATATTTGAGGATTTTTATAGTACATAAATCCGGGCTCAACTTATAGATGTAAAAGAAGAAAGCATAGTTAGGCCAAATTGATGAAAGCAACCAAACTGCAGAAATCTCCATCCAAAATCTCACAAATTTACTTTTAATTATTAACTTATTATGCATTAATATACATCTCTGAATTATACATCTCAGCATGTATAATATGATGCAACATTTTGTTTTATATATGAATTTTATTGCATATAATTTTTTATTTACATTATTTGTTTACATAGTGTGTTCAGTTGGCTTCGGGCAGTAGTGCACCTTTTTCACGTAGTCGGAATTAAAGGGGGCATTTTGCCTTAAATATACATTAAACATAAAATGTTTGGAAGAAAATGAATACTAAAAAAAAAACAGGCATTATACAAAACAATTATTATAATAATACAATAACTTATTAATCTCAACATTAGGTGCAGGTACATAAGTCCAATAAAAAAAAAAGAAGTCAATAAGAATATTCAATGCATACCATACACAATAAATCAACCAACAAAGACAACATCTATTTACACTCGAGAGATTTTGGACAAGGGTAGGTGTTAAGTTATTATCTTCAGGAGTTTTTTATTATTAAAGTTTCTTAAAAAATTTATCTCTTTAGGGGTAGATAAGGTAGTCAGAGTATTTCTGTTGGGTAGGAAGAAGCAATTTTTTAGTTGCTTTTTGACTTTTTTAGTAAATGAAACAATGCCCAGATTTTGTTCATTTACTTTCACAAAATAATGAGCAAGAACTGCATTTTTCCTGGGAGTGTCATACCCATAAGAACTAGGTGAAGAAGTGTTACTTATGAGAGGAGTAATATGGTCTTTGGAATTGTTTATTGATTTGATAGCTTTATTTATTTATTTAATGGACAGCCACACTTTTTTTAATGTACAAAATCTAAATACATTACAGTTTACTATGTAAATTAAAAATTACAACAGATAGAAAGAAAAGTACATTTATAATAGCTAGAAGAAATCAAAATTAAAGTAGGAATAAAATATTCTTATTTTGATAAAAGCAACTATCATAACAAGAACATTAATACTGAGGAACCTTAGGAAGTAATTTTTGCTGCAGCCTATTCATTTAAGGAATTTGTGGTGAATGTGCTCTAATAATTTACTGTAAGTATTATAGTGTGGGGACCATATTAAGGAGCAGTATTCTAATAGGGAATTTGGGCAGACGGACCTCCACGTCGTAATTTTACTTTAAATTATATATTATGTATGTTATGTATAACTTAATATATCATTTTCCATTGGTAAGGTAGGAAGAGACCCAACATAAAATAGTGACATGTAATCCATGAACTGCTAATTTAGCTATCAGAAGTTGTTTTACTTTGTCAAATACTTTGGTAAAGTCAGTGTAGATGGCATTAGCTTGACACTTTTTAATAAAAGAGTTTAAAATAAAGTTCTGGAAAAGAAGATTTATAGTTGTTGATTTTCTTTTGGTGAAACCACGTTTTTGATCTGTAGTAGTGTTAAGATCGGAGGTGTTAATTTATTTAATACAAGTGATTAAAATAATTTGCAGATGGAAGATTGTTCGGTAATTGGACTCTGAACATTAGATTTGCCACCACTTTTGTTGATTGATATTATACAGCTTTCTAATAAAAATTTCAGGAAAAATCCCAGAATTGACTGATAGAAATAATTGAGGTGGGGTGAGAAAGTTGATTCACTTTTTGTAAAGTATGGTTTTAATCACAGAATTGAGTGCATTGTACCGGTAGAGTCCCAACAAGAAAACTTGATAAATACTTATTCTATTTTGTGTTTTGATACTGATGTAAACATTTAAGGACTATGCCTAACCATCCTGCAACATTCAAATGCTATAATGTACTAATCTACTAATACTAATCTCATCTCCTGTCACAGAACTGAGAGAGTTAAAGCTTCAAATTCTATTTCATTTTCTCTCTTAATTTCAGCTGGTGTACCCCAAGGCCTTTACTGTTTTCTATGTTTCTAAATGATCTTCCATTAGCTCTTAATTTCTCCCAAATTCATATTTATGCTGATAATATTCAGCTTTAAATTCAATGTCTTACATATATGTTCATCTCTAAAGCTATCTCTCTGCTCAACCATGTTCCTCGTTCTCTCAATCGATGGTCAAGAAATAATGGCTTTCTTTTAAACCTTAACAAATCCAGTCCTTATTAATTTACAATAAACCCATTAATGCCGATTGGCTATCCCCGCCTCATATCAACAACTCCTGTATTAATAGTTATTCAGATATCGTGAGATGCGGTCGGGAGTGATGTAGGTTTCAGAAAAACATTTTCTTTATCGTGCCAACGTTTCGATCTTTTATTGAGATCATCTTCAGGGCTCAAAGTGTTTGTCTTCTGTGTAATTGTGCCATCCTTGTCACTGTGTTGACACACAAGGATGGCACAATTACACAGAAGACAAACACTTTGAGCCCTGAAGATGATCTCAATAAAAGATCGAAACGTTGGCACGATAAAGAAAATGTTTTTCTGAAACCTACATCACTCCCGACCGCATCTCACGATATCTGAATAACTATAGATTAACGGTCACTAATCTCTACACACTCCTGTATTAATTTTTGTTCTAAAATTAAACATCTCGGTGTTATTTTAACGGTCTACTCTTTGATACCTCTTTTTTCACACTCACTACTCTTTTTTCACTCCACAGAAAACTAGAATTCTCCTTATTAAATCTCTAATAATTCCTTTATTATATTAGCGCTAATTTTTCACTTTCCTTAGGCTCTCAATCTGTTCATCATCTTCAAATTGCTTATCATTCCTGCATTAGATAATGTTACGATCTTACCAAGAAATTTTATTTCTTCTTACATTAACATCTTAAGCATCCTTAACATTCTAAGCACTTACAAACTTAGAGTTTTAATGTACATATTTATAAATGTTCTCAATCAAATTTTTTCCACATTCCCTATCCCAAGCCTTCAACATTCTTTTAAAACTTTATCCTTATCTTTCATAATTGCATGGACAAGACTATGAAATTTGTGTCCCCAGAAAGTACATTCTGCTTCCTCACTGGCTTGTTTCAGATCCATGATGTCTGAGTTTTTAAAAATGATATGAATCATCCCCTTTTCTTACCTATTCCTTTTATTTTTCCCAGGTCTTTTTTTTTCACTTTCTGCTTTTCTTTCGTAATATGGTTTCATCATTGATTCATCGTGGCAAAAATTTTAAATTATAAAATTTATTCCTGTTGTTTGATTAGAATTTTTGTTCCATAATATCCTATATATATGTTCCTATAGACTTGTAAGGGCAAATAATAATTATAATAATAATAATGGTGTCAGACTAGCAACAGTCTCAGCATGAGTATAGGCTCATCATTATCCTTTTATTCTTCCATTCAAATACAGTAAATAAACTAACCGACGCCCCTCTAATGCTACTTAACACTAATAAAAAACAAACGAGTATATTTTATTATATCATGTAAGGGGCTTAAAGCCCTATTTGTACCTTTAAAATAAATATATGATGTTATTACATATTTATTTATTATGTTATTACATATTTATATTCTGGAGGTTCGCCATAATTTTGAAAAAAGCGGCAAAATAGAGGACCAAGATTTGGATGGCATCGATCTAAACAGCACTACATTCTGTGTTGTGTACTCGTACTCTTGTAGAGTGGTTGTCTTCGTTGTGGTTTTTGTTGAAATTAACGTGATTGGTTGGGGGTCTTCTCTTGAGAGATAGTGTGAAAACTACAAAAACACTTGGATTTCGTAAATGAAACTGCTCTTATTAACATCGGATGTGGAAGAACCAAAGAAAGTCTTCCTTCGCCGTTTGTCTGCCGATTTCCGACTCCTTTGAGACGCGTTTGTCTTTGGAAATCAGAAAAGAAATAAATAAAATAAACTGACGAGACTCCGTCTGGAGGTGGGCCTTTGCTAGACGAATTTTGAAATGGGCAGATCACGATCTAGGAGTAAATCGCCCAGGAGGCGTCACAAGAAAAAGCACACTCACAAACGGTCCAAGTCTAGAGATAGAATCCACAAACACCGTGACAAATCTAGAGATAGGTCTTCGAAATCTAGGTAAGTCAATAATTCCGTACAGAAAGTCTACGTACAACACAGATTTCTCTTTGTGAAGATCGTGTTGTTCTGATTTGTTTACAATCTATCGTTCTAAAGGGATGGTCTTACAGAAAACGTACGAGGTCCCCGTCCTCCAGTTCCAGCTCGGACCTCTCGGATGGAAAAAACGTCAATTCGCTTAAGAAGAAAATATTCAATGACAGGAAAATGGACGAAGTCGAAAGGCTGGCGGAAATGGAAAGGCAGAGGTAACCATCTCATTTTGCACAAATGACTTAATTTAATCAAAAACATTAGTTACCATACCATGCATTTATGTCTGTTCATATTACTACAAAATGTAATATTAGTGGGCCAAAAGGTGGAGGTTCGGTTTGTCTGCGAGCTTATGAACTCATGTTGAACTGAACGATACTGTTAAGTGTATATTTGGTTTGGTTTGTATATGAGACAGTAAAGTGGTCAGTGTTGATCAGTTAAACATTAGAGGTCTTATTGTTGATTGTTTCTGATCGTTTTGATCTGTCTATACTTGTTTGGCCTGTCATGTTTTTATTTACTTTTGAACGTTTTCTTTATCAAGGTGCAAGTGCCAAGACGGCACAATGGCCGAACAATCTCTATATCACTTGCTTTTCTCTAAACTATAAGAGAGTAGTTAGCGTAAGCGTCTCATTACTTATTTTTGTGTAGAGGAAGGTAAGGTTAAGAATTTAATAAACCAGAGGGAATATTTCGAAATTTATTTGAACACAATTCCACTTTTAAAAGTACACAACCCCAACAAATTCAGCTTGCCAACCATTGACCTGAGGCATCACAACAGCTGGTTCTGACTGGCTGAGTTCCCTTGTTAAGTCCCAGACTGTGTGGCTGTTTCTCTTCTAGATCAACTCCTGGAGTTGACTGTTCACTGGTTTGTGGGGGAGATTGACTTTTGATTTCCAAATCATCCCTTTTTGTACCAGTTTCTCTACCGGAGTAGGAGTTGATAGGAAAATCAAAAGTCAGGTGAGTTCCGAGACACAAAGAGAGATGTCAACCAACTACTTAATTATTACAGAGTTGTTGCCCAGATTGGTAGGGGACGTCACGTAGTTCCCATCCAGGTGATCGCCCTTTCTGATTTATAGTCTTTTTTGTGTGGTCGTTTAAATTAATTTTTTGTTTTTCTTATTTTAACAACTTCAACTGTCTAAGATAGGGACTAGCTTACAAAGGTATAACAAAGTGAATACACAGAAGCGTCTTTTTTTCTTCAAATATGTGTGGAATCAGTTACACTACTCACATGACGATTGGAAAATCTATCTAACTAGTGGCTTGTTGCGGCATTGGTGATGTATGAATGTAGGAAAACTTATTGCAAATAGCAAGTCAATAGAAGGAAGGAAACTGTAACATTGTTAGTTTTTTTTTTATTATGCCATTATGGATCATTTTGGAGGACCTTCCTGGCTCACTGTAGGGATAGGGTCAGTGGATACAACATAAGATCACAATGTGGGCTTAAAACATAAATTCACTTTGGTTGCTTTGACAATAGTGTACAACGATATGTCGATTTTGATTCTCCTGTCTTACAATGGAAAACACCTGCTACTTCTTCTGTGGGCAAGAGGAACTTCACCCTCACATGGCCACAAATCCGATATGAATCAGTGAATATGCCCTTGTATTTTAAAACAATTAGATCCAATGTCTGGAATTTCTTTCCTTTTGGCAGAAAAATAGGCAAACACCAATGTGCTATTCTGTGCATCATTCATAAAATTTAGAAAATTAAGGAATAGTTCCTTTAACTCCGAACTGATTTGTAGTTCTAGGAGTAAAATAAGTCCATTGTGGCAGTACAGTACAGTGCAGTTACAGTTACAGTACTAAAAAAAACAAAAAAAAAAACAATGTAATAAAATATATGTTCTCTTGTCAACGAGAGAGTTTTAGAATGGTGATTGTTCACTTGAGCCAGGGTCATTCCCTCTAATGGGAATGTTTTCGGTTTCTGGTATGTCTCAACTCTGATGAAACAATGTTGCAACGCCATGAATCAGTATGGGTCTCATCTTTCTGCGATCTTTTGAAAATTGTGCACAGATTTTACTTTTCTTCCTGAAATAGAATGTGAATCAATTTCCTCAGAGAAAATTAAACTGTTCATCTTTTCTTTCTCTATTCACCAAGAAACAATATTGGAGAGGGATGGATGTATTATTCTTGATGCTCTCCATTGGTTTAGTGTCATTAAAATCTTCAAACATTTTATATCTTGTATCCATTTAAGTTGTAGGTTAGAGTGCCTTCTTTATCATTAACCTAAGCATTATAAATTGTAAAATATTTATTCATCAACAAAGTCGCTTTTGGTGTAAGTCAGTAGATAATGACGATTTCTGATCTCCACAATTGGGTTGTTATCAAATATATTATAATTTTCCTTATTAACTTTATTCTACATCAGTATGTAAGCTTTTTTGTAAAAGTCCAGTAGGTGAATGTTTTGTCTGTCGTGTTTTGGCATTTCATTGGGTGGGTTTGTCCAAGTTACAAGAACATCACTGCACATACCTAACTATGATCAAAGATGACCAAGCTGTACAGGGTGGTCCAGCATAAACCTGAAAAAATGGGATTATAGTACATCCTGCATAGGGCAAAATGTAACCAACTGAACTGTTCTATCTCAATTTGGTTGTAAGTCATGATTTTTTTAATCCTGACCTTGTAGGGATGGCAAACAGCATAAAAATGTCTCTTCTGTATCCGTTAAATTTACACATTGGAACCATGTTTTTTTTAACATCCCAGATTTATTTTATCATTGAAAGTTTAATGTTTTTAGAACTTTGAGTACACCATAAAAAAGCTATTAAATGAAGAAGTTTTTATAATGTTTGGCTCCCCTATAAACATGTTCGTTGAAAAACAGTTATTTTTAAAAATTTATCAAAAGTTTTTCCTTGTTTAAAATTGTTTCTTTTGGGTTGAATTAATAAACATACATTGGCATTTGATAAGATTAAAAATAGCTCCTTCTTATAGTAAATTCAATGCAGAATTCAAAAATGTCGGTAAAAATGGGAATAGATGCTCTAGATCTTGAACAATTACAATTTATGGCTTTAGGTCGTGATTAAAAAAAAGTTGCATTTTACTGTATGCAGGATGTACTTTAACTATTCCCCCCCCCCCAGTTTATGAAGGACCACCTTTGTATAATTAAAATGTTGTGTAAAAAGGACAAAGGAATTATAGCTGAATGATCTATTCTACCATCAATTAGCTTCCACCTCTATTGATTATGAATACTCTCTTCCCTGTAACTAATAACAAGTTATTATTTAATGATAAAATGTTAATGTTGAAGGGACTGGTACATTTTAACCAATTTGACCATAAATCCATTCAAACAACTGAAAGAAATAATGCTATATATACTAATTAACCGTTTTAAATATATAGACTTTATACTTAATGATAATTCACAATCTTACTCTTTTTTTGAGTATTGCATTTTGTTTTGTTTTTACAGGTGTCTTTTATGGATAATCTATGAATAATATATAGTATGTTTCACAGGCGCCAACGGGAGCTAGAGCAGAAGATTGTAGAAGAGGAAACAGCCAAAAGGATAGAACTACTTGTCAATAAAAGAGTCGAAGAGGAGCTTGAGAAGCGGAAAGAAGAGATCGAGGCTGAAGTACTCAGGCGAGTTGAAGAAGCAAAAAAAGAAATGCAACGGGAAATGATGTTAGAGATGGAAAAAAGAAAGCAGCAGCTGCTTGAAGAGGAAAAGAGACGTGAGGTAGGGTAAAATCAGATATATATGATAAAAGAAAATAAAATGCCAGTCTTGCTTACCCCATTTTATGAGCCTGCAACAGATTGAATTCACTTAACTCTTTTCTCCCTTGAAAAATTAAAGATTTGGTTTTAAAATATTAACAAATATTGTTTAATTAAATTTTACTTCAATTTTTTTAAAATTTAGATTTTTATTTCCATCATCCATATTTTCATTTGATTGATTATGTGACTATATGTTCTTTTTTTATGATGTCAAGACTGGTTCATATTGAGATTAATTACTATTTTCTAAAATCTTATGCAGGCTTTCAAAAAATTCAACGATCACTTTTTTCTGAAAAAATTGAAATATTTAATGATTTTATTCATTGGCAAATATAAAGTCAAAAAGTAGCATTTCTTGAGTTTCAAATTTAAATACAAAATAAGCATTAGGCTTGCTTGCAACTTCAACAGCAGATGGTTAAGAAATAACTGCCAGAATGGTAAACTGCGTTGGGAAGAAACACTGCCCGAAGATTCCAAAGGTATTTACTAAAGGATTGTATTAAGTTCATGTGTCTTTTTTCTTTTCTTTTTTCTTTTTTTTTCTTTTTTTCTTTTTCTTTAAAATGGTTTACAGGAATGTCATCTATACATCACCTTATTGGATTTTGTATGGTAAGTAGTAAAGAAGTTAAAAAAAAGAAAAATATGTGACTTCTTTTATTACAAGGAGGCGTAGCTTATTGTTAAACTTGTAAAATCCAAGCCAACAGTTAATATTATAAATAATAAATTTGAAAGTCAAGACCGACCAGTGAAAAAGTTTCTGTTGGCTAACTACATTCTTATTTGAATGGTTCGCCTTTTAAAAGGTAGATTGTTTTATAAGTAATAAAAAAGACAACACTAGAAATGGAAATATTTAATAATAAACATTTCTTTAAAAAAATAAAAAATTAATATCTCCAAATGTATTTAGTCAATTTTAAATTTTTTGTCATAGTATAGTTACACACTAAAGTAGCCCCTTCGTGGGTGATTTGCCTTCTTCTTACTGAAATGTGGGATCCATCTGTCATGTAGCGTCTTCCTTAATAGACATCTCCTCTCACATGTGGTGAAGGGTCCAAATTCAAACAATACTCTATATTTAGGGTACTCTATATTTATTATTTATTATTATTTTTTAGGTTACTCTATACTTCACCACAGACCCATCCATCCACATTTAACTACTTATGCAAATAAACACATTCTTACAAATAGAGCCATTCAAACTATTTCAGTTAAAAATGGGGAGGGATCGGGTATTTGATTTTATCCCGATGTCTTGCCCTCCTATCACACTATACATAGGTACTGTACTCATTAATCTAACTAGTTTGACAGGTTTGTGGGGTACTCTAAATTCTGCCATATAACCTTTCCATCCACACTTTCCCATAGCAAGAAAAGACAAAAGCCATGTGTGAGGGACTATATATAACCCCTCACCATGTGTTTATTGATTTTACATATTTAAAGAGTTGAATTACTGCTTTGATATTTTTGATATATCATTAGGCAGGCCTCACCAAATCCTGTAAGGCTGATTCACTGTTACAACCGTGCCACATAGGGGACACCTCCAGGGTCTCTTGCCAATGAGGAGGTACCCATGTGTCAGGCGGATGTGGCCTATACTTAATTGTGTGAGCATAATTCTGTCTTTTTTTTATTTTCTCCAGGACCCTAGTTTCACTGATTTTAGTTTTTTGGTAATGACAGCGGATTTGCCAATCCTACCAACTTAACTTTTTCCACGCGCTTTTAATGTCTACTGGGCTGTACAGGGTATCCAGGTCATGTAGCATTGTTGCTGCATCTTTTGCCGCTTTTTCAGCTTCTTCATTTCCTTTTAGGCCAACATGACCTGGAATCCATAATATGATTAATGGGTCCATGGAGAAAGTGTTCTGCACAGTTGAAATTTTGTTCCTGGCATGATATAGATGCTGGCCTAGCACGGGAAGGGTATCTTTATTTTGTTTTCCCTTGTGTATACAGCACAGCCCACCCCCTCAGCACTAAGTCACCATATCAAACCACACTATCAGTGAGGGGAGCATCTACGGTTACAGGTTCTCAGCCGTACGTATTCCTCGGATTATTCATCATTGAATAATACTGAGTTTAAATATTATTTTGTTCAAAACATCATTTCAAAGCCTTTATAAACATCTAAATTTGATTTGGCTGAAGAAGCAGCTTAAATTTGTAACATGAGAAAAACTACAAAAATTCCTGTTAGAAAGAAGCTATAATATAATATAATAATATCTAATAACAATAATTTTATTATTACTGTTTATTTATATTTATTTTATTTTATTATTTCAAAAAATTACAATTTATGAATACAAATGCATTATTTCTGATATTCCACTAAAGATTAGAAAAACATTTTTTTTAAACACTGACACCCAACGGTTGATATTCCTTCTGCTGTTACGAACCCTCATTTAAAAAATAAAATTACTAATAATAATTTTACCTCTGTAATGATGATGATTGCATAATATGATGGTTCAAATTGCAGTTGGATAAAATATTTCACTCTTAATAGAATAATTCATTTAGTTTTTAAATTTAATTAAATCCATTTTTCAACTGTCAAAGAAACTTTTATCACTTTAATTTTTACTTTTTTTTATTGTGTGTGGTGTGTTAGTATAGATTATCTCAATATGCTCATTGAACTTGTTGGCTGTGATTTATTTATGTTTTTGTTTGTTTTTGTCAGACTGTATTGCGAACGAATGTTATGCTATTTTTATTTATAATTGTACATTCAGGTTATATGGCCTTCTGAAGAGGATGATAGCAAAAAAATAATATGTATTCCAGATTGAAAATCATGATTATGGTAATTACATTTACGGCATAGACTTAATAATTATCAAAATCAAACTTACTTAGTTATGTTATGAAGTGGAATTTGAAATGTTTGTGGTACATTTCAATCTATCTGTTTTACGAATGTCAGCCATAATTGTCTTTTCCTTGTGGATTTCGATTTAAAAAATGTTTTTGACTTTTCAACACACACTTAATTTGTATACAATTTCAAACCGTTAGATAGATACAAAATTATTCAGAAGAAATGTTACAGGCCACAAGACCCAGCATAAATAAAAAAAATAATAGCGAAATCTATTGGAATGTTTGTGACTAAAATTGTTTTTCTCCTTATTATTCAAATAATTTGTCTGCAATTGCTGATGCACTATATTTCACTCTTCTTAAATTTCTGTATTGCCTTTTTTATTGTATTTTAGAATTAAACTAACAAATAATCATATATTAAAAAAAAAAAAAAACAACGAAACCTCCAGATTTTTTTTGTCAAAATTTTGCTTTTGGAAGAGGGGAATTTACCTCAATGCATCAAATTGGGTTCATAAATTCTTTTTTTTAATTTGTTGGTTTCTATATTTATACATAGATATTTTACTTATCCTTTTCTTATTAATTATTACCCTTGTACAAATTATTATTCAAAATTATATTTCTCATGTTAAGCTGGAAGATCACTTTCTGTTGTTGGTACTTCAGAATAGGACCTCATTCCTGTCTATTTGGCCCAATGAAGTTGACTCTGGGGCTTCTAAAATCTAGGAGATTTCAACCCCCAACACGTGCAAGTTATTAGCTAGAAACATATTTCCACTAACCTACGCCATAGATATTCATACTGACCATAGCTTACAAATTTATACGCCTACAAATATTTTTACAAAGTGTGTTAAAATCCATAAATTTTATTTATGAAATGCAACAGGGAGACAGTAACCTTACCGTGACTAGTTCTGGTGACAGCAATCACATAGTTAGATTAGTAAGGAGCAGGATTAAAACATTCCTGAGTTTGAGACTCGGGCAAACATGTTAAACTTCTCTTGGTCCATGCTTGAGGAATTGGCAAGGGAGTTCATATTAAAAAAAAAAAAAAGACAAGCGAGGGAACTTCAGACAGTAGAAGGTCATGTGTCTTCCTTGGCAAATGTGGTCACAACAAAGTTTCCTGCAATCTATTTTTACTGGATGATATTTGATCATTTTTCGGTATCTTATTGATGTTAACCAGACAAGACTTAAGACTGGTCTGTATACATCAATCACATTTTCCTCTCTCTGCTTCTAGCATTTACTTGTTCAGTCACGCATCCTTGATCTAGTTAATAGTTCATAAATACATTGTTCATCTAGGTTTCTTGAATTATTTTTACTATTAGTTTAAAAATTTATTTTGCAGTTTGAAGGGGTTAAATATAACATATTTATGAAATTTAAGCATCATGCTCAGAGTTAGTTTCCTCTCAAAAATTCAGATCGGTGTTCAAAATTGTAATCAATCATCCCACTCACAATTTTTTCTTAAATATTTATTCATTTGTTCTAGAAAGAATGGTTTCAAGGAAAAATATTTTATGCAAGACAAATATTTACTTTCTTGCTTTATGTATATTTTTTATGTGGCAACTGAAATATTTACAGTAAAACACTCCTTATAATTGATTAGTCTAAAATTCATCACACTTCTAAAAGGTACACAATGTTTAATTAATATTGCATTAACAAATACCTTTTATTAATTTTCTAAGTACACATAGACTGTAGATTATCCCTTATAATCACAATAAGAGAGACTAATGAATATTTACAAATAAATTCATGTTATGAGAACATTATTAAAATACAGTTTTTTAAACACTTCCATAAATTCTACAGTATTTACATACGTTATTTCATTAGGCCCTTTTTAAATGCAAAAACTTTACACTTAACAAAGATAAAACTCCTTTTAACATTAAGATAGAATATACATATGCATAATTCTTATGTTCTCTTAATTTTTTATAATGCTTTTTAAATTGTTAATATAGTAAATATTTTCTTGTTATTGTGTGAGGCATACATCAGAAGTAGAGCACAATGCTTAACAATTACTTCTTCTGTTTGTTAGGAAGAAGAGAATAAGAAACGTGAGGCTTTGGAACAGATAATGGCTGAAAATAATCGAAAAATAGAAGAGGCACAAAAAAGACTGGTAATTTTATATTTATTAATATTAAAGTTTTACATATTTATTTTAAATTTTATTAACTTAGGCAAATATGAACCATTCTTTAAAAACCTTTTTCTTAACAGATGTTCTTCTTCCTCTACTTATAAGTTTGAATTATTTCCATTTTCTATTGATAGTTAAATTACCAGTTCTTCAAAGAATTCTAAATCTCTCGAAAGAGTAGAGGACTATTTAGAGGATTGTTATTATAATTTATTTGTTTTTAGGCTGAAGAGAGATTAGCAATGGTTGAGGAACAAAGGAAAATGGAGGAAGAGAGACAAAAGATGAGAAAAGAAGCCGAGAAACGGATAAAAGAGGAACAAAAAAAGATACTAGGGAAGAACAATTCTCGGCCTAAGCTCTCATTTTCTCTCAAACCAATTTCGTGATATTCCAAATTTATCCTTTGGCCTGTGAATGTACTTACATTCTAATTATTATTTTAAACATATTTTAGCATTAGTCAAAGTGTATTTAGTGTCTGCTGAGGCAAGGATTGAAAAATGTCTCCATTCAATTAAAAGTGATAATTTAATTTAATCACTTATGTAAATAAATTTTGTATTCAAATTTGAGAATGTGAAACGAAACCAGACGAATGTTTAGATCTTGTAATTTATTTTATAACAGTAATTTACATTTAAAGGTATAAATAATAAACTTAAATTGGAAAGAAGTTTATAAGTATAACTTTTTTCCGGTTTTTATTCATTTTTCAGGTAAATCTTATGTCGCCTATTGCAAATAATGTAACAAATTATCATTTTCAGTTTTCAATAAAATTTCCAGGGTTATTTTTTTCACTGTTGGCTTTTGTTTGTAATTAATTTCTGTTGGTTCCTTTCATTTTATAGTTTTTTTTTATTAATTTTTTAATTTTCTCTTAAATTGTTAATGTTCTTTCAAATCATTAAATCATATCAAATTGTTTCTTTTTATTTTGTGAATAAAAAAAAATCAATTTTCTTTGTAGATATATTTTTTTTAAACTTCCTATAAACATGAATGTTTCCTGTACTAAGTTATTTGAAGTTTGACTTCATTCATTTTATGTTTTTTATACCTGTATTGCTAATTTATGTATATATTAATAATATATATTATAATAACACTTTAATATTTTATGTGTGGAAAATAAATTGAAAAGGTACATTTCAAGTTATAATGATGTTTTCATCATTTATTTTCATGGGCCAATTTGCATTTGCCTAAAACTATTTTTTCTTGCTCTTTTTGGGGTTTGGAGGTGGTGGTTGGGGTCGGACTACCAATTCATCTTTGTTTATCGGAAGATAGTGGTTAACTGGGATCAGTGTGAGAACTTCTTCACCTTCAATTACTTCCCCAGTGTATATAAGCCCTGCCTCATCTATGAAAGCCACTTTTCCTTTTGGAAGATTGTTCTCGAAATTTGCTATGAGTTCTCCTCTCCCGGGAATGTAATACCTGCCAGATCCTGAATACTTTCCCATTGACAGTTCCCCAGTGTACCGTTGGCCACAAGGCCATTGCACGATCCCATTGATCAAGTAATCATCCGACCATCTACCTTTATAGACCAGTCCATCCCATGTGGAATAAATCCCAAGACCTGGTATGCAAATCAATAATAGGAACAAATATGGAAATTATGTCAATAATGATTAACTTTTTAAATTCATAAAATGAGAATAACAAATATTCACATTCTTTGAACCATTTTTAAATTTTATTTTGGTATTATTAATAGAAGTTACATTTATTGCAAAGTTTTGCACAAAACAACAATTTTTTTTTCAATTTTTTAATATATTATGAATTATTTTTCTTAGCCTTTTTTTAGAAGGTAGAAGTTCATGAAATTTAATCCTTGAACTATCTGCCTTCTAAAACGGACTAATCTACAATGCAATAAAGAAGGATAATAAAAACAAAAAGAAGCAAAAATTCATGTTTCCTTTATAAAGAAGGACAAGGAATAATTGACAATTTTTTGTAAAAATTGTTAAGGTCTACCTATCCTTGTTGGTTTTGTTCTGTCAGACACGTTTGACTTTGAAGAAGGCAAATTGTTAAAACAGGTCTGGCAAGACAAAACCACAAACAGACCACAATGATCATACAAAAAAACTATTGGTTGATCCACTCACAGACCTCATCTCCAATGTTTCAAATTTAGTATAAGTTTTAAGCCCGGTCACAACCAAACTACAAGACTCTACTTTCAAATTTAAATTTTTCTCACTCCTGATAATTTAATTTGAATATCAAAAAAAGCAAAAAACATTTACATTTGTTGTTCGTGACTACTGATACAAAGAAAACTATTTTTAGAATGTTTTTAAACTACAAAACCATTCTAAAATGTTAGCCAACTCGAATTACCTTGTCGGCATAGCTCATCTGGCCACAAAGCTTGGAATTCTCCAATGTACCTATCGTGATTTTTGAATTTGAACACTCCCTGACCAGATTTTAGAAAGGGGTTTTGGTCTTCAGCAATTTCCTTTGAGAGACCCAGTTTTGATTTCCCTCCTCCTCCAGCTTTCATAGACATCCTCTTCCCTGAACCGCCTTTCACAGATTTTTTCCGTATAGATGCTTTTTTGACAGATTTCTTCCTTACAGACTTTTTCCTCCCTCCAGAATCCTTGTTCTCAGATTCCGATTTTTCTGACCCTGCCTGCTCACTCGGTTCAGACATGACTGATGAAACAAATTAAGAAAACAGACGAAAGATAAAATATTGAGAATTTTCTAAGAAAAGAAAAATATTTTAATGAATTTATCAGCTGAGTTGAATTTTAATATTAACATCAATTAAACTAAAATTTTAATAATATCAATAAGTTGAAATTCATCATATTTGAACATTTTTAGTCAGAAACATATAGCTCTGAAAGTGAAAACTACCACAAAAAATATTGACTGATAATAACATATATTTAGTACAATTTCTCTAGGGGGTGATGAACCAGCAGTTTGATCGTTTACGATCATTTTGAACGGCCTATCCTCATTGATTCTTCATTGCAGTCATTTTATTTATTCATGAAATCTGGACTCGAAAGCAGGTCACAAACAGTAGACCACAATGTTGAAATGGAACAACCAAACAGTCACCTTCATCACCCACAGATGGTGAATGAAGAAAGCTCATAATACAAGATTAGCATGGCCCTTATTTTATAAGATTTTAATGATTTTATTACTGCTTGACTGTTCGATAAGAAGATGTCTACTGCATTTAATCTTTGACTGATTATTTTCTGTGAAAAACGAAGCTCAAGGTTGTTCTCATTGAATGGCATGAAGTGAAGCAAGCACAAATGCCATGTAAAAAACGAGCAAGAATGATTAATGATAGTTCAATGTTGATCAGTTCAACTACAGGCAGGTAAGTTAGGAGCTTAATTTCTAGGATTTTAATAACTTTTAGTTATTAGTGTATGTATGTACATTTCATAAATAGGTTTTATTTTTACCACCAATTTTTTTTTAATGTAACTAAAAGTATTTAACATAATAGCCCATAGTATAGGAGAGTTATTTACTATGCCACGATTGAGAATGTGTGGTCTTCCTCTAGTAAACAGTATTGTCTCATTACCATTAGGTCTGATTCTCCATTTTTCAACAGTTTAAAACACTAATCTCTGCGGATAGAATCAGCCCTATCATCAGGAAAGAGAGCCAGTTCAGCTATAGTTGCTGCTATCATTGCTAGCTATAGCTAGCATGCAGATAGTTCATCTAGATGTTAAATAAGGTTGGCCCAAGAACAGATTCTTGGGAGACCCGAGTTCTTAGACCTGTACAAAGAATTTGCTATTGGTTAACAAATTTACTAATTAAATGTGTTTTTAATGTTTATCTGATTGTCAATAATGACTAATTAGGTGCGACTCTGATGTATTGTAGTTAAATTTGATAGGATATTTTATTTTATTTTTATAGAAAGTCATAACTGAACATTTGTCAGAATTTAAAAGAATATATTACTTGAACATCAATTATTAAGTTTTACTAAAGCATGCATAAACAGAATTAATTTTTAAGAATATTTGTAAACCATTGATAACCAACCATTAAACGGAAGGAAGAGAATTTGAGATATCGTTTATATAGATTTTAAAAAGAAAAGGCCCTAAGTGCCATCCTTGAGGAATTCCAGAATTTGCTAGAAAACTGTGAAAATACTGATTTTTAATTTCTAAATAGAATTAGCATGCCTGGTATAGCATCTTCTCCCCCCACTTTTATTGTACTACTAGCTTTTATCTGCAACTTCCTCCATGAGGGACTCTGTTTTAACGTGCCTTTGTAATGCGATGCAGAGTGCAATTATGGCATTCTAATATAATCCTTTTTAAAAGATAGTTCCTACTCACAGTAAGTTGTTTTGCAACGATCCGCATTTTGAGCCCTTAGCTCATCATCAGGTTGAAGGATTTCTACAACCACATCTCTCGACTTGAATTGCAAAAGTGAACCCGCCAACACGACGTTCCAATGAGAAGCTGGAAGAAATCCGGATCATTGCAAAACAACTTTCTATGAGTAGGAACTATCTTTTAAAAAGGACTGAACACCGCACTCACTACATCATTCATCATTTCTAACATAATGTTTCATTTCTCAAATTTTTCTCTTCTTCAGTTCACTTTGGGCTATACATGGTAAAAAAAATTGTCCAGATGATCCCCCTTATGGGTGGAATATCAAAAAATCATTTCAGCTTTGTAGGAATGCACTATCGAAATTTCAGCCCTTTAGATCTGGTATGGTCTGTGTGTTGTTTGTCAATAAGTAATGGAATTGTTTTATATAAACTGCTCAAAAAAGCATAGGGATATTTGTAATTTATTTTTATTCTATTAATTTTAATTAAATTAACCAATATAGTCTTGTTAGTTGGGTAAAACAAAATAGAAAATACAAACAAATGTTAATCATTTTTAATATCGGATTTACTTAAGAATAGAAAACATGAAGTTTACTCATTTTGTAAACCAACTCATTTTTCATCTTTTCTTCATTTTAATCCAGTTGCCTTTAAAGTCCTCTTTAACCATGGAAAGACATCAACTCGAACCAGAAGTTCGCAATATTATTGTGAGAATAAGTCATCAAGGTCTTTGGGAAGTATCACAGAATAGTTTGCGCTTTTCAGAGTGTGGTCTCCCAAGCTTTAGCCCGATTCTGAGAGACTGGAAGTGACAATAGGAGGCATAGTAGTGGATCTCAGCACATTATGACAATAAGGGAGGACAGAAATATTGTCATTCCTGCAAGATGGAACCCTTTACATAGTGCCCACCAGATCCTAAATGAAGTACAAGATGTTTTGGCAAGGCCTTTATCAACATAAACAATCCCTTTGAGATGACCTGCAGCAACAGCCCGCCACCAGTAACTAAGGGGAATATAGTGCAGCGAGTGCCTAGAAGAGAACACCAATTAGAATGATGTTATGTTTACTGATGAGTGTTTCTGTCTGTGTACAGATAGCAGGCTCCGAAGTGTCTGTTGAGAACAGGGGATGCATACAAGGCCCCAGTTTGTGATTTCTTCTGTGCAGTTTGGAGGAGGCAGTGGAAAGGTTTGGTCTGGGATTTACACTGAAGGACAAACTGGACTTAATTGTTAAAGGCAACTTCACACAGGTTTTAGATAACAAAGGACATTATACACAGTATTAATAGTTCAAAAAAAATTATTGTGCCCAATAAATCAATTTATTTTGTGCGGTGATTAGTTAATCGATAATTATTCAGAAATCGTGAGTTGCAGTCTGGAATGGCACAATTACACAGAAGACAAACACTTTGAGTGAGTAGAAATACTTTGATTGAATATAAAAAAATATATTTTTCATTGTATAAATTCACCTTTTTCCATATCCTAAATTTATTTGTTAAATGTAAACAATGTTTGTAAATCCAAGGCCCTGAAGATGATCTCAATAAAGATCGAAATGTTGGCACGATAAAGAAAATGTTTTTCTGAAACCTACATCACACCAGACCGCATCTCTCGATTTCTGAATAATTATCAATTTATTTTATTTTTCAAAATCCCTTAATTAAATTTTCCTTCAGCAAAAACATAATTAGCTGTAACTGTTCGTCACTTGATCTCTTTAGGTAAATTATGAATGTTGATTGGGTAATTACTCTCTATTTAATTCTTTATTGTTGTTAATATTTTTTAAATCAATTCATTTGTTACTATTGACAAACTCGCACTTTTGCTAGATATCTACTGACAACAAGCAATAAAAAATAAATAAATAATAATAATTTAATTTTTAATAAAGTTTAATGGAATTGATAATAAAAATGCTAGGAAAAGTAAATTCTACAAAATTTGCAATATCCCTATTCCTTTTTGAGCAGTATATATAGTTGTAGTACTATTCTACTTTTGTGTTTTATATGTATATACTATTTATAGATTATTATTCTATATTAGGGGAGTTCACGAGCTTGGTGGTGTGATTATTATTGTATATTATATATTCAAATATGAGACGGAGCAGCCAAATTGTGTCTGGTAACTATTTCTAGTAATGACAGTTAAATTCGTAAAACAAGAAATAATGATGGTACAACGATAATATAATATATTATCTCAATAGATAGAAATAACCAAAAATTGGCTGGTATCAAAAATTGAAAGATATAAAAAAGTAATAAAATCATTTTATTGGGTCTAACTCTTACAAAAATGACTGGTAAATAAATCTCAAATTAATTACAATTAAATTAAAACTACAAAATTACTACAACTATTTGTTACTACAAAATTTGCAATATCTCTATTCATTTTTGAGCAGTTTGAATAGATGTAGTACTATTCTTCTTCTGTGTTCTTAGCAGGTTGTATGTATATTCAAATATGAGACGAAGCCGCCAAATTATGTCTGTGGTAACTATTTCCAGTAATGACAGTTAAATTCATAAAACACAAAATAATTAACGATCTTATAATGGTAATATAATTTAATGCATTACTTCAATAGATAAAAATGACCAAAAATTGGCTGGTGTCAAAAATTGAAAGATGTAAAAAAGTAATAAAATCATTTTATTGAATCTAATTCTTACAAAAACGACTGATAAATGAATCTCAAATTAATTACAATTAAATTAATTATAGATTTAAGCAATTAAATAATTGAATGTTAATAATTATTAGTTGGTAGTTAGATCGTGTTTCTTTTGAATCATATGATGGTTAGTTCGCCGCGGCCAACAGTCGCTACGCCTCCGTTCTTCTGTTGAGTTAGACTTCTCGAAGAGAATCAGTACAGCGCAAAAAAGCCCGGTTTTTTCATTTTCCGCATTAGTTTTTCCAAGGCATCTTCACCCTTTATCGGCTCTGCCTGACCTCGACAAAAGATGTAGCGGCTTTTCGGTAGGCTACCGTACTGATCCCGCTGTATTTTCCCCCTGTCAGCCTTTGAAACGGTCTGATATTTCGTTTACGCTGGCCGCTTCCTTATCCTTTGAACATCGGTGAGGTCTTTCTCTTTTAAATATCTCTAAACTTATTCTGAAGATTTTTGTGTCCGGATTTGTCGAATCGTTTTTCGATGGGCTTTTGAGAAAAGTGCCTTACTCGAAAGTTCCCTCTTTTTTTTTCTCTCTCTGAAACTAGAGAGGCAAACTTTTTCAAAACAGTGTACCCAGGACAATATTGTTTAAAAAAAGAAAAACCCTACCGGTCTTAATAAATACGGACCATTGAACAAAGTCGAAGTCAATTTTTAAATGTTTGCCCCTTTCAGCTTACCATGAGTGAAACTCGCGACACTGCTGAAAGGCCTTCGCAGCAGCAAGATGGGCCACCAGTCAAGATGGACCAGTTCAGAAATATGTCAGCGGTGAGTTTTAGTTCTAATTCTTAGCTTTATTATATACTTTATCCTGCCTTTTTCAGGGTTTAGTTTATTTATACTGTTTCTGATATGGCCTCTTGGCTTGTCTTTCTTCCTTAACAAAACAAAATTGTACCTTACCTACCCCACTACGTCCAAAGAAGAATCAATTTAGTGTTTAAACGAAAGTGTATAAGCTATATTTCAAGTTATAAAACACAACACATCACAACATTAATGGGACTTAAAATAGGTTGAATAAAGCTCATTGTAAAGGCAGCATATCTTGTGTTCTAATTTCTTCGTTTAGAATCTCTATCATCTTGAAATTTCCAAGCAGATTAAGTCCTGAGGTCTGTGGAGTGATGTAAACATAGCTTGGTCTTTTCAGTCACCATTGATCTGTCAGATGCATTGCAACATTTCACCGTAGTCTTGGATGAGTCAGATCAGAATTGTTCATCCATGTTCGTTCTGTCCTTCCTAGGAAACGCGACTGAACTACCAGTTGGTTGAATGTGCTATTGTTCAAGATGCTTGTACTGTCTGGCAGATTAATACAGAAAAGAAAGTCTAGGCCAAAATGGCCATAAACAATGCTTGGATAAATTGTGAGATTTATGAGGCCTGATGGTCGATGAACTTAGATTGGTCGTTTCAGATAATTTTCGGGCTGTCAGATGTGTTTTGGATTGGCACCATGTTAAGTGGTGGGTTTGTTGTCTTGCTTCACCCTTCTTCTGATCTGTCTATTTTTACTGTTTTGCCTGACATGTTTTGATTGTCCCTGTTCATCGTTTTCTGTTTTTCCTAAGTAATTACCAGTTGAATTGTTATTGTTCAAGTTGCTTAGATTGGGTTGATGCAAAATAAACGCAGGTTTTTTGCAGGGGCCTTCACGACAACGCACGCCTACACTCTGCACAATGGACTCTGGCATGACTTCACGAGTTGGGTTATGAGGCTTTACCACATCCACCATAATCACTGGATCTTTCTACTACACATTATCACTTTTTTGAAGATCTCAACAAATGTGTAGAGATTAGTGACCGTTAATCGACAGTTATTCAGATATCGTGAGATGCGGTCGGCCAGATCTCAACAAAGTTTTGTGTGAGAAATGGTTCAGAAGCCACAATGACATTGAAAATACATTTCGGGAGTTTGTCAATTCTGGAGACCCCGTTAGGCTATTCGGAGCTTCCACTCTTAAGTAACACAACCAAACTATCAGCTTTATGTGTTATTTTTCAAGATACTTTTAGTGAATGTGAATCTTACGATGGCTATAAGGCATAACTTGTGTCAGCCAAAACAGAGAAGACAGGCTGTATAAAAACAATTGGAAATGACTGAGCTGCTGTGGTGTTAAATTGTAGGATTTTTTCATGCACTCTGCAGGATGACGAACTTCTATATTGGTAGTTTCTGATAATTTTGGTCTGCTAACATTATATGTTGGTCAGTCAGACATGTTTTGTATGTAATATCTTCAGTAATATTGTGTTGCCACATTACGCTTCTGATCTGCCTATCCTCACTATTTCGCCTCACATGTTTTGGTATATTGACATTTTAAAAGTATGGTCAAGCTGAACCCCTGCTGCGGGGTTGTCCCTCTTCACCGTTTTCTACTTTTTCTAGGTACACACCAAATTATAAGTTATTATTTGATTCAATTCATCAAAGTTTTATCTCAACTAAAAACCTTAATTAATTTTTATTATGTGAGTTACTTATATTCATACCATGATTGGTGCCAACCCAAAATAAAGGTATAATTCCGCTGGCAGACAAAAACAAAAATGATCATGGCAAGTCCTGCAGTGTGTTGAACTTCTAAATTGATTTTTTTTTTGGCCTGTCAGATGCATTTTGGATTGTAACCATCTTCAGTGATGGGATTGTCTTCTGATCCACCTATTTTCATTGTTTTGTTTGACAAAATTTGGCTATCAAAATATTCAGTGTGTTCAGGAGATAAAACACAAAACCCACCAAATTTTGGAGCTCTTGGCCATCTAGATTAAATGTCTTACCAATCCTGTGTGATGTTAGGTTCTAGGCTATCGACAGCTAGACAATTTCAGGCACAAAGCAATTTTTAATCGTAAAAACAGGTTCAAACTCACTCATTCCAAAATGCATTTTCCTATGTATGTAAACATCCTAGTATGTTATTAGTGGTTCTTCATAATGACAATATTCTTTTATCATATGATATATGTTAACTAACTGTATGGCCCAAGAATTGATTGGTGCTGAAAATTCCACCATTGGCCAAGTTGCACTACATTCATGCTAATAAGTACTTTCAGTTTATTTCGGTATGATAATTCGAGAATTATGCCAGGTCATTGTGAGTCTTTTTTTTCCAAAAAGTTTTCAGCTCCATAGTTTGAGCTCTCTTCAATTCAGATATAGACATTCTATCAGGAGGATATCCTAACATATGCTTTCAATTAAGACATTTAACCTCTTCCTGTATTTTTTCAAAAATCAAAACAGAAGCCAGAGACATGCTGCTGTGCTCAAACCCAGTTTTCTTATATCATTCATACTCTTACAATTTGAGCAACCTGCAAGCCTTGGGTAATACAGTCCTTACACCAAAAATTTTGGTGCGTCAACCATGTATGGCTTATCCTGAATCAAATGAAAAGAGCGCACTTCTGCAAATCAGATCCTCTGAGATCCACCTATGTCCTTGGTTCATAACAGTTTTGTTGCTGATACTCAGTGACACTGCATTGTTTAATTTTTATGTTATTTACATTGTAGGCAATTTCATTTGTTTAATGGGTGAAATTCTTAATTGTTTAATAATATAATTATTCATTATTTTAAACAGGCATACTTAAAATAAAAAATGCAGTATATAGCATATTTTGTTTACTCATTGTTCCATTAATTATTCAAACTAATAAGAATAGGATATACAAATTACAATAATATCCATTTAAATAATACTAATAGAACTAGCCATCATACTTGATGATTAGTTAATAATTTTACATAAATTTCAGGTTTTGTTTTCAATTCTACTGTTTCCATGTATTACAACTGTGAAGATATGAAGATGTATTGCATTACAGGTAGCCCCTAGCAGTGCTTGTTGCTTACTAAAGTAAAACTTAAAACATCCAACTTATTTGCGAAGTTATGTTTAGATTCAAATTTCAAGTATATGCATATTTATGCGATTTGATACAATGCTGAAATATTTATTCGACTATTATTTTTCCGTCTTCAAATTGAAAACAATGGTTTTCTCCTTGAATTGTTTATTGATCGTGTTTACAAATTTTTCTATGAGTTGAATAAACTCAATCTTTTATTACAAATAATTAAGGTTTTTAGTTGAGATAAAAAAGACAGTGGCACGAGCGGGATTCGAACCCACGTTCTTCGGCTTGATACGCCGCTGCTCTACCACTTGAGCTATCGTGACCTCGATCCACTCGGACACCAACTTCCCATCTCAACCGCACCTTTTGAATTTTCCTCCTTAATTATTTGTAATATATTAATTGGTCAAGCAAACCACGAAATTAGTGAATTTAATGATTAAAAATAAAGTATACTTCATTAAAGCTCTCCATGGCCATTTCATTTGTCGTCGAGAATCCAACCCGATTACACGAGGTTTGAAAAATGGCAAAAAGGAGGGAAAATTCAAAAGGTGCTGTTGAGATGGGAACTTGGTGTCCGAGTGGATCGAGGTCATGATAGCTCAAGTGGTAGAGCAGTTGAATATCAAGCCGAAGATCGTGGGTTCGAATCCCGCTCGTGTCATTGACTTTTTTATCTCAACTAAAAACCTTAATTATTTGTAATATATTAATTGGCCAAGCGGACCACAAAATTAGTGAATTCAATCTTTTATTTTAAATCCTGTTGCAAACTTTTTTCTATAATAATCTCAAAAATTCCTCTATACTTTTCATTTGTAAAATAGTTTTATAATATATTTATTAAAGTGTGTAAACGCGTTTTTTTTCTTTTTTTTCTGGGATTTATAATCTGTGACTAAATGAAAACAGAGAAGAAAGAACACAAAATTATGGGATCATCACATGACGTTAACATTAACTCCATTGATTTGTCTTTTATTGTCAAAATCACTTTTAAAAATTATCTACAAGACTCAGTAGGTTTTAAAAAGTGCTCAAAAAATTTTCAAAGCTAAAAAGATTTTCAGACAATGAACCAGATGCTGCATAATTGCCTGTTAATTGAACCACAGTTTATTTTTTATTTTTTAAATACTGGATGGTTGTTAAATCTGACAAGGGCCGGCAGTCAAAATTCTCACAGCAAAAAAATGTGTAAGTGCAGATTGTTTCTATTTGAGCAGTTCAGCGATTTATTTAAAAAAAATATATAAACAGTGCTATATGGAAATAAATAATAAACCTGGCATTGAAATTACATCGCGAACCAAAGCAAGGTCATGATCTTGTATTTTGTCAAAAGCACGTTTTTATGCTGGTGGAAAATTGGCACCTAGAAAGTCAACAGTAAATTTTATAATAATTCTAAAGATGAAACGTCTAGAAAATTTCCCATTGTAGAACTGGAAAGGATGTATTTTTTCTTTTGAATTTAATTAGCTTAAGAATATTGTTTAATATCCATAAATTTAACAATTATATATAATAATTTTTTAACTTTATCTGACAATACATTAATTTTTTAAAATAATTAATATTAAATAATTTAATTTGCCGATTTAAATAATTTTAGGGTACACTTGTAAGGGCTATACCAACTGGTCAATCCTCTAGATTTATGATGACCCCTGTACAGTCATCCACAGCTTTAATAAGTACAACAACAACAATTCAAGCCCAAGTGCTTTCCAAAGGTGATTGATTAAATTGTACAATATGTACTAGAATTTTTAACCGTTAACTTCTTATCTTTCAGTTCCTGCAGGAGCTACTTCTGTTAACAGATTAAATACTTTACCAATCCAGTCCTCTGCGACGGCGACAACAACTGGTTATCATGTTCCTAGAGGTGAAGGTTTTAAAAAATCAAATATAATAGTCTTATTGTGATCATTTTTAGGAGCTGCCGCTGTGGCGAACATATCAGTTCCAAGGGCATCAGTTGCGACACCAATTGTAAGAGCACCACCTCAGCTACAAGCCATTGGAGTTGCACCTGCGCATACGGGGTTAGTAAGTCAGCTCTCTTAAAGGGTCGGTTTAAATTTAAAGATGCAAAGTTCACTAAATTTCTTGAGACAATTTATTTTATAAGTACGACTGCTTTTTAGATTTCAGCTAAACCTGTCCATTTTGTGATTTGTATATTGTAGACTTTATAGATCCTATATAACAGAATAACAATTGTATTATATATTATTATTTATGTTTATCTTTTTGAGGGAAAATTTAGGATTTTTAACACCTATTTTGTAGGGCTAGTGCTGGCCCAATTGTAGGTCGATCTGTTGTTGGAGTGACACCTTGGGTCACTGCTTGTTTGCCACCAAATCCACAATCAAATCCAAGACAACAGTCGTCTCAGTTGCGGCCTCCACCAGTTACAAGTGTGTATTTTCTATTATGCATCTAGTATAAAATTTTTATAATTGTAATTGTTTTTAGCAACAAAGCTCATGAGCAACCAAATCAGACCAATTCCTGAGAATCAGGCAAGGCCAGTGTTGCTCCACTCGACAACAAAACAAGTCACATTGACCCAACAGGCACAAGTGCAGGTACATGCATAGTTAGAAATATTGTTTCTGTTTAGTGAATACTTAGTACAATCAGTACTTTTCATTCTAATTTCCTTACCTTTGTCTTCTCATCATCATATCCTTAATACAAATCCTGTGCAGGGAGTTAAATGTTACTATTAAACTTAGGACAATAAAACCAAAGAAAATGTAATTAAATGTGATGATATGTGAAGGATGTAAGGTTTCTCTTTTTATTGGCTTTTCCCTAATAAAGAAGGTTCACATATTTTATTATTAACCTTTTATCCTTATTGACATATGTTTTTTGTTTTTAAAAATATTTTCCCCTTATGGTTTTTAGTTTTTTCATTCAGGATTTCTTGGTTAAAGATAGGCAAAACTATATTCACTGCTAATTTCATAAAAAAGCCAAATGTTTATGTTCTGAAGGTGTCGGGTGAAAAAGCTGTAATAAAGAGTTACAGTGGGGCAAATCAAGGTACAAGGATGGTGACACCGGTTTCTGCTCCTCCACTTTCAAGGATTACCACTTCACTACCTCCAATGGTCTCATTACATCCTGCAGTTCTTGTTCCTAACAATTCATCACTACCGATTAAATCTGCCACATCACAAGCTAAAGTAACTGAAATCAAAACACTTTTAAATAGGTAGTAATCTTTTGTTTGATTGTTAGGTAATCTCCCAACCAGGGGCGACCATGCAGTTCACCTCGGTGCCTGTGAGCTCTGTTCAGCCTGCGATCGCAATAAACTCAGTAGTTACTAGACCAGGTAAAATTCCACACCTTTTTTATTTTTCTTTTTCTTTAATGAACAGAATTAAGTCTTGTATATGCACATTATAAAATTACCTTAAGGGCTTGTTACAGTCATGCTCACAAGTGGAGGGGCACAAGGGGCAGTCAGTACAAGTAACATCACTACTATGTCAACGACTCCGACCACTAATACTGTTGCGAGAATCCCGCACAATCCTAAGACATATCAAGAGATCACATCACAGCCATCCAGTTTTGTTCACACTTCAATGCCATCTGGTGGAAAATCCAACCCGGCAACTCAACTCAGTAGAGAACAGAGGCTGCCAACTAAAGATGATACTGGTATTTTATTTTTTATTGGTTATTCAGTTTAATTATTTGATGTGCACAAAATTTCTCGGTTACAATTATTTTTTACAAACAATTTTTCAGTTACAATTTATTTATTTTTATTCATCACAACACAGACCCCAAAAGAAAGTTCAACTACTATTTGAAATTGATTTTGACTAATACTAATCTAAAAAAATGGAAAAATACTTGTTATAAAAAAGACTACAAATTGTAATGAATATGTTGCCTAGGATGGAATAGGGGAAAATAATTCAAATTTTGTTATTTTATTTGAATATTTGTTTATGCATTTACTAAGAAAACCTAGATTGGTTTCAGTATGAAAACCCGAACTACAATACATGCCTTTTGCCAGCAAAAATTCTAAACAGCTTAAACTACATACTAATAGCAAATGAGTGAACATTCCATAGGTACTGAGGTTTTTAGACAGCAGTTTTCTGACAAAACGCCAATCACCAAAAATGCTTTTTTTTATCCCATACCTGAGGATTTAGTCAACATCAAACATTTTCGTTCTGAAATTTGTTTAATCTTTTAGAAGTGACGTCCGGATCCAATGCCATGGTGAATCTCTCCAACTCAGTGTATACAATGCCTGGGTGTACATATTATGACAACTACCAAATTTCTTCAAGATCTTCAACAACCACCTCAACATCATGTCCACAAAACCAACCAATGTCATCATCTTCACAAAGTAATTTAATTTATTTGTTTTCCTTTTATGCACTTTTTGGTTTATACTTGCTTATTCGATAGGTGTGATGTCACCAAATCAAAATGTTCGGTCAGTGACGGTCGTAGATTCTTCTAGATCCTATCTGTCTGCAAGTGAAGGTATTTTTGATAATAATAAGCTATATTTTGTGAAATTAAAAAAAAAAATTATAATCATACTTTTTCAGCAGGAAATTCTTCAACTGATAGCAGTTCATCCTTTTCTATTATAACGCTTTCTTCGGGAATTCCCCATAACTTAACAACAAAAACGAACACTTCACCAAGGCCTAGTATCTTAAGGAAAAGAGATCCTGAGGGGTAAGACCATCATTCAATGCTATTAAGCTTGGAACATTAATTTTCTTAGAAAATTGTTTTTAGTTCTCCGTTGAAGGCACAAAAAAATCTTATGCCTGTCTTGAGCAGTTTACCAATTTCGACCGGTTCACCACCGGGTCCTGGTTCACCTAAAAGGCCTGAGTCGGGACACTCGGGTCAGTCTTCTGCCGGTAGTACAACAATTTCAGCGAATTCGTCTCCTGGCGAGTCGCCCACAATAATAAAACAAGAACCGAGTGAAGATGATCACCAATCGACTCGATCGACCCCTGTTGCCCCGCCAATAATGGAAATGAGCCCAAGGAAAAAACCGAGAAAACAACAACTGTGAGTTATCGATGCTGTTTTAATTATAAATAGTGTCAGCATGATATTTTAATACATATTGTAGAACTGGGAACCAAATCACCGAGCCAACATTCAGTGAGGATGAAATGGAATTTATATCTGAAGATAAAATTAAGAAAGAAATAAAAGAAGGTAATTTTTTCCTTTTATTTAAAGCAAAGAATGATTGGTTTTAATTGTTTTTGTCTTTTTCAGAATTGATTTTTGAAGAAGAAAAATGCTTGCCAAAGAGAACTATGTCACTTTTAAACTCGTACAAACAACATTGGAAAGTAAGGAATAATCATTTCCTCCGATATACAGATGTTAAAACAAAAGAAGACAGAAAGCCTACGTTAAGCGAATTAGCAAATCAGAAGCATGTTTTACAGAAACTTGATGGCTGGAAGATCTACCATCTAGGCACACAGATTGAAGACATGGTAAGGAAAAAGCTAATTTTCATAACAATACAACACGTACACACCAGTAAAGCCGGGAATACACTTACCCGATGCTACGCCATGCGACGCTACCCGATGCCTTACCACATTTTTGGTGGGGTGTGCACATCTATCCGACGCAAGCACATGTCGCGTACAGTCCACAGCGTTTATCACAATAATCACTATCACAATTGCAACGCATCTTTTATTCTTAATGTACTATTTTGAGCAAAACTTTGTAATAAATTGTTAGTTAAATTTTATGAGTACAACCATCTAAATTGTTTGTTAAACTTAATTGTTTTAAATAAAGTTACTCCTAACCATCATAATTAAACAATGTTTATAAAAACTTATGCATTTTTGATCTCGTTTAATTTGGTTTACATTAAAATAACATGTAATTAATATAACGACACAATTACATGTACTTAGTTTGAAATAAACTACAAAAAATATGAGTGTCCTGTTCTGATGCTACCAGACATTACAAAATGGTGTAATTTTACGAGCAACACTATGAAATAAATTGTTAATTAAATTTTATGAGCAAAACCGTGTAATAAATTGTTCCAATTTTAGTATATGTACCGCCGAAGCGAGTATAATAAATTGTTAGTTAAATTCATTATATCAAAAAATCGTATTCCGGTGTTTTGATTAATTTTCTACCAAACCATTAAAATTAATTTTTTAAATAAAAACTAATTAATTTTTAATCACAGTTAATTTGGTTTATATTAAAATAAGTATGTTGAAATTAATATAACGACAATAATACATGTAGTTTGAATAAAAATATGAGTGTCCGGTTCTTTTGTCTTCGACTGTACTCGATGCGACCCGACAAAAATCTGGACAGTGGGGATCGCAGAGCGTCGGGTAGGTTAGCATGGCATAGCATCGGGTAGATCTGCACGGGGGTAATGCAACCTTATGGAAAATCGGAGTTTGGATTTGCGTCGGGTAGTGTCGCATGGCGTAGCATCGCTTAAGTGTGTTTCTGCCTTAAGAAGTGGAAAGTTTTTAGTGGCAGATGTAGTTTTAAAGCTATGGGCCAACAAACAACTACTGGTTATTATCTACACATAAAACGGAAAATTCTGTAGGTTGTTTTCTTAACTTACTAACCTCTTGTTATTACCTTAAATTGTCCAATTATCAATAAAACACAAGTATACATATATACAGGGTGATCAGAATTTTTTGGATCATGAGAAATTAGTCAAAAAATTTTGTTCCAACTCTCCATGATAATGGGATACAGATAGCAAGTATTTTACAATCAGTGAACTGCTAAAAAATCAGTCATTGGTTGAAAATTTCGTTGATCAGAAAAACAATGTTTGGGAAAAGTTTTTATGAATAGCGAACAACTTGAGAATGGTTGCTCCAAATTAAAAACTGTATAATTCAGAATCAAAAACACTTTTATGATGAGTATCCTGCCATCTGAAATAGTTTCCAGTCCGTATCCTGTTAGCCTGGAGAGTTAGATCAAAACTTTTTTGTCCATGAGAAACTATAAAAAAAAAATTTACGTAATTCAGGGTATTTTACCAAGTGCACAAATAGAAAAATATATATCTGTACATACACATAACGCCACTAGGGACGGATTCCTCCTACTCCCCTCAGAAAATAAAAAGATAGTAAAAAAGATTTTTCTTATTTCGCTGTGAAATAATTTTCTCTGGCCAACTGTGATATTAACATTTCAAAATAGTTTTCTCAAAACAGTTTTTATTTTATTAGGCAATTAAGTAATACTTTGGTCATTGATCTTTTTTTACAGAGCAATTCTGAGGCTGAATTTTTTAACCTTTATTCATCACTCCTCAGCGTTCTTGAAATAAAACAGAAAAAAATTAAAAACAAAGATTTGGATAAAGACATTCACAGGATCAATGAAAGGATCAGGGTATGGATACGGATCCTTAAATAATTCTGATTGATACTGATATTTTTGAAAAAATTAATTCACAGGCAAACTTTCAAAGGAGTAAAGTTGTTAAGGATCAGATGAACGAGGCGAGGACGCAGGTGCTCAAATTATTCGAGCATAAAGGCTATGTTGCAGATATAATAAACAGGAATGCAACGAAAAGGCCTCTTAAGAAAAGGGAAAGGCAGTAGAATTGGTTGGATACAATTAATTATTTTACCATATGCTGTTTGATCTCATCTGTTATGAAGAATATTGTGGAATTGTATTTCTCCTTATTTAGTTTTCCATTGAAAGAGAAACTTTTAATGTTACATTTTAATTGTTTATTAACAACAAAACCCTATTTATTTTATTATAAAAGACCTCATTCTAAACACTGATGGAAATTGTTTGAAAATATAAATACATTGAATAATAGTATTAGGTGATCAAGATAAGTGCAATAAATAAAAGGGTCAAAAATTTGTTAAGAAAAACGTACAAAACAAAAACAAGTGGAGTATTTTAATTATAATAATATAGTTTTTAGTTATCATTACTTTCGTAATTTTTTGTGCTCTTTCAGTTCCGTTATTGCTAATGTAATTATTTTTTTATACTTAAATTGGATTATTTGTTCTTGTTCTTCTGTTGCCAGTGAATTTAATCACTAAGATCGATTAGACAAAAATCAATGATTTGGATTTTCAAAGTAAAGCAAAGTTTCAGTTTTCTTAATATCCCTGAGCGGTTGTATTTTTATTTATTTTTTATTTTTTTTGTTTGTGTTTATTTGAGTTATTATTTTTTTATTGTTTGTACAAACAGTATAGTTAACTTATAAGGCCACAATTAAAGACATAGTATCAAATTGCGCTTATTACACTGACTAAAATCAATACACATTTTCACTTTTATTTGATGTGACATTATACATAATTGTGTAATAAACATTTAGACACAGTTTATTTCATATCAGGAAAAACCTTTTAAAATATAAATTAAATTTTACTCTTAAGATGTGTAAAATGATTTACCTTTTTACAGAAAAGAAATAGAATAGTATAAACCTGTAAATATAAGGCCAATGAGTTTTTAAAATTAATATTTTGGTAATATTTTTTGAACTAGAAAGTGCCAAATAAATGTTTGACTATTATCACTGCCTTTTATTTTCCTTTATATTAATAACTTTTGAATGTGTAAAAATTACATAAACAATTTTTTTTAAACAAGGGTTCGCAACACTAGAGGTCTCAATCAATTTTTGGGTGCTTTTGCAAAATAAAAAATTGCAAATATGTAAGGTTTGAATGCAGGGCCACTGGATTCGAACCCTGGTCCTTTACCTTATAATGATGAGCACCGTGTCAACGCCTAAACCGGCCACTGACGCCCCTATGCAGAACCATAATGTGCTCCAACTTCCAAGATCCTACTCACATAACAAAAATCAATTAAAGCTTCGGGGAGAGCTTCAGGCAGACAGGTTCTGGGGTCGCCTGTTGATCCCATGATCCCTAAATTCAGATTTGATTTGCATTTTAAATAGAAATACTTACTAAAGCAGACTGGGAGAAATGGATCCCAGTTTATGCCAACAATAAGGGTACACAGATAGCTCCAAGATCGAGTATGAACCAGGAGCTGGTATTTGTAGAAAGAAATAGACCAAAGGACCAGTAGAATTCATATAAGCCTTGGGCAATATGCCACCATCTTTTAAGAAGACTGTCTATTGAGCACTGTGCCAAGGAGATTAAAAGACTAGGTACATTAATAGAAGAATAGCTATCTACTCAAACAACACTAAGGGCAATTACCACATCAGAAGTATAATCCAGAATTGTTTGATATTGCATTATGGCATTGTCAAACATAGGGAATAACAAAATTACCCTTGTCTGGGTGGGTACCAGGGTAGAAGAGTAATGAAGTAGTTTATAAATTGACCAAAGAAAGTTCAATGAAGACACTTATTAGCCAGGAATTATTTTGTGGCATACCACATGACCAAAAGCATGGATCCATAAAGTTCCCAGTTCAAACTAACAGCAGACTCCGGAGGCAGATGTGTACTCAACAGGGCAGAAACAAGCCTGGCAGGTAAAGCCAGGAAGAAGAAGAACAGCAGAACAAAGTCCTCTGCTGGTGTGAAGGGTTATGTAGGCTGAGATAATTACTTCTGGGAGAGGAAAAGCCCACTGATGGGAATCCTTAAAAAAGCTTTGAATTCTGGTAAAATGCCTTAAGCTTAATGAGGCTTAATGTGTCACTACCGTGTGGACACAATAGACAAATACTGGTCATGACATGCAGGTTTTAAAGAGGCCAACTCCATTTTGTAATCTGTATTAATTTTGGGCTGGCAAACATCTAGTGGTCATTTTTTTTGGGGGGGGGGGGTTAGGGATAGTTATTGTTTTTTTTCCCCCAAAAAAAATTCCATGGTAATCTTGGATTTGAACCCAGATCCCTAATGTTTATATTTTTATGTTTCATATAAAATAGTATCATCACTTATTTGTTAGGTTTATTGTCTGTAGAAGGTTGTAGTTGAAAACTCAATATGAATGTATTATATCTTTATAAATAAAATAAAAACTATTTTTTAAAATAGCAGTATTTCAGCTTTTTTGTAGCCTGGTGAAGAAGAAATGAAAAAGAATTTTATAATGATAATTTAATTTGACGGAAGGCAGAATATAACATTATAGTTTTCTTTGGGACTTAGGACATTGATTTTCCAAAACAGTGAGGCGTCTCGATATGTACAAATTATCTCCATGAATAACTTTAACATCGTTTGTGACTTGCATAACAGCTTCCATCAACTCAAGAAGAGACATATTGGTCGCCTGGAGCGTCTTTGATAGCCAGTTGACAGTGCTGGCCAAATTCTTTTTCGAATACGGATCTTTGATGTGTCCTATCTCAGTCGGTTTTTGTAGTTTACTCTCCTTTTTCAGGTTGGTCGGAATGCAGGCTTCTTTCTCTTTATGTACAATGTTTTTCTGGTATTCAGCATTGAGCCTACTACTGAAACCCATGCTTGTTTGATAGAAGCTTTTGCTTTCACCTTTGATCCCAGACCCAATAAGGCTCTTTTGATGCAGCTCTTGATTTATTCTGCTCTTTTTCCTTGATCTGTTAAGTCCTATTTTCTCCAGTAGATGGTAATCTGTAAACATATCGCCTAAATTTGCAAAATTAAAAGCATACTCTACAATTAAAAATACGAGAATGAAATTACATAAATTACTTTTTATTTTGGATTAACAGTAATTTCAATTAATTTAAGTATTATTTTAACTTCTAAACTATTAATAGGAGATTTTAAATCAACAGGTCTTTTATTTTATGCTTTTAGCTTAAAAATGTATTCTTAGAGAGGAAATTGGTATTTGTTATATTAACCAGTACACTTTGAAGGTAAAAATTACTATGGTTTTAAGTTATAGCAATAACTTTTGGATATTGTTTTAAACATTTATATTTCATTATCCTTTAGCGAACTTTTTGGTGTAGGTTCTTGTTTTCGTGAGCTTGAGCTAGCATCTCGCTTCTGTTTGCTTTCCTTAGGCGATGAGATGACACTATCCTTAAGAAATGATTGATCTTCTTTGAGTTTTTCAACTTGCCGGGCAAGCCAGCAGAGTCCCTCAACAATTTGCTCTTGTTTTGAATAGACATCATCTAGCGTTACCGTTCTTTTGAACTTGTCTGAAAGGCCGAGTGCCGTAAACGAGTTGGTATTAATTCCACATCTTTCTTCTATTCTACGCCTCCCATGAATTTCTGTGAATCAAAATCAGCTCCTAAATAATCTTACTGAAATTAGGTTGTTTTAAACTAAAAACAATTTATGTGCTTTATTTGGATTAAATAATGAAATTGAAGTAAAGAAACATTAATTATTTCATGATTGTTAAGTTTCACATTTTTCTTTTTAATATTTTTTAATGGCCCACATCTTGTTCTAGATTTTTTAACTCTTCCAATGCACTTTGGGAAGTGAATGCCATAAATCATGACATTGTTGGTATTCGGTTGTTCTTCATGTTGAATTTATTTCAGCTCTCTCTATGAATAGAAAAGGATGGAATTTGCTTCTAATCAACTCTGCAATGTGCTACAAGGTACGGATGAAAAATGAACTGTTCAAAAAAAAAAAAAAAAAAAAAAAACTGAATGTTAAAAATTAAATAATAAAAATAAAAACATTGGATTTTGGTATCAAAGCATTACTATTTTATTGTAAATACTAACTGAATTTTTTAAATGAAACAAACTATTTTATTTTCTTAATTGTGATTTATTTAAGCCATAATTAATGACTTGCTCTTTTGTTTTCTATCATGTTCAATCTCTCCACAATCGCTTTATTGTCACAGTGAATTGTCTGGACATGTTCTGTCAAACAAATGACTGTTTCCATGAGGTCCAGAAGTTTAAGATTTGTTTCATTCAGCGTTTTGTTTAGGTACCTGACATTCTCTTTAATAGAGGAGTGGTTCAAAGGTTCTTCCACATTTTTATCATCCCTTCTTTTCTGAATGGACAGCCCAAAGTCGTCCTTGCCCTTACATTTGGCTGTGAAGCAAAAAACAAACAAAAAAACAACAAAACAAAAGACATTCCATCTCAGTTTTTATTCATAGTTTTCTTTTTTATTTATTTAAAATAACACTTCTTTCTATATTTAATTTGTTCTGTTATAAATTATAATTATTCTTCATCGCTTCGCAGCCTCTTCTTATTCTTCTCAATGAAAATTTATGATAAAATTTTTTTTTTTTTTTTTAAATTTTTTTTAATGGCTTTATGTTCTGAGCATATTAGCCAATGACAATGTATTACGTGTATTCGTTTTTTTTGGGGGGGGAAGGGTAGCATGAAAAAAAGGCCAGAGGCGACGGTGAGAATCGAACCCACGACTGTGGGATCTATGAGCCGAGAGTCTCACGCTAACCACTCAGCTACCGCGGCCCCCTAGATTTATCTTTCAATGGAATTTTAACGTTTATAAATCCCATAAAACCTCAAAAAAATAGCAAAAGAACTTGTCCACATGTAGACTATAAGAATTTAGTACATTATTGTAATTAAGTTATTTTTTTACCACCATTTAAACTTTTCTGTGACAATGGTATAAATATTTTTTAAAAAATGCTGCGTAATAGATACAACATACTGGGTGATATAAATCAAACTCCAAACTGCAAGCATGGTTTCTGGGTGAATTGGGCACCATACCTTGGCCTCCATGGTTTCTAGTTAAATGACTGATAGGTTTTACAACACATTTCCACATAAATTATTTAGTCAAGGGGTAAAAGAATCAAATAAAAATTTCAGCTAGGACACATAAGACAATAAATTTGTCAACATTAATTCTCTACAATGATCAACATAATCTATTCACTTGTTGAATAATGTGCGGAAAAAAATTAAAGTTTCAAAGTTACACAATTTACTTATAAAAAAGTAATAACCTCAATGCTTCATTAATTTCGAATAGTCAAAAATATTTGTATGAGTTATGATATTCACTATCTCCAACAGCACACAATTAGTAGAGTTGTACTGATTATAACTTGTTAAACGTCTTTATTGTTCCTTTTTGACTGATAACATTCTAATTTGAAAAATGACGATTCTGAATTTTTCTGTTCATGAAGAAATACACAGGCATAAAGTCAGGGAAAGTTAAGTCAGTTGGTCGAGATAAGAAAGAACACCTTTGAGCATAAAGATATACAGATCTTAATGAAATTATTTTTATTTATATGGACAAATATGCCATTTGGTGGTTAATTTGGTGGTCACAATAAACAACAATCTGAAAATTCACATGCATGTTTCTTTGCAAAATCAGATAATTAAATAAGAGTCCCATAATATACAATTATACAAGGAGGAATTTCGAATGAAATTTACTTCCTACAGGCAAATGGAAAAAATAGTGAAATTGGACGATCTAATCATTTTGACGGGGACAAAAAATAAAGCAAAAATATATTAAATTAACATTTTTTAATATTTTAACATAATAATTAGTGTGACAATGTGAATAATGACATGTAGTACAAACAATAAATGCATCAGACTTATGTAGATTATTAGTACACAAATACTTTAAAATCTTTATAGCCAAAATCCCTGGTCGGAAAAAAGTGGCCTTTATATTTTAAATTAAATGCTTAAAATCATTGTTAATGTATTTTTTCTGTATTCTGATTTGAGTATTTAGTTTAAAATACAAAATTCAACCCTTATTCCCATCCCTAACTATCAATTATTAATAAAACGCTAAAATATCACTAAATCTGTGGGTGGCAAAACTTTTTCCAAAATTGTGACAGCGAAAAAGCAAAGAGACAAAGAACTGCTGGCAAAGTATTTTAAAAAATGATTTAAAGATAAGTGAAGTGTTAGGAAAGTCATTAAAGTCACGTCTTTAAAAATTATAATAAAATTGTGTTATATTCAAGTAAACAAAAAAGTAAAAATTCTAAGGTGGCCACATTTTTCCTTTCAGTGTACTTGATTTACTTTCTACCATACACTAGAAACATATTAATTTCTGTAATAAGTTTAAGATCTAAAAAGTTAAAGGAAAATTGAATTTACTTTAAAAAAAAAAAAAAATTAAAATGCATATCTTTAACTCATACTAGATTTCCTTCGTGGAAAATTTTTAAATTTGATTCAACTGATAAAAGTGCATGTGGAAATCAAAATAGTGTTTAGAAAATAAAAAAACAACATTTACCTTCTAAATTATGGAGTTGATGTTCTAAAATGCATTTTTTCCTCCAGAAATAAACAGCAGCACCGACTGGAACTACGAGGAGGAGGGCAAGAGTCAGTTTGGTGAACGATGCAGAGCAGGTATCGCAGTCGACTTGTGGCTGATGGCTCATCGCTTTTCAGTGGAGATTTCTCCAATTCGGTTTGGTGCAAAGATATATACTTTTTGGAGGACTAAATTGAACTAAATGGAGATGGCTCAGTACAACAGCATGCCTTCTCATTTGCTGTTCACAATTTCTCAAGAGGAATGTCTTAATTTGATGTGTTTTTATCGAAGAATGTCAATTCAACCCAACCCTGATCCAAAAGTCAGCACATTCGGCCGTAGGTCTGAGCGGGTGGACATCGATCGCTTTCTATTTATGATAAATAATCATATTTTTGCATTTTTACAAAAAAATTTGGATTTGATAGCCCTCATTTTGATGAATACATATGTCTGGAAAAAAAATTGAAAGTTTGTTTTAGGAGAATATGTTAATATCAGATTTTTGTTATTTTTCAATGTGATTTTTTTAAATATTTAAATTAAAAAATTGTAACCATGAAAATAATTACATACAAATTAAATATTTTTTGCTTAATAAATTATTGTTTCATGGGAATTTTGTTAGGAACAATACACGCAATTAAACTACATGGATCTTTTTCAAAATAAAGTAAATAAAATAAAATAAACAATTACAGTTTCAAATGTAAAAAAACAAACTATCTATGCACATATGTTCCTCAATTCTGAAAAAATGGATATAAATATACTTTTATTGGCTTGAAATGAACATAATAATCTAATTGCACCCAAAGCAGGCCATTTTCTTCTTTACTAGTTGCATTTTACATATTTTACACTCTCTATGGAGACTTGATAGAATTTTTGGAATTTTCCACTGATATATACATATATGTCCTTTTTTCCTCTCATACAATAGTTTGGAAGAAACATATTTTTGATAAATCTTACAAAAAGCTTGTTTTGAAAATAAGGCAAATTTCTTCCACTGTGTGGTCTGAAAAGTGATGAATTTGAGAGTTAGGAAAACCCACCACTGACTGAAGATGGCAACTGTTAAATGCAACTCAGATGAAAGCAGCTATGATACGACTGGGATACAAAACTTCAAATAATACTGATTGCCTTACAGACCTCAAATACAAGTTTTGAACATGTAATTCAAAAACAGATTTGCTTCAGAAAAACAAACCTACATAGCTTTTCTTCTGCTACTCAGGTTTTTCATATATATACCTACGGTATATTGCAGCAGTAGAAGACCGGTTGCATGCTGCAGTAATTGTGTTAAATTTGGGGCAAGGCTTTCTTGATTGGAGTGTTGTTCTACTAGTATGCAGTTTTCATTTATTTATTGTTTAAAGCCTTATTACTCTCAGACTAAGACAAGAGACAAATTATTCTCCCAGTAGACTCATGCAATCCCATACTGTCCATAATGTTTCTATTTAAAGCAAGACTTTCTTGACAAAGTCCTGATGCAAAAATTCTTCCAGGCACAATGTTTTAAATTTTACATATGTTGTTATATGTGATCTATTGGCATTGCTGATGGGTTTGGCTCGTTTATCAGCCTCTTTGTTACCCGTCTGTCTTGTGCACCCTCTGACTTAGACAACAGACTGTTGTTTTTCCTAGTACATTCAAGTAGTCTCATACCGTCTATCTTTTAAATTTAAGGCAAAACTTTCTTGTCAAAGTGCTGAGGTGTTGTTCCAGTAGGAATGCAGTGTGAAATTTTACAGAAAATTTTGAAGCCTATGGTATTGCTGATGAGTTTGACTATTTTATCAGCCTTTATGTTTCCCTTTTCTCCTGAAACCCTCGGACCCAGGAAAGACAGTTTATTCTCCCAATACACTCAAACAATTCCATACTGTCCATGACCTTTCAAATTTAAGGTAAGACTTTCTTGAGTATATGCTGATGTTGTTTCTCAGGTTCACAGTTTTAAATTTTGCGTACCTATTTGGCGTTGATGGGTTTAGCTATTTTTTCAGCTTCTTTGTAACACTTCTGTCCTAAGTACCATCAGACCCAGTATATTCTCCTAATCCAATACTGTCCATGTTCTATCTGAGGTGAAGCCATTTTGAGCACAGCATGGCATCAGTGTATATGTTAAGTTTGAGACTATCTATTCTCAGGCTTTTAAATATTTTTCACAGCGTTTGAATACCTCATTACAGTCTGAAACATTGCATATTTTCCAAAAGCAGTTGGGTGTTATTTTTTTTTAAATCTTATAAATACACCTTCGGTGTTTGGTTCTGGGAAAACCGTCAGTGTTGACTAGACATTTCTTCTATGCTGCACATTCTGGTACTATAACTTGGCGTTTCTTTGCGAACATCCATAGGCATGCCAAATATTACACCATTTCAAAATCATTGTTTTATTTATAGGGCATCTTGGAGGTGGCTTAAAGAGCCTGTCTTTACTCCAGAATGAAAATGTGGTAGATTTAAAAAATCTCTGAGGTAGCAGTCAGCGCGCATGGCATACCATCTTTTGGGTACTGCTTAAGAGCCTTTCCACTGACTGCAGGGTATTTTTCCGTCAGTCAATCACTCCCTGGCTGGAGACCTGTAGGTTTTAAGCTATCATTTCGGATTTTAGGCTCCAGTTTTTTCTACCTGACAAAGGTGATTTTGACCATGTTAGCTTTTGGTCAAAGATGACTCCGAAGTATTTCTCATTTAAGAAAACGATTGTTTAGTTGTGTGCTTATCTTCATACACAGGAAAGCCAAGGTCTTACGTATTATTTATTGTATTTTATTCAATTAATGAAGTTGATGTTAATACAATTTTTCAGAAATAGCAGCTATTGGTTTCATTTTTTCGCAAATAATTATTTGTCAACTGGCTTTTGTTTGGGATGCTATTTTTGAAATTGAAAATACAAATACATAAATGCGGTTTGATGTCACAATGTCACAAACTACCCCAATTTAGCAAACATTTATGGGTCCCTCCGTGCTAAGTCTGAAGTTACTTGATATAACAAAAGTCGAGGTGCTTGTTATAAATTTATTGTTACACAAAATTTGGGAGGTTATTTGTGGGTTGAAGATGTAACAAAATTGTAAAGGCCCTGGTGGAGCTGGCCAATAAGATTCGTACACGGATGGAGAGGAATGATGGAAATTTCATTCTTATTTTTTAACAGTTCCCCTTGAATTTCAACTATGGATGCATTAAAGATTTTAACAATCCTACTAATTAATTTAACGTTTTGTTCCCTCATCCTAGCCGAGTGAGTATTCTCTTAATTGTTCTTTATTGCTTTATCTACTTACAAAGTCAAATGCTCTGAATTTTTAAACCGGTTTCCATGGAACAGGAGGAACTTTTACAAGATTCTCGGTGTGCGGAAGGACGCGAATACAAATCAAATAAAAAAGGCCTACAGGAAATTGGCGAAAGAGCTTCACCCGGATAAGAACAAAAACGACCCGGAGGCAGCTGAGAAATTTAGTGATCTTAGTGCTGCCTATGAAGTTCTTTCCAACCCGGACAAGAGAGATAAATACAATAAGTGTGGGGAAGAATGCCTCAAAAAGGACGGAATGATGGACAATTCCATGGACCCGTTTGCAAGCTTTTTTGGAGACTTTGGCTTCCACTTTTCCAACGGTGATGGAGGAAGGAACAGAGAGACTCCCAAAGGTGCCACCATCGTCATGGATTTGCCTGTCTCACTCGAAGAATTATATAATGGCAATTTCGTTGAGGTATCTTGTTTATTTAATATTTTTTCCCATTTCTTTACCTTTTGTCTTTTGCATGAAGAAAGATTTTCCTTACTAGACTGACCACAGAGTTTAATATGCAACCCTACTGTTGTGTATGTTAAATTTAGCTGGGAACAGAAAGCAAAAAAAGCTACTTCGATAGCCAAGCTGCTTTTTGGTGTACCGATGGATTTATCATGTGAGATGGTCAGGAGTATTTTGTCCCAAAATTAAATCACCAAACAAACTCATATAATAACTGAATAGTTTTATTTTCCCAAGCATTATTCAATTTAATTTACTAAAAAAATTACTACCAATAACTAGACATTCTAATAAACGGACTCAGACAGCGAAAAGTAACTCAACATTTCATGAATGATAGTTGACTAGCATTTGGGAAGTTTCACAACCCTCACAAATGGCTTTGGTGCTTCCTGGTCAGTTCTAAGTCAGTTAGTCGTGTTGTCAAATCGCTTGGGAGGTGAATTACAAAAAAAACACCTTTCTTTAGAAAACGTAGTAAAATTGAACAAGTCCATGAGAAAAAGAAAATTAGTATCTGTGCCTAATCTGTTTACATTCATTCTTTTTTACTTTCACTTAACATATCTAATATTTTTTCAGTAATTTGTTCGTTACCGATTGTTTGTTCTGCCTATCCTTGCTGGGTCGGTATGGTAGATGTTTAGGCATTTTGCAATCTTCAACTTGTCTGTCCAAAAAGAGGAAATTCTATATATTATATTTTTCCTTCTAATAAGTTGAAAAAATTCCATGCCAAGGTTTGTCTGCTTATGGGAAGTTCAATTGTACTCCACAAGCATCTTCCAAACTGAAGCCCATGGAATTGATAGATGTACTCAATTCAACCTAAATAGAGATTTCAGAATAGGTTCCAACATATATTTTACGAGCACTCTGGATCAAGGTATGGTCTTGAAGAAGGCAAATTTACTGGCTACTACCAAGCTTCCCACCTATTATTGAGGTAGTTAATCCATAGACATATTTAAGGTTGTTTTGCCGTGATAAACTACTATACTAAATTTGTTTTCTTCTTCAAGACCATACTTTGATCCAGAGTGTTCACAAGTGAAAAATTGGTCGATATTTCTAATACTGAAAATATATTTTGCAAGGAGGTAGGCAAAACCCAATCACACCTAATATAAGATTGTAGTGCTATCTCCATGAAAAAAGTTTTTTGGGATTTGGGATTAAGATCCATTTGCATACTATGATTGCAAAATAGAAGCTACCAAAGTTGTTCATACAATACTGGCCCGAATTTCAATTTTCAGTTTTCCTGGGTGGCAGCAAATTGTTTTCAAAATTAATTAATTTAGTGCATTATGAACAGTTAACTTCCTGAGGATCAGTTGCATTGAACGTGTTAAATGGCACAGTATTGCAACACCCTGTTTGATATCATCTTTTTTTTTTTTTTCCCCTTATGATCTTTGCATATTAGCCATGACGAATTCTTATATATGTGTTGTTCAAATTGGGGGTTATCGGGAAAAAAGGGCCAGAGGCGACGGTGGGAATCGAACCCACGACCGCGGCGTGAGAGTCTCTCATGCTAACCACTTGGCTACCGCGGTCCCCGGTTTCTTTCATTCATGTGTTAATATTCTGTTTTTAATAATATATATCCAAATGAGATTCCATATGCTTCCTATAAAATTTGTATCCTAACTGTTGTTTTTTCTACCATGATTTCTTGCTTTTTTTAAATGTTTTTTTATTACGAGATGTCTCTTTCTTAAATTTAATCATAATAATTGGTAGTAGTTCGAAGAAGTATATCTCACATTTCCTTTACAAGAAATAGAAACTGCCATACAACAGATGGGTTTAACAATTTTACCTTACACCCATTAGAATATATATGTATATTTTTAACTTTTCATTTTAGCATTCAAAAACACAAGTGTAAGACCAATTGAAATTTTACCTATGTTGTGGAAGTGGAACATTTGCTTATAGAAACACTTCTTGTACAATTGATATGATCACAGAACAAAATCCTTATTAGGAGAATGAAATTGGAAGAAAATTGTTTTTGAAGTAACTAGTGAAATTGTTTGTATTTTAAAAAACATGACATTTGTTATAAATTACAAATTATTGTAAATTATGATTCTGACATTACAAGTAGACATTGAAATGTTTTATAATATTGAGAATTCTTATTGAGTTCTGCATATTGCTGAATATTTGGTTATGATTTTTTCCCTCCTAATTGATTGGTGACTTTGTTGCCCCTCACCCTGCTTATTACCAGACTTATTCATTGAAACATGTGCTATACTGCTATTCACTGAATTATTAATGAAGTAATGCCTGTGTAACGAAAGGAATATTTTTGTGGGAGGGGGAAAGGACAGAAATATAAGGATGAAGAGGGACTCGAACCCACAACTGTGGAATCTACGAGCCAAGAGTCTGACATGGAAGCCCCTTTTCAACGGCTAAGATATGAAAGATTTGACCTTTAATATAATTACAATTAATTGTAACCGGTTTTTTTGGTTGAGATGAAAAAAAGTTAATGGCACGAGCGGGATTCGAACCCACGATCTTCGGCTAGATATGCCGCTGCTCTACCACTTGTGCTATCGGGACCTCGAGGCTCGATCCACACTGACATCAACTTCCTATCTCAACCCCACCTTATGAGTTTTCCCTCCTTTTTGCCATTTTTCAAATGTCGTGTAATCAGATTGGATTCTCGACGACAAATGAAATGGCCACGGAGAGCATTAGTGAAGTGTACTTCATTTTAATTCATTGAATTCACTAATTTCGTGGTCCGCTTGACCCATAAGGTGGGGTTGAGATAGGAAGTTGTTGTCCGAGTGGATCGAGGTCACAATAGCTCAAGCGATAGAGCAGTGGTGTATCTAGCCGAAGATCGTGGGTTCGAATCCCCCTCGTGCCATTAACTTTTTTTCATCTCAACTAAAAACCTTAATTAATTGTAATGTATTAATTGGTCAAGCGGACCACGAAATTAGTGACTTTAATATAATAAAACTGTGGCATATGGTTGACAGTGTGCGAATTTGCTTTAATTTTTTAAAATTGTTTGTCCAGATTACAAGGAAAAAACCTGTTATGAAGCCTGCATCAGGCACACGAAAATGCAATTGTCGACAAGAAATGCAGACGAGACAACTTGGCCCGGGGAGGTACCAAATGATGCAGCAAACGGTTTGCGATGAATGCCCCAATGTCAAGTAATGAAGAAGCTTGAAATGATCATAGAATTATACTTTATTAACAACAAACTTTTTACAGATTTGTCACCGAGAGCAGATTGTTAGAAGTCGAAATAGAACAGGGCATGGTAGACCGTCAAGAAGTCAGATTTATTGCCGAAGGTGAACCACATATAGATGGAGATCCAGGTGATTTAGTCTTGAAGATCAAGACTGTCCCTCACCCCGTCTTTGAAAGGCGAGGAGATGATTTGTACACAAATGTTACAATCTCGTTAGTAGACGCCCTAACAGGCTTCTCAATGGAAATTGAACACCTAGACGGTAGAATGGTAAAAATTCAACGAGAAAAAGTAACATGGCCTGGTGCTAGAATAAGAAAGAAGGGCGAAGGAATGCCTAATTATGAAAATAATAATTTACATGGTGTATTGTACATCACATTTGATGTAGAATTTCCTAAAAATGAATTCACAGAAGAAGAAAAGAACAGTGAGTATTTAAAGGACAAATTATTATGTACATTCTTAATTTTTTTTTAATACAAAAACTAATTTTTGTTATAGGTCTCAAAGAAATTCTCAAACAGAAATCTGTGAACAATGTTTATAATGGATTACATGGTTTCTAACTGTGGAGATATTAAAAACAAATATTTATAGGCCAATTTTTATAAATACCAAAAATGTTGGGTGCTACTCGTGCAAAACAGAGACAAAAAGTTATTCCCACTTAAAATGTAAAACGAGAGACTAAATGTTGACCTATTATTTGTGTAAGATGAATTTTTGAACATTTCAAATTGTGTCTGATTGTTTCCTGTATCAGTGTTTTTAAAGTGTATGAGTTTGAAAAATCTTCAATTTAAACTGGTAGTTTTCCTTGAGAAATTTTTGACTTAGATCTATTTATTTTTTAGTTTTTATAAATTTGAATTATTAACCAATTGAATTACCATTTTGGATTTTTTTAAATAATAATTTTGATATGAATACACTTTCTTAGTTGAATGAAAATTATTTATTTCATTTGATTTGTACATTTATGTTCTGCCAAAATGTTTATTTGTTAAGTGAGGATTTTGTATTTATTTATCCACTGTGATGTGATTTAATTTATAAGAAAAACTTTGTTGTTATCTATAAAAAAAACAAAAACATTTAAAAAAATTTAGAATATTTCATTGTGTTCAAATAAACACATTTGAGCTCAATTTTGCATGTATTTTATTCTTGGGTAACATCCAAAATATTATAACCAAGTACAGTCGCAATATTCAATTAAATAAAAATTCATGGTTAGTGAAATTGAAATTTGGTTGTTACCAATTGTTTTGGTATGCCTATACTTGCTGTGATGGTTGTCAGTCATATTTCACCACCTAGTGTACATAGAATAGAATATATTTATTTCGTTGTAATTGCATTATTAGATACATTTAAGGGAAGAAACTAAAATATCTGAATGTCACAACATGTCCCTAAGAATATAAATTGTAAACATGACTAAAACGTTTTAAATTGAAAAAAGTTTGGACAGTATCAAAGGATTGTTCTCAGATGTTGAAATGATTCAGAATCCAGAAAAATTATAAAAACGAAATAAAAGGCATCTAGAATTATAAGTAGAAAGTTGTATAATCAGAGATTTAATAAGTAAAACCTGCAAGTGAAGAGGGTGCCATAACTAACTTCTCAGTACAAATAGAGTAAAATATAAATGTAGAGCATCAGATAAGCTGGCAGACATGGGGCATATAACTGTCATCTGAATTTAGCTGAGAAGAAAGGAAAATAAAACCAACAGAGAAATGTTTAATTAATTGTAAAGGATCTTTTTGAAGTGCAAAATTTGTGTGAGGTGGGCATCAAACCCATAACCTTTGGCTCAATACACCACTTCTCTAACCATACGAACTACCGTGACTTCAATTGCCCATGCTACAAACTCCTCATTTCGGCTTCCTTTTTGTTCCAGTTGTAAGCAAATCTGGCTTCATAGAGAAACACATTTTACTAATGATTGTGCTATATCAGTGGACTGACAGAAAAGAGATATCATTGATGTACACAGAAATTAGAAAAGGACCTAAGATGGACTGTTGTATCAGTTATTAAATTAACAAAATGATGAGTTGTGTGGTAACTGGTTGTGAATTCGGAATGGGCTATTTTCATTTGCTGGTAAATTATGTGAGGGAGGAAGTTTGATATTTAAAATTTTTAGTTACTACTACCATTCACTCTTTTTTATAATAAACTTGAATAAAATTTTTTTTGTCTTATTCGATGTAAATCGATCAGCTGAGTCGATTGGAAAAGGTAATTGGCACGTAGTTTTCGAGAAAAACGCAAAAAACAAATAAAAAAAATTGCAAAAATGTTATCTTTTTTGATGTAAATCGACCTGCTGAGTCGATTGGCAAAGGAATTAGGCTTGCAGGACACGTTGTTTTTGAGAAAAACGCAAAAAAAAAAAATCGAAAATATTTTATTGCCCTTTTTGATGCAAATCGACCTGCTTAGTCGATTGGAAAAGGAATTAGGCTCGTAGGACACATAGTTTTCGAGAAAAGCGAAAAAACAAAAATCGAAAAATGTTTTATTGTATTTTTCCATGTAAATCGACCTGCTGAGTGGATTGGAAAAGGTAATTGGCACGCACGTAGGAAACGAAGTTTTCGAGAAAAATGCAAAAAGCCAAAAAAAAAGTTATTGATTTTTTCGATATAAACGGACCAGCTCAGTCGATTGGAAAAAGAATTAGGCTCATAAAAAACGTAGTTTTCGAGAAAAACGCAAAAATCTAAAAAAAAATTTAGTTTTATTCGATGTAAATCGACCTGCTGAGTGGATTGGAAAAGGTAATTGGCAAGTAGTTTTCGAGAAAAACGCAAAAAACAAACAAAAAAAAAATTGCAAAAATGTTATTTCTTTTTCAATGCAAATGGACCTGCTGAGTCGATTGGAAAACGAATTAGGCTCGTAGGACACGTAGTTTTCGAAAAAAACTAAAAAAAAAGAAAATCGAAAATTTTTTTATTGTCTTATTCGATATCAATCGACCTACTGAGTCGATTGGAAAAAGAATTAGGCTCATAGGAAACGTAGTTTTCGAGAAAAACGCAAAAAACAAAAACAAAAAAAAAATCGCAAAAATGTTATTACCTTTTTCGATGTAAATGGACCTGCTGAGTCGATTGGAAAAGGAATTAGGGTCGTAGGACAAGTAGTTTTCGAGAAAAAATAAAAATAAAAACTACGTGTCCTACGAGCCTAATTCCTTTTCCAATCGACTCAGCAGGTCCATTTACATCGAAAAAGATAATAACATTTTTGCGATTTTTTAAAATTAAATTATAAAAGGCGATCAACCGCTTTGGGTCATTTTCCGCCTTAAAAAACTTTCAAGCTGGGTGGTGAGTGGGCCAGAGCTCAGGAACCCCCAATAGCGGAAACCAGGGCCCCGGCAGCATCACACGCCTCGGACACCCCTTCACAACCACCACCAGATTGGCACCCAAACCGCACCCCAAGACACCTCCCAACATTGAGTGGATTACAGATTATTGCATACTGAACTTGAATGATTTTGTATTAAATTATATATTAAATTGATATTAAAATTATATCATTTTATCTTCATATTTCCGAAATTAGTTTAGTTTTTTTAAGGAAGGTTAGTTTGTCTATTTGGTCGAAGTCATCACCAAGCGAGTCTTTGATGTTGGTTGGAATTTCCAACCGATGTCTTTCTTCTACATATTTTTTGCAATTTATCAAAATGTGTTAACTGTTATTCTTTCTGTGCAAACATCACAAAGTGATTTTGCGATTTTTTTGTTTGTTGGTTTTTTGCGTTTTTCTTGAAAACTATGTGCCCTACGTTACGTCCTACCTTTTCCAATCCACTCAGCAGGTCGATTTACATGGAAACAGACAATACATTTTTTTCGATGTTTTTCTCAACAATTACGTGTTACACAAAATCAAGTTGAAATAGTAGACAGGATACATTCGCTAACTCGCAACTCTTGATTCAACCCGGGGTTCAAAATCGAAAAAATCGAAAGTTAGCGAATGTAGTCTGTCGACTAGTTCAACTTGATTTCGTGCATCAATCTTGTTAAAATTTGGTCAAAATATCTAGAAAAACTTTATAAAACTAAGGAAATATCCAAAGTCTAAAAAAACATCTCAACAGGGTATCTCAACTACGAGGTTATATGAACATAGCCTATGAATATATGAAAGCAGGGCCGCTGGATTCGAACCCGGGACCTTAGGTTAAGACCTTACAGTGATGATTGCCATGTCAACGTCTAAAACGTTGCGGCCACCGACGCCCTCTGTGTTATCTTTAAAAACATTTTTTAAACATTTCTTCTCCTTTTCATTCTTTTCAGTTTTAATGTAGAATTTATTGTCATATCTAGACTGTTTTATATCGGTACTCTTTGTACATACTTACACTAATTCGTTTTAATTTTCCCATATTTTTTCCATCTGTCAATCCGGCTGTAGAGTCTACGGAAAAAACATGGCATATTTGGTTGGAAATCAACTTATATCTCAGAATGTAAAGATCAATTCTAACATGATAAAAACGTATCTATGTAATAAAAATATCTTTTAATACCAACAAAATTCGTGAATTTTTTAAATAAAAACATCAAAAACCTGCATTATTACAAATAAAATCGTAAAGGTAGCCAATTCGTAGTTATGACTCTTCAAAACTGGGGAGATCAAAAATTTTCTTGTACTTTTGTCAGTTTATAACTGTATCGGTTCTTTAAATTATTTTTTTACGCACTGTTTGTGGTGCATAATAACAGCAAGGAGAAAAGCTGAACTTTCTACGGTCTTACAGTATATGTTTAATTATTCAACATTGTAACATTTTATGTTCATAAAATTTGTGGGATAGTTATGCCGGGATAATCAAAAAATAAATAATAAAATAAAACATAGATGGTAACAATTTAATAAAATAACAAAATTTTGATAGTGTCACATGTACTACTATCCATGTTGGACTTTCGTTGTATAACCAACTTCTTTTCCATTCATAACTGTCTTGGTCTCGATGTAGCTGATTCCGGTGAAAGGTTTCTTTTCTTTATCCTTGGCGACGGTTGCAGTGTGTTTTACCTTTGGCCTTATTGAAACTTGAGTGTGCCCTTGGGATTCAAAACCACTTTGGTCGAAGCCAGAAGATACTCCATCCGATTCGAAGTCAAGTGCATAGTCGTCAGATTGCTCTTCAAATCCAGGATTACTGAGCTCTCCTCCTGAATCAGAGGACTCTTCAGAACCACCGTGGAAACCTTCAAAACCATGGAAACTGTGTTTCCCTCCTGAACCAGAAGATTCTTTGGAGTCTTCGTGGAACCCATCAAGACCATGGAAATCAAGCTTTTCTTCGGTACCAGAAGATTCTTTGGAGTCTTCGTGGAACCCATCAAGACCATGGAAATCAAGCTTTTCTTCGGTACCAGAAGATTCTTTGGAGTCTTCGTGGAACCCATCGAAACCAAGTTTTCCTTCTGAACCGGATGATTCTTTGGAGCCACTGTGTTTACCTTCGAAACTATGTTTTCCTTCTGAACCAGACGATTCTTTGGCGCCACCGTGGTAACCTTCGAAACTATGTTTTCCTTCTGAACCAGACGATTCTTTGGAGCGATCGTGGTAATCTTCGAAATGATGTTTTCCTTCTAAATCGGATGGTTCTTTGGAACCACTGTGAAAATCTTCAAAACTGTGGAAGCTAAGTTTTCCTCCTGAACTGGAAGATTCTTCAAAGCCGTCGTGGTAACCCTCAAAACCGTAACTGTGTTTTCCTTCAGAACCGGATGATTCTTTTGTTTCATCATAGAAACCTTCGAAACTATGCTTTCCTTTTGAGGCAGAAGATTCTTTGGATTCACCGCGGGATTCTTCAAAGCCATGGAAGCTATCCTTTCCTTCTGAACCGGAAGATTCTTCAGAGCCGCCATGGTAACCTTCAAATTCATGGAAACTATGTTTTTCTCCTGAACCGGTTGGTTCTTCGAAACCACCTTGGAAGCCTTCGAAACCGTGAAAACTATGCTTTCCTTCTGAACCAGACGATTCTTTGTGTTTATCATCAGATTCCTTGGAACCTTCGGATTCTTGATATTTTTCAAATCCTTTGAAGTCTTCGAACCCTCCGAAATCGTGGAATTCGCCAAAGCCTCCTTCTGATTCTTGTTTTTTATGAGATTGATCGGCACCATTTTCAGTACCATGGTGTCCATGAGCTGATACCGAGGATTCTCCTCCACTGCTGAATCCGCCGAAGTTTTCATGATCATGGGATGGCTTGTGCTCCTTCTTGTGAACTTCCACAGGGTATGGAACCTTGACAGGGATTTTGACTGGAACTTTGACTGGGACAGGAACAATTTTTTGTACTTTGTAAGGAACAGGCTTTTCAACCCGTCCTGTGTAGTGGGGTTCGACTGGAACAGGAACATGTTTTTCTACTTCAACTTTAACTGGGTACGGCACTTTCTTTTCAACCGGGTAAGGTACTTTTTTTTCTACTGCGACATGGACTGGGTACGGCTTCTCTGGTACTTTTAGGGGATATGGAAGTCTTCTCTCAACGGGGTAAGAGACTCTTTTCTCTCCAACTACTTTGTAAGGTTTTTCAATTGGGACCTTAACAGTGTAAGGCACTTTTTTCTCTACCGTGTAAGGTTGTGGCACTGGGACCTTAACTTCATAAGGGACTTTTTTCTCGACCTGGAGAGGGTAAGGCTTTGGCACGTAAACATTGAAAGGTTTATCAACGGGAACTTTGACTTCGTAGGGAACTTTCTTTTCGACGACATCCGGGACAGGTATCTTTTTCGTCATTGTGATCGTACTGTCGTGATGATGTTTGTGTTCGCCATCGTGTGACGCGGAAAAGCCGACACTCCCGCCGGAAGAATGTTCATAAGATCCGAAACTCTCGACTCCTTTTTTCTCTTCCTCTTTGCCACTGGCAACAACTGCTAATGTTAACAAAATTCCACAAAACAACACTGTTAGTTTACACATTTTGTGACTGACTTCAATCAAGGAAAGCTCTCCTTTTTCTACCACCGACTCCCCACTTACCCAACGTATCCCACCTCACCATCTTAAAGTGTATAATGGTATTCCTTTCTTATCTGACCAAAGAAATTTAATTCGGTTGAATAACTTTTCAGCACATAACAATGATTAAACTTAATTACTGAAGGTTTCTCCTCAAATGTTTTCAGACAGTTGTCCCAATATTTGTTCTTTGGAAAAAAAATAACTAACAATAAAGCAAGCATTTTTGTGGGTTTTAATAAAATTTCAACTATTTGGGCTGATGGGAACGAAACGTACGTCAAAAGAAATTTGTTGTGGTCCTCAGATTAAATTTTAAACCATTTTTCATAAACATTAGATTTTTTGCATCATAATTGAGAGGATAAATAAATAAAAATATGCAACATTGTCTATAGAAATGTTATTGGTTCATATGATTGGAAATTTTGATATGCTATAAATTAATTGATTATTACAGTTGTGATCTACAAATTAGGCAGTAAAAGATATCGTGATATGTGATAAAAGACACTTAATTTAAGATTTGCCCGACTTTTGAAACAACAAAGCAATAAAATTAATGGGTTTTAAACTTTTGTAAAAAGTGCCCTAAGTACAGAGGGTTCTAAATCCTTGTAAAGTATCCAGTAGATAAGTGGAATAGTTTGAAAATTATCACCATTTTTGAGTTTTCGAAAAAACCGTAGACTTACAAGGAAAACATTTTTTTTTCACAAAAAATTGTATTCGCATTTTTTGGAGGTGTGTAAAACTAATAGCAAGTTTTTTTGCTAAACAACAATATTTTAACCTACTTTGCTAAAATTATTTGCTAAAAGTATTGCCAGATAGCATCGGTATCATACATATTGAAATACGTTATTTATGAAATAGTATGTAATAATTTTAGCGAGAAACACAGTTGATATTAATTTTCTGCACGCATCAAAAACCTCGAATACAAATCTTTGGGAAAATCAAAGTATTTTTCCATATAAATTTTTTCGCAAAAATCATCAAAATACTGATAATTTTGAATCTACTCAACCGATCCACAAAAACTTTACAGGCGTTTAAAACAATATAAACTGCACGCAATGCACCAATCTTCTGTAAACAAATTAGAACCGTAGATTAAAAAATAAAACACCTAAGGAGTTTATAGTTTCTCACTTAAAATAGTATAAAATCTAACGTTGTTAACCTATTTTGAGATTTCCTCTTGTGATCTGCTGGGTGATGAACCTATAGTTTCTGACCTAGTGACGAACCTATCTGACAGACAAATCATGGAGGATAGGTAGACCAAGATAAAACTACAGTATATTGTTGACATACCCTGAAGGAAGAATTATTCTGCTTTCCAAAGATTGTGTTAACATTAAATTTGGATGAAATCAAGAGTTTTGAATGCTTGAAAACGAATTGGGATGCGAATTTTTTAAAACCAAACTGCAAATTATTAAGCTCCTCCTAGCTGCTCATCTAGTTTCAGCCTTTTTATTAGCTTTTACGGCATTTGTTTCATAATTATGCTTGATTGAACATTTCTTTGTCCGTGAGTAGAAACTTTCTACTCATTTCACATATCTTACCTCATTGAATCAAATCTTAAATTAGGTACTTAACCAAAAAATTCTCGGTTCCTAGGTCCATTGGCAAGAGGATTCGGACTATGATCTAATATTTTACGACCTTATAATAAAAAAGTCGATAAAATAGGTAATCCCACATCCGTAGCCGTCCGTTGTCAGTGTTTTCATTGGGCTATGTTTTAATTTTTGATTCCATATGTTTCATTATGTCCAATTGAATTGATCTATTTTACCCGATTTAATATCCTTACTCATATTATCCTGGGAATCTATGATTCTTGGTTCAATGTTAATTGGTGTGATGATTTCTCCTGGGTGCCTGCTGGGTGATGAACTTGTAACTTGTAATTTGGTCGTTACCGGTTGTCATCATCTTCTTCAGTAGTAGATCTGTCTTTTGTTACATAAAAACTGCACAAACCCACCCAATAAGATAGACAAGAAAAATGGCAAAAAGGAGGGAAAATTCAAAAGGTGGGGTTGAGATGACAAGTTAGTGTCCCAGTGGATCGAGGTCACGATAGCTCAAGTGGTAGAGCAGCGGCGTATCTAGCCGAAGATCGACGGTTCGAATACCGCTCGTGACGCTGACTTTTTTATTTCAACTAAAAACCTTAATTAATTGAAAGATATTAATTGGTCAAGCGGACCACCAAACTAGTGAATTTATACCTAACTTTCTGCATCCGATAATCTGCCGCCTGTTGCAGCTGACAATTTGAATGGTAGGTTGATCCCATTTGCTTAGATTAACCAATTTGAATGGTTGAAACCAGCTAGATAGGAGGATTATCTGTACCAAAAGTGAGAAGAAATATAAAATAAGTTGCCTCTCTCTAAAACAAAAAAATCGTAATAATAAAAAAATACAGTCCACTAAATTGCCGCCGTGCGATTTGCCAGCACATGCAAAGTTTTTGGTCATCTCTCTTCGAAATTTTTCCACCATTCAAACATTGAAAGGAAACCTTCACAATTTAATCATTTCGTTTTTGTTCTTCCATTGTAAACGTTTTTTTTTTTTTTTTAACATTGTGACTTTAACACAACTTAGCACAATTCCTGACTATTTGGTTCACTGACCTAACACCTTAATTTGTTAAAATGACCTTCCAATGAATCTGAAACATGAATATTTTGTGGCCTGACCCTTAAAACAGGTTTTTAAAAAATATTTTTGATTCATTTATCATCAATTTTTTTATCGTTTCGTTCTGCCAGAATCCTCCCTAAAGCACATTTTCAAAAATAACTTACAATACTATTTTAATCAATTATTGATTATGTGTCTCAATTGTAACCAAATCTGTCAAAGTTTAAATATAAAACGAGTAATATGTATATATAAAAATGTACTAACGTTTGAAATGTCTTCACATAATTATGTTATTATTTAGGGAATATTTATTACAATAATATAATTGTTCAATATTACCTTGATTGTGAGTTTGATAGGTTTAGTTGTTTTGTAATAACTATAATTTTCACACGTCAAAATGTCAAGGTTTAGGTTAGGTTTCTCTTCTCTACGCATCAACATATGCTAAAAATATTAATCTTTCCGGAAAAAAATAGTATATAATGCAATTATTTTTAATTGTGCTATTTTCAAAACAATTGAATTTTATCGATGAAGAAAAGCCGGCTAAGGCCTGAATTTAAGGTCGAGCGGGAATCAAGGATACAATTTCTGCATGGTTTGTTACCTACCAAAGAAATCACGCTCTTTTCCTATAATCGCCAGATTATTGAACCATAATTGTTGTTATTAGAGAAACTTTCTTAGAAAATCGGTACTACTGTTGTTAAACTGAAAGCCGTACATCCTTCATAAAGAAGACAATAAAAGAACACCATCTTGCAAAACACCCACTCCATAACAAGAGCACGCCTGCCAGAGGGGCAAATACACTATACTGCACAAAACGATGTGGTAGAGCAAAGTAACAAAAACGGGAGGAAAAAGAAATAACACAATAGTGTTTAATGTCAAATAAAAGTTGGTTTTTATAACACCTCGTATGACTCCATTGATGCAGTACCAACAAAAAAGATATAGGCAACTCGGCCATAGTCTGGATAATATCAATGTTAAAAAATGGAGTAACAGAACGAAATTTGGGCATCAATCGACGTTAATAATAACACAATAAGCATGCCCCCAAGGAGGTGTACTATAGCCACTCATAGTTGTTGGTGGTCGATAGTCTGATTGTAAAGTCTAGGATACCTTAACATAGGTAGCGTAGCCTAAGAAGAAATAATTAATTGTAGCCAGTTACATCAATTTTGGAATTTGTCCGTTATCGATCATGTTGGTCTGCCTATCCTGGTGTTCTTGGTCTTACCAATGGTACCAAGGTAAAAAAAGATTATATTCAATAAGGTTAGATGTATAAAAATGTACAAAAATCAACCAAAAACCGACCACCTTTGCTTTCAGTAAAGTATGCCAAAGGGGATTATAAGCGCCCTGTAAAACCATCAAATAGAAATTTCCATTGCAATAAAAAAGTAAAGAATAACTTCTTCGGACTTTATCCAAATTCAACATTCGTTTAACCGTTGGCCTGAATATACTTCAGACTATTTCAACAAAGTTTAGATTTGACGTGTTCATAAAAATAAGAATGGAATAACAAAAATTCCGGAAAAGTTTTATTTTATTGTGTAGAGATTAGTGACCGTTAATCGATAGTTATTCAGATATCGTGAGATGCGGTCGGGTGTGATGTAGGTTTCAGAAAAACATTTTCTTTATCGTGCCAACGTTTCGATCTTTTATTGAGATCATCTTCAGGGCTCAAAGTGTTTGTCTTCTGTGTAATTGTGCCATCCTTGTGTGTCGTGTTGAGAGTGCCATGTATTTCATTCACACGACACACAAGGATGGCACAATTACACAGAAGACAAACACTTTGAGCCCTGAAGATGATCTCAATAAAAGATCGAAACGTTGGCACGATAAAGAAAATGTTTTTCTGAAACCTACATCACACCCGACCGCATCTCACGATATCTGAATATTTATTTTATTGTTTTAATCATGTACTTTATCAGGTTCTAAACAACTGTTTCCTGTCATATAGTAAAAGACTTTTTGCCTTGATGATGTATATAATCCTGAAACGCCCATTTAAAAAAAAAGTTATCACTACTTGTGTGGTTTTCTAAAAAAATCGGAGGATTTGAAACGCGAAAAATTTGAGAGTGAAATACATACATACACTTGCTAAAAATGTTGCTACGTCGCTCAGTCGTAAATTTTGTATTTTAATATCTACGATATCCCTGCTAGCTGCCAAATACAATTTTGACCCGTGACCAAGTAGTATGATGGCATAGTAGAAATAATAGGAGGCAAATTTGATGACTATTTAACTTCCTGTAAAATTAGGAAAAAGGTGTACTGATGTACTGGTGAAAACTGAGCAAAATCGGACTAGTACCATACACAAAGAATACGTATTCTAAAAGTTCCTTCTTTAAAAAAAAGAAAAGTAGAAGTTTATACAGGGAAATGAAATATTTAGGCACTCCAGATCAAAATCTCACCTGGAAGGGACATATAGAACATACAAAAAGTGTAAGAGTAACTGAGGGCCAAAGATGAGTAGTAGTAGTAAGGCATGGGGTATAAATACAAAAATAGTTTACTGGCTGTATAACAACGGGCACATACGGAGCCCTAGTATGGTAACCAAACACCTTGGAAAGAATCATAAAATAAATGAGGGAGAGTCATCGTCGGGCTATTGATATTCTAAACACACTTGTCGGAAGAATACAATTACCATAGAATTAGAACAGTGCAAATTAATAAGACGATGCAGACCGTTGGTTTAAGGAATTGTACGACGGAATCCTTTTCACATCAAGCACCTCGGGACATAATCAGACTGATTGCCGGCTTTAGCTGAAAATGCATGAGACTTGCATAATTTACATTTCCGTTTACTTTTATTTTCCCACAAAACTATTTCAAATATGAAATGAATAAGAGCAAATAATATCTCGGAAATTGTATATCTTAGCATGCGGATTCAATATCGTTTTGGGCTTTTAAATTTCCCTCAATACTTGCCGCTTAGCCTGTAACTAATCTAACATTTCAAGCATTTGACCAGATGCATTCACAAATGAGTTTATTCGCCCCGTCTGCGGCCGTTTTCATAAATGCTTCATGAGGACCGGATGACTCGCCGCCTAGTGTTCTTTGTAGCTCCCCTAATACAGCTAATTGCTCGTCAATACTAACACCGAATTGCAGACCTGCATTTTTTGCGCCTTCCATGAGGCTAGAAATTTCCGCCATTGATTCGCCAAAGGCTTTTGACATATACACGGCTTTACCTGCCAGTTCTTCAGGAAACTGCACTTGCCCAACTTGATTGGCATAGCGTTCAAACATTTGTCCCATATAATGGGTGGCTTCCTCCGGCGTGCTTTTAAGTCCAGCAGCTGTGGGAAATGCGGGTGTTTTTACAGTTCTGTAGTATAGGTCAGTTAAACACAAAAGTACTCAAATCCACCACATAAGATGGCAAGAAGAGGAAAGCGTCTGATAGCCAAAACTGCGTCGAAAGATCCAAAACGATTGGAAACGACCACACTAACACTATTATGCTCCTCTTCATATGGATCACCATCTAGCATTTTATTAGCTTCCATAGCTTTGGTACTGGCTATTCAACTGCTATTTGCTTCAGTAAACATTTCTTTGCCCGTGAGCATACTAAGCCTTCTTAACTTCGCAGTCACATGAAATGTGTACGGTGTTCTTTCCCTTTTAGCACAACTTAACAAAGCTGCTGCTACCCTTAATATTTTTAAGTACCGAATGTTTTTCCAGGTTCATTTTAGTTTAATTCGATTGGAATATGATGTATTGGAATATGATAAATCGCGTATCATTTGAACCCCACTTTACGCTTTAAGGTTTCTGTAGCAAGGTGATGAAGTATTGTAATAAATTGTCCTACGGTGATTCTGTTTTTAATTGTCCTTGTTAATTTTGATCGGGAATGTAAACTTTAAATCCTTGGCAGTCCTCCGGCTTTCTTCTCTTGTAATTACGATGCGTATCGCGTTTCCTTCTTTTCAATCAACTTGCTTAAATTGCGATAATTACCTCTAATTAGAATGCGTATGAAAGTTTAATCAGGTTCCTCGGTAGTAATCGAAGACTTTTAGATTTTTTTCTCTTATATTTAGAAAAAAAACATTTCTAGGAGTATTTGATTTATGCATCTCGGGATTTTTGAAATTTATCGTTATAATTGATCTACTTGTCAATGTATTGAAGGTTTTTTTAAATACAACATTTTAATTATGTATGTCCACATTTGATCTGAGGCCAATTATTATTTTTATTAAAACTATGTACACAGTTACGTACATAAATAATCATTTCATTATAGGAAATAATTTAATTATTGAAATTTGATAACGTACTTTTAATTTTTAAATCTAATGTGTTCAAACAATGCTTCTCAGGCACTATAGTCTGTCACTCCTGGCCAACCATTTTCTTTTGATTTACTTAACTGGAATAGTCAATTTAAGAAAGAAATTAACCGTTGTCTTTTAAGCTAGTCTTTTTGATAGGGGAGAGAAAACTGGATTTATAAATGAACATTTCCAAAATGCAATCGTAATATCCAAATTTAAAAAACTCCAATAAACTCACACAACAATTCTTCTATCTGTTATAGTAAACTTTTACAAAAGTGTGTAATTTTTTTTATTAAAAAAGTTTTTTTAAGAATAGAGAAATTAAAATTAGCCCTTACTTTAATATGTCTTTCCAGAAAGGACTATTTACACTCACTTCAAACAATGGGTGTATGCTTCATAGTGATATTTGGAGGATTTTTTTCATTTTTGCAAATAATATATTTTCAGCCTTGTTATAATAATAATAAGCCCGGTTTTATGGCATTGGGGCAACAACAAAATTATCCTTTGAGTACCTGTGCCCACAGGGCAGAGAGGCAAAGTGGAGGCTGATAAATTTATCAAGGAAAGTTCGGTGAGGACACCTATTGGTCTAAAACCCTTTTGGGGCATGCCAAATTGCCAAAAAAGTAGATTTATCAGATTAAGAATACGTCAGGGCTTCAATATTCCTGGACAGAGGCATGCGAAAAAGTTCATCAAAGGACCATCGCAGGAACAAACGGTAGAACTGCTAAACCAAGGACGAGTTAGAACTAGAATGATAGTAGGACTGCTAACTGTACACAGCAGACTCCGGAGTCATATGTGTAAACATGGAGAAGCAGAAACACCACTGCAAATATTTCAAGGAAAAAGAATTAATGGCGGAACATATACTCTGAGGAACAGTATATAAATTTGTAATTTGGTCGTAAATGATCAGTATGGTCTGCCTAAACTCGCTGATTTGGTCTTTCAGACGCTTTTTGGCATTTCGTTATTTCTTCTAATGTTTGCAACAGGTTTATTTAAATTGTTGCTTTGGTCTGTGTGAAATGTGAACGTGTTTTGCACTGGAGACCTGTTCCAAACTGAAGAGCTCTTAATTTTTACTTTTACTAAGTTACTTCAGACTAACTAAAATAAATCGTGCAGCATTGGTGCAAATGCGCAAAAACGAAAGGAGTCAGAATTTCGTCTCGCCCGGCTTATAACCCTGATTCGTGCCAACTGTCTGATTTTTTCCCACACTAGACACGAAATAAACCTGAATGCCATCAATCACATGTTTATAGTATATATATAGTGCTTATTTTATACAAAATTGATACTTATTAGCACTTCTTCCCTTCATTACAATACTACATTGCTTTTGATCAAAGTCAAAAGTTATAAGTTTTAACCTCTAAAATCAAAACCTTTCTCTACAATATTTTCTCCTTTACAATATTTTGAGTTCATGCACTTTCAACCAAACTTCACTTTTAACTGTTATTAAACATATATAGATAGTAAATATTTAGATATATGTATATTAATAACAGATTGATATCACTATTGTCACGATGACGTCATGATGATGAGATCCTCATCAGTGATCAATCTAGAAATAACCTGCTTATAAAGTTATAAGCATATTCAAAAGACTGTCCTGTCTGACAACGTCAACGTTAACGGAATTTTTTTCCAGTTTGACTGGAATAAATCCAACTATCAGAGATAGCTTGTGCAAATAATATTCCGATATTTTATAAACTAGACCAATCTATTTTATTATCTGTGTTTTCGAAGATATTAAATTGGTTGAGACATTTACTAACTTATTTGTGTGATGTCACCAGTCTAATTTTAGTACAAAGGTATTTTTTTCTCAGAAAGTCTAGAACACAATTCAGGTTTGGTTGCTGTCATTTCTGCTATTTGACAAAATGGAACAGTCACATCCATTTTCCTTAATTTTGACCATTTAGCTTAAGCCCTTTGTTGTGTTGAGGTTTTCCTAGTCATATTTTAAAACCAAAAGTATATTTAAAACAAAAATGGTTGGTAAATTTAAAGAGGGTAAAACCAAGTCGTTCCCACCGACTTATATAGTGGTGGAGTTCAGCAAGAAAATCCAACTGAAAACAGCCCAATGGCTCGTCTACAAACTTACCGGGAGCAAGCAAAGTGGAGGCGCGGAGTTGATAGTCAGGAAGCAGCCCTCGTCTAGCAGCCAGGTAAGGCTACTTGTTATTAAATTTATGCGATTTCTTCAAACCAAAACATTTATCTTTTTCAGAATTTATTACTACATGTGACCTGCAGCGAGGAAAAACTTCTGGAACTGGCCGAGGAACAGGAAGTAAGAAAGAAAGATAAGAACGGAGTACTGAGGGAGTTTATGGTTGATGAGCTGGAAGAATTTATCGAGGCGGACTTCAAGGATCAGCTCTTGACTGCTGCTGAAAAGCAGGTGCTTGTAAGGCATGAAATCGAAAATGTGAGGGCGTTGTCGCACGAAATGTGCATCCTAGGCTATACAGAATATCCATTGTATGTGGGTCAATCAATCAGTGAGTAAAATGTTTTAACATCTTCAAAACTGCGTTCACTTTTTTAAAATAAAAATTAATGTTATTTTTTGGATCTACCTCCATACAAAATCTTACCCTAAATACTTGATTGCTTGTAATTTTTAGAAAATATGACAAAAAAAGGGATGAACAATACTCATAATTCAGATCTTTTAATATCTATGCATGTATATGTGCTAATTTAATATCTTCCTCACTGATCAATATAATTTTAAGAAATTTAGCAACTATAGACTTTAATTATAATATATGCATTTGTAAGTATACATTGAATCATTTGACAGAGACGCTAGGAAGAATTAAATTATAAACAGCCTACGGGTCATGCCAAAAATTAAATTTTAAAATTAATTATAAGAAATGTTCTTTTCAATTACAATTGATGTCAATCTTATATATCATGCAAGAATTAAAACATTCAGGTAATTTTATATTAATATAAAAGAAAACAAGATACATTCAGACTGTTGAACATTTTTTAACTTGATTGCCTTTGACTATATGTTTTATGAGTCATATCAACCCTCAGGGTGTTTTTGAAAAAAGAAAAAAAAATTGTATGTAGAGTTTGAATGCACTCCTGCTGGATTTGAACCTGTGACCTTTATCTTACAGTAATAAGCTCTGTGTTAACGTGTTATGTTGCAGCTACCGACGCACCCTAACCATAACTTATTATCAAGCTGGTGATGATATCATGTAGAAATTATAAAAAGCATAAATTTTTATCAGCTAATAATCTAAGCGAAAGAGGAAAAAACAAAACTGCAAATTTGGCAATATATAAATTTTTTTTACATCAAATAAATCTGTTTTAATTTCAAATTAGCCCTTTTTAACTTCAAATTCACTCTTTTTAATTTCAAATTAACCATTTCTTCAAAGCAATGTTGTATGTATGTATTAAATGTATTAATATTTATATTTTAAAAAAATTCCTGACTGATTAATAAAAGAAACATTTGTTTTTATGTTTACTTATACGTATATTTTTATTTTTATTGCAATTAATTTTCATTTGGTTTTTAATGTTTTTATTGCTTTATAGAAATGGTATTGGAAATTTAAAAAGATTAATTTGAAGTTATAGGGTTTATTTGAAATTAAAAAAAGATTAATTTAAAATTAGATAGGGTTAATTTGACGGAAAAAAGCTATACTCACTCAAAATGCCTAACTTATTTTATATTAGTTATTTACAACAGAAGAAAGACCCAAAGGTTTATAAAAAAATTGGAACAAATAAATTTCAAAGACCAAATTATCAAATGGCTGATATTATGAAACTATCATATTATTCCCTATTTTTCGTGGTCCGCTTGACCAAGTAATATAATTCAATTAATTAAGGTTTTAAGTTGAGCTAAAAAAGTCAGTGTCACGAGCGGGATTCGAACCCACGACCTTCGGCTTGATACGCCGCTACTCTACCACTTGAACTATCGTGGCTTCGATCCCCTCGGGCACTAACTTCCCATCTCAACCGCACCTTTTTGAATTTTCCCTCCTTTTTGCCATTTTTCAAAAAGGTGCGGTTGAGATGGAAAGTTAGTGCCCGAGGGGATCGAAGTCAAGATAACTCAAGTGGTAGACTAGTGGCGTATCAAGCCGAAGATCGTGGGTTCAAATCCCGCTCGTGACATTGACTTTTTTATTTCAACTTAAAACCTTAATTAATTGAACTGTCATATTATGTTTTACCATTTTTGTATGCTATATAATTTTATTTAAAAAAATGTATTCTGCGTCTTTTTTTTAGTCTCTGCATGTCTTCATTACAAACTGATCAAACAAGTATTTCCACTTCATGATCAGGAACTTGTTAAAAAAATAGGAGGCTCGTGGTACAAGAGTATATTAGATGAGCGACATTTTGGTAACATTATTTTTGTTTTTTGGTTGTAAAAGATTTGATAGATGTTTGCATTTGTTTATAGAGGATATAAGAATGTACTTCGGGGAATCTATAGCACTGTATTTTCAGTTTCTTGGATTTTACACGACTGCCCTAATGGTGCCATCAGTGTTGGGATTCCTTCAGATGATACTTCCACCAGTGACTTTGGCATTTTTCTGTGTTATTAACATAATATGTGCGACATTGTTTCTTGAGGTTTGTAAATCTGAATAAGTACTTGTCAAATGTGGACCATTTTGAAATCCTAAAAAATATATAGCTGTGGAATAGAAAATGTTCGGAGCTGGCGTACGTTTGGGGTACAATATCAATGACGAGTTTTGATGAACCGAGACCCAACTTCATGGGTGTAATGGGAGTGGATGTTGTGACAGGGAAACTTCTTCCACAAGCTCCAAGGTTTAAAACTCATCTAAAAGTGAGTAGAAGTATCAGAATGAAAAGATGCGTGAATTGTATTTTTATATTAATCTTATTTTAAAGATGTACTGTGTGTCACTTCCACTTGTTGTCCTTTGTATGATCGGCGCTTTTGGTGTAATGCTGTTCTCATTTTGGGTGGAAGATTTACTTAAACAGATTCCATCAATACCCCAGTGGGTTGTTTATGCACCAAGCGTTGTTTACGCTGTCGTAGTTGTGTTAATGAATCTAGTATACAGAAGATTTGCAACTTTCCTTACAGAGTGGGGTATGTATTTAGATTTTATTCAGTAATTATTTAATTATTTATAATGATTTTTCCAGAAAATCATAGAACACAGTCTCAATATGATAGGCACAGAGTAACAAAACTTGTACTATTTGAATTTGTGAATAATTTCATGTCTCTTTTTTATATTGCATTTGTCATTCAGGATATCGAGTTATTGAGATATGTAAGTTAAATTTTATCAATTTTTAATATAAAGAGATATTTATTCTTAAAAACAAATTGTACAATAACATTACAGCAACTGGCAACTTTGCTCATCATGCTTCAGATACTCAACAACTTCCAAGAAACTGTTTATCCTCTAGCCATCCATTATTTTCAAAAGGTGAAATACAATTATGAAATATGGACAATATTAATATTCATCATAATTATCTGATATTACAGAGTTCTAAAGCGAAACAGGGAAGTCCGTACAAAGAATTGGTCTCGCAGATTGTAGGGATAGAAGAAATCGATTCTGAAGATTTCCAAGTGAAACATGCTTTAGAACAAAGAACGATGGTTCCTTATGATGTATGTTACATTACTAAATTTAAAGCTCTCCATATCCTAATAAATAATAAATATCAATTTATAGGATCCGTATGATGATTATCTAGAGCTTTTTGTCCAGTTTGGTTATGTATTCCTATTTTCTGCAGTATATCCTATGGCGGCGTTTTGGGCGTATGTTAACAACTTTTTTGAAATGGGATTAGATGCTTATAAATTGTGCAATTTTTACCAACGGCCTATGGCTAGAAAGGTTAAAGATACGGGTGCATGGCAGGTGAGATAAATTTAGGAAACAATATACTTCTGAATGTGAATAAAATTTTATTGCATTTTCAGCGTCTATTCAAAGCCTTGTGTGCTCTTTCTGTCATGACAAATTGTCTGTTGCTCAGCCTTTCCCCAGCCTTGAGGGATGCAGCTCCTTCTTTCTCTGAAACTAGTTGGTTCCTTAATTTTGTAATTTTGGAACATATTCTGCTCGCTCTAAGACAGATATTGCATTATGCCATTCCCGATAAGCCAGAGTGGGTGAAAATAGCGCTAGCCAAAGGAAATTATCTATCTAAACAGGCACTGAAAATGCAGGTAAATAATTACCTTAATAAATAGTATGTAGTCCACTAAAAATAAATTTATCTTCATTTCTGTGTGTTGCAGAGACAATTGAAAAATAAAGCCAACATTGATTCTGTTACTAAGAAGACTTTAGAAGAGTTGTAGAAGAGTAAAAGAGAAAATAATATTGATAAAATGACTGAATTTAGGCTGTACTTTTTGTGATGTATTTTTAATGAAAATAACTAAACTGTAAACCAAATTTTTGAAAGTGCACTTATAAATTTTTTATATTTTATTTAGTGTTTTAACTTTCTTTATCCAAAAATTAATATTTTTGGCATTTCATCAGGTTGACAGCAATTTCATTTTCAGCAATCCCCACCATGAATTTATTTATTTTCAGTCCAGTCAACTACCTAAAATTCATTATTTATCATCTGTTTTAATATGTCAAAGTATTTTAACATACATGTATGACTTGTTAAAAAAAAAAATTATATTTAACATCTTTGTTTTTATTTCACATAATTCATTTAGAACACCATATTTATTTTTATACATTATTACATATAACAAAAGCAACTAATCAATTTTCCAAACAGCATAAGCATTATGAAAGTCACTAGTGGCAATGTATTTTGTTTAACATTTCATCTGAGGCAATTATGTAAAATTGACAGTAATGAAGTAACAAAACAAACATCTATACGTAGTAATCCATACAAGTTTAGCACTCATAATTTAACATAATAGTTATTTCAGTTAATTTTCTTTTTATCTAAGATCTTGGTTGAGATGAAAAACAAATCTCACGTTCTATATAATTTATATCATTTATAGCGTTATTAATTAAGAAAAAAAATATATGTATATATTTGATGAAATGTAGCCCTGTAGCCCTTTAGTGCTGCTAGAGATGGAATAAATTTACATGATAGGGTGGGTATAAGCTGGTGAAGCAAAATTCTGACTACTTTCATTTTTGTGCACTTTGCAATTTTTCTAAGAAAACTGGCTAAGATCAGTTCAAAATAAAAAAAAAGAATTTGTCCTGTTATTTAAAGTGCAAGTCTTGTAGAATAGTTCATTTAAGACGGGCATGTTTCTGGCCGGGAAATACACGTTTTTTATGACTATTTTTGTATTTAGGGACAGGTTAGCTAAGGTTAGGTAGGCTTAAGTTAGCTAGGGTTAGGGATGGGTTAGTTTAGGTTAGGTAGGGTTAGGGTAAGGTTAGGTTTGATTAGGGACGGGCTAGTTTAGGTTAGATTAAGGATGAACTAGGTTAAGCTAGGGATGGGCTAGAGTTGTGGAATTACGTAGAGTTATAAACTCGTTAGTTAAGGTGCTTATGGCAAATAGTAGGCTGTGTTAAGTGAGGTAAGAGTTAGGATTGGGATTGGGGGTTGAGTTTAGGTAGGGTTGTTTACCGGACACTACTATCTCTGTTGAAAAACGAGTATGTAGATCTCTTTAGAGTCTAACGTTGAGCGTTTAAATGCTCGAAATCCATTGGCAAAATAGTTTGTGAGTCGAACTATCAATTTTTAAGTATTGAATTGATATACTTATCCCATCAAAACCACTTTTATAGGTAGGGCTACGGACGGGTTAGGTAAGGTTAGGAAATTAGACTTAGCAAATATCGAGCACGTATTACATCCTCAAAAGTTGGCATACATTATTGATATCATATTGAACAATTATAAGAAAAATATAATTTGTGTGGATGCATCCTTGTAGAGTAGAACCTTCAAAAGCATACTTATTTGGATTTAGAAATTCCCAAAAACCATTTCTTACCATAAGAAACGGTTAACAAATGTAAAAAGTCATGAAATTAGAAAATGAGAAAAAGCCAAATCTGGGCGTTTTTCCCTATTTTGTTTTTTCCAAAGTTATCGATATTTTATTCATATTGTACATTCTGTTAGTCTAGGCTAGGCTGAATAAACAGTTTATACCATAAGAAACGGTTAACATATGTAAAAAGTCATGAAATTAGAAAAGAGAAAAACCAAAACTGGGTGTTTTGCCCCATTTTGCGATTTTCCAAACTTATCGCAATTTTATTCATATCATATTCTCTGTTTGTATAGACTAAGCTGAATAAACAGTTTATACCATAAGAAACGGTTGCAAAACTTGCAAGAAAGACCAGTGCAAATTTAATTGGGAAACCGTTGTCAGTTTTGCAACGAAAGGGCACTAAGTTCAGAAGAAAATTTGGATGGTCACATGGCAAAGTTATACCGAAAATGAACCTTTTTTATTTTGACATTTCAGGGGATGGAAGCATAAAATTTAATTATACGTTGAGGGTATTCCTGGGAGGAGGCAAAAACATTTCTTCCATGTCAATAGAAATATAAATCGTCCCTTCCGCAAGTTCGGATAAATTTGATCATTTGAACTTCTTGACGGTACAACAAGCGCCATTTTACTTAAGGTCATTTATGAAGCCGTCCTTCGATAAAGAGGAAATAATGGTTTCAAAAGAGAAATGCCTCCTCAAACCTGTAAGAAATCGCGAGGAATGCCATGACAATTATCCAATGTCATTAAGTGTGACTTATTATTATGAGAATAAAAGACGAGGAAGGCGCTAATTGTTGACAAGCAACCTAGCGAAGATTGGTTGGGTAAGAGCAAAGCTTTCATTTAGAAAGGGGCTGGACACAAAAAGGGGATTCCCATTCTCGGCCCTGTCGCGTGCCAAGGATCTGATAACTAGGTGGAATCTGTCGCGTGGTACTGGGACGCCACAGGCTTGAAGACGTCTCGCTCCGATGGACCGGAGCCTTCTTCGGTACGCTGCTACCTCAACTTCTCAGTTCTATACCAGTAACGTGTGCAGACAACATCTACTCCTCTCTTCCTTGGGATCTACTTCATACAAGGGATCTATTCCATTTTTACCGGTAATGTATATTTGGATTTTCAGACTACTGTTTTAACCTTGTCAACATTTTTGCAATATTGGTCTAAAAAAAGAGTTAAATTTCTTCTACACTTACAAGTGACCTACTTTTTACAACTGTCATACTTTAAATTTAAATTTTCAAAAGATATTGTTCGCAAAAATCGAAACTACAAACAAAATCTAACATATAGCATAGGTCGTCGAGATCGCGAAGCCGAGTTGTTTGAAATTTCACAAATTTGTCAAACTTTTTCCTTAATTTGTACGACTTTTCTTATTTGCCCCTTTGATAATACAACCTACGTTTGATTTCTTTGTTTATATAATTTAAAAACAAAATCAGATATTAAAAGCATGGTAGGATTTGGCGGGAGATACAAGTTTATCCTGTTGAATCATTTGTTGCTTCTTCATGCAGATTTCTGCATCGCCTTTACGACCTATTTCTGCCGAACTCATTTTGTCAGTTTAATTTCCTGCAATACTCTGCCGTGTTTATTAATTATCGGCCTCCAATATTCTAAATTAGGGATAAGGGCAATTTGAAAGAAAACATTCAGTTCCTTTTTATTTGAGAGCCTCCTTCCTTTCGAAGTATATATCCTTCATTAGGATTTTGATTGTATTATTAGTTATATTGTAACTTAACCAATATATAATGCATTATAGCATCAATTGGTGAAAAACCTGGTGTCAACAGAATTACTCTTGTCTCTAGATTTTCTGAAGGAGAAATGACGATAAGACCATCGTGAACTGATTAAAATACAGCCTAATTATAAACAGCGAGCACAGACGGGTCCAAATATTTCACATTTATATGCTTAATATGGTTTAATTTTCAAAAATGTTTGTCCTATGGAAAACAACAGATTTTAATTTTTTTTGCATTTTATGCATGCAGGAAAAAAAATTAAAAACAAAGTATAGTACGAATGAAATCTTTCTAAAATTGACATTTGCTGCACTTTACAAGATTACTTCCATTATCTGTTGACAAGTCCAAATATTACTTAATACAGACCGACATATAATTTCTAACAAACCCGATGCTCTTTTTTTATGAAGATATCGATTGGGCCGATGTATGCGTGACCCATCGGTCGTCGACCAGCACTAGTGATGAATGGATTAATAAAAAAAACCAAAAGTGGTACAGCTCGATTTGTAGTCAACTTAGCCAGATTTATGATCAGTCTGCAAGTTGCAAGAGGACTAGCAGCACTGCATATTTGGTATGAAAAATATAAGAATTTAATTTGATTGTTCGGTACGTGGTATGTCCAATTTTATTGCCTAAGTGTTCCCTTAGAATAATCCTGTGTTATGTGTACGTCGGTGCTTTATATATATTAAATAATAAAAGGTGATTGAAAAGCTGGATGGATTATTATAATTTGGTTATTGGGTTTTACCCGTCAAAAAATTCATGGTAAGTTTTTTATATAAACGTTGTATTTTTGAATGATTTAAAGAGAAATTAGAAAAATGTTGACGGTACTTGTATTGTTTATTTGCGAAAAATATAAGAATTTAATTTTATTGTACACGCGGTGAGTCTCTTGGTCCGTATATTTTCGCTCTTTTTACTTGTTTTGATTAACGCAGTCTGGCGAGATAAAGGACCGATCCGGATATGATGACCAATGATTAAAAAGCATATAAAAAAACATACTTTTATATATTTTCAATGTATTTTAATCGTATTTTCAACTGTAAATGATTAACAGTTGGATCATTAAAAACTAACTTTTCGCATAGTTCATTTAAATTCCTTCATGGCTTCATCAGTTGAATATCAATTTACACCTGATCGATTTTTTTTGTTTGTTTTATAGTGAAAGTCAAAATTTTTTCCTTCTTATTTAACTTTCACCGAGGCATACAAAAAGGACGAAGGAGAAAAACAAGCCTCTGGAAAAAAAGGACAATGAGATTAAACAGACCTTGATCAGATTAATTTTTTTCTCAATCAACTTAAAATTCTCGTGTATTTTTTACAAGTAATGTTTGATTAGCGACCACTACACAATCATTAATTTAAACCATGAATTTATTTTTCCTGTTGTTGTTAATTTTAGATATATGCAATAATAGATTAATAGGTAAAAATCGATCGTTTCGCCACAAGTAAAATACTTCGTTGTAAACATAAAGAAAAATTGGAGATTTCTTGGCTGGTTTTAAACACTCAGCAGTTTGACTTAATCTTCTCTGTCCACCCCGTTCACTGTGATTAACACTTCGCTATCTTCACTCTGCTTAAGACTCCCAGGAAAAAGTTGCTTAATAAAAAATAAGTTTACATTAATAATATTTTCTACTTTTTTAGCCGTATTCTTTATTTAGATATATTTTGTTTGATACATGGTACCACCATTTTGTTAGAGAAGTTATTCAAGTTGGTTTAATTTCGTATACGTACTCCCATTAAAAGCTTTCATTACGATAAAGAAAATAAGGAAGTTATTATTTGATTAAAGTTCAACTGAGTTATTATTTGTTGTATGAGGTGTGTTATGCAATCCAGTATATTTTCATGTGTATGTGAGATTCGTCATTTTTAAATTATGAAAAAGCAATGTGGAGCGGAGTCGCCGAGCGTGGCATCTTTCACAATTTTTATCTGTCGGAAGGTTTCGGACTAGCGGAAATTGTCGCAACGGGTCCCAATCCGTCACGAGGCGACATTGTAATTAAAAGCAGTTTTGACAGACAGCGAACCATCGGCCTTTATTCCTGTAGAATTTTGCATCACTACTTTTAGTGTTAGAGCTGATTTTGCATATAGCGAATCATCCGGTCGATGTGTGTGTGTGTTTGTGTGTGTGTGTGTGTGTGTGTGTGTGTGTGAGAGAGAGAGAGAGAGAGAGAGAGAGAGAGAGAGAGAGAGAGAGAGAGAGAGAGAGAGAAAATAGGGTATAAAATAAAAAGTTATTTTCTAGTCGTTCGTATTGCAGTATCCAGAAGAAAGTTCGTTAAGATAATGTTTACAAGAATTATGAGTAATTTAAAGAGAAACTAGGTTGAACAAGATAAATAATAATATTTGGTCGTTGATTATTCTGCCCATCTTGCTGTGTTGGTCTGAATGCAAGAAAAGTCGCAGACCAAAATGATCATTAATGACCAAATTTTTCATGATCATTACCCCGCAGACAACATGAAAAAATGTCACACTATTTGTGCTAAGCCGTAAACAGCATTTTAAAAAGTAGTTTTCAAAGATTTTTCATAGAGTAGGATATGAAAATCGACTAACAAGTTAACTAATTTGCGTTAAGCGTTTGATCCGGCCCAGAGGACCAGTTTCTCTTCAGCCACGATTAATGAAAGAACTTCGACCATATTACTTAGTGAAATCAACCTTCCTAATTATTTGATTATTCGATCGAACTGTATCAACTGAATTTAGACATCAAAAGTGGAACACAATTTTTTACAAAAGTACCTATCTAGTATTTAGGCCATCTCTCCATCCAGCGTCATTACTACGAGAAGAAAACTGTAAAGGAAATCTTTCGAGGAAACAAAATGCACAATATCATTAGGGACGGCAAAGTCAACTTCGTGAAGTTTCTTACGGAATGGGATCAGTTATCTCAACCGGATCGAGACTGCGGAAGAGACAAACTCATCCACATGTAACTGGAATAGGGCAATGAACATATAAGTAATAAAAAGTCACATAAAACAATGCATTTATATTTTAAGGAAGTGTGACAATTTATGTGGAATTTTTCTTGAAAAATTATTCAATTTTTAACATTTGTAATAATCTTGAAAGTATTTTTTTGTTTGTTTTGCCAATGGATATATACAGACTTTATGTTAAATTTGTTTCAAATATTCATTTATATATACATCCATTGTTATTTTTAAATAGGCTTTTTTTAGTTGTACAATTATTTAACCAATATGGTTTTTTTGGGAGCAATGATTTGGACTTTCTTCCCCATGTTTTTTTAAACTTTTCTTTTAATAACTGGTATACTTTCTTTAATTATAAACGAGTCATTTTATGTAAATGGGTCAGGTGAGACAAGACGAAAGATGAACTTTAGAGATACTGTCATCGTATTTCCTCTAGGAAAAGTAATCTTTTTTGACTTGTTCGGTCGGTTATACAACACTGCGCATCATCCTGTTCTGCAGTGAATTGAGAAGTTGTTTTATTGGAGTCCGATCGAAAAATGTACTAAATGCATGGAGTTTTATAATTCAATAATTTTAAGTTTGCATATACAGACATGAAAAATTCAGCTTGTTACACTTTTAACAGGAGGAATTTCAGTAACTTCCTCTTTTGAAGTTCACTTAACTTTCTAAACACAATCAACACGTCTCAGTTAAAAACTGTGCATTAGGAAATACAAATGTAATGTTCATCAGAAGAATTGTTTATTATGTTACAACAGCACTTAGAGTGCTAAGTAATTGTGTTGTCTTCATGGATTTTATATTATAAGACTATAAGGGTGGAGAAGTAATCTGTTAACTACACTTTTAACACATCCCCATTTCTCTTTTGCTCACAAAGGAATAAATCGCGAGGCCGTTGGCCATTAGTCGGGTTAGAAGATTGTCGAAGAGTTCTGGATGAAAGGTCAAGAGTTTAATGGAGACGTCTTTCTCGACTTCTTGTAGTTTCGAGGACAAATGGGATCTGAAAGTTTGTATGGATAGTAAGGTAAGATACTAAGCGAGGTTAGAACGCTTGGTTGAACCCCACAGTTCGATTCCGTACCTCCAGATTGATTGTAGTGATGTTAAATGAGGCGTTTTTTGATAAGGGTTTTGATACATTAGGTAGTCTTTTGACTAGTTTATATCTTTTGTCGATGTAAATCACAAATAGCAGATGACATACGGTTATTTGCTTGGATTTCGTAGTCTGATCCTCCATTTCTTGAATCACTCATTCAAAGAGGTCCAGGGGACTTCTGAATGCCTCTACCGGGTCTATGTTTGCTAAAGGGATGAAGGTGAAATTATGTT